GAATACCTTATCTGTCGTGTGCTGCTTCCCGAGATATCAATGTTACTCATCGCTGAAGATCTGGCCCTGTCCAGAGACAATCCCAAAGTCAAACAAACCCTGGAGGCAAGTCGAGTTTTTGGAAATGTGGTTTTCCCACTCGACGAAGTTGGAAATGAGGACGACCAAGAAGATACTATCCCGCAAGATCAAAAGATACTGAGACAGCTGCCTGGATTCATGTTGCCCCACATCAAGTCGTCATTTGATCCGCCGGCTTTCGGAAACTGCGGGTACTATGCCATTGCGGAGGCTATTGGGTCTTATTCTGTAGACTCTTATTGGGATGTTTGACAAAAACTACTACAGGAACTTTTGTCTCATGCTATAGATCATCAACACCTTATTGGCCCAACTCCAACTCGGCGTTCTGTCAATACCATCTGCTTTGCTGCCAAAGTTGTCCAAGACCTACTGGTTCGACTAGATCACCGCAAGGTACACTGCTCCAAAGACTTTTGGTTGCGAATGCCGTATCTTGGGTTCATCATTGTAAGTACTTATGATCACCCAATGATCCTCTTGGATCCACATGCAGGGAATTGCAGCACCTTTTTCCCGTATTGCACCCCACCAAATAGCCAATCTCCAGTGATTCTCGCTTTCATCAATGGTGAACACTTTGTCACCTTGAAGGCAAGAGACCCCTCTCTTATTCCTTTTCCGCAAGTGTTTGGGGAGCACCGCAACTCAGGTATGCTCAACACTACTAGTATACCTGCTTGGGTGAGCAAGTATCGAGCTCAATTGGATAGCTGGACAACCCACATAAAAGTTAAGAATTCGGCTTGATATCTTGGTTCCTAATGTTTTTTTGTCTCTTAAAGTATCTACACACCCATTGATAAACATGTTCAACATTTTTTTCAATCTTATTCTTATCAAATCACACTCTCACACTCATTTATTGCTTGTCTTGGGATTTTAGTACACACGCATTGAGATTGAGAAACATGTTCAACTTATTCTTATAAACATCACACACATGTTTATTGTTTCTTGTCATCTTGGATCTTGATATCAACATATGGTTTATGTGTGTTAGTGTGTAGTTACGTGTTTTGTTATCTTGTGAATGAAAACATGACATTTCACGCCCATCCATTTCCATTTGAAACGAGTGAAATAAATAGCCGTGTTCAAACCTGACCCGGTTTCAAAAAACCCAGTTGACCCGGTGGACTTTTTGGCTGGAAGCTGTCAAGAACTGTCAATGGATACACAAAGTTACCACCAGAAAAGCAACTGGGTTGCCGGGTTTTTGTGTCAACCGGGTTAGGTTTGAACGCGGCTAATGAAGATGTGCCTGTACCTACCCTAGGGTTATCATGAGAGCCTCTCGACAGAGAGAGAAACACAATATAATGATATGCTGGTCAATTCTCAATTGTCAAATTGTGAAACGATGATGGACCAGACCATATGGGAAAGCCCGGTTTTTAAACCGGTTTCATTCAACTCAGCATCAAATTTCGACACTGCCCGGTTTTATTATCCGAAAAGCGGGTGTCGGGTTTCCAAAACCGGGGGCCAAATAGTGCCCTTTGAGATATTGATAATTGGACAACATGAAAATATGTGTGGCAAAGCTGCACAGATTTCTTGTTATCAAGTCAAATACAAATTATGGTACTCAAAGCAAGTATGGACATGTACATACTCTTTGCTACATACTTTTTTTGGCAGGGAAAACAAGGCCAAAAGTATAGTTGTTGTTTTTTTTGCGCCAAAAAAAGTATACATGCAAATGCTTTGAGAGCATCCACAGCTGTGTGGCGTAAACTGTGTTGTACAAAAATTTAGGGCAAAATCATCCACAGGCAATGCCCTAAATTTTCACATAGCTAAGAGCATCCCCAGCCGCGTGCCGTAAACCGTGCCGTACGTAGATTTGGGGTATTTTTATCCACAGCCGCTACCCCCAAACAGATACTTAGCTTGGGCAATTCTCTACGTGCGAGTCGAAATAGGCCAAATATGGTCTTTTTCCGCTCGCACCCCAAATCCCTCTGTACCTCACTTCTCCCATAAAATCCGACTTCTACGATCCGACTCTCCGCAAATCACACACCTCGATGATCAACTAATCCATAATACATCTCCCCTATTATGCTACAAACTGTACTGTAGGGAACCACGGCTGCAGATTGTTTGAAATTCATACCTCAAACCCTGCCCTAAACGCTCTGTGCGACCCTCCGTACGTTACAGATTTCCGGCACGGCTGGGGATGCTCTAAGGGAATTTTGTCCTTGCTTCTCCCATAAACTCCCACTTCCTCAACCACACTCCCTGCAAATCATCTCCCTTGATGATCATTAACCCGTATCTCACCTCACAAGATATGCTTCAAGCCGTACTGTACCAAACCACAGCTGTGCATCGGTCAAAATTTGTGCCTCAAAGGCTTCCCTAAACAATCTGTGTAACCCTCTGCGCAATGCAAATTTACGGCACGGCTGTGGATGCTCTGAGTACCGTAATTATTGATGAGATATGTGAGCAGTGAGGATGATTGATGAGTTTATAAGGATGATAGATTTTGGAGAAAAACCCCAACAAATCTCACGCCAAATTTGGGACATCACGAGTACATACAGTCAATTGCAGCTCGGAAAGAATTCCGCGCCAATTTGCTCAAATTTGGCAGGCAAATGTTTCCAAGCTTTCTGAAATCGACTGTACATAGTCCCTTGTTTGAGCGGGCCAGTACAGCCTCAGGTAAAAAAACGGGGAACTTTGTTGAGTTTGGTCACATTCATGGGCTGACATGAGTCCATGACCGTTGTTCAAATTTACAAGATTGACAGGCGAAAATTTCTTGTGCAAGGACTCCGACCAAGGACTCAGGAGAGATGCAGTATCAGTCTTTTTCTGAGACTGCGCTGAGACGAGCCCTGGGACATACAGGCATAGTATAATTTCTTCTCGAGTGGCGCCTGTTTTCGAGAGGTGTGTTTTGTTTTGATTCGCTGAACTTCTAGGCCTGTACACAGGTATTCAATCAAAACGATTTGAAGGAAAGTTGGGAAATAGAAGACAAATATGTAGCTTACGTTAATTTGATCAAAACGTCAAATCAAGAGGTTGGGTCAGCAAGAGTCAGAATCACACAGTCACATATAAGCTCTGTGAAAACTAGAGCTACAAAGATACGAATTGAATGAAGTAAGAGAAACAATAAACAGATGATTAAAAAATTAATCGCTCCAAACGAGCCAATTGTAATGAAAAGGACACCCTAATAGAAAATACTTACAACGTTTCAGCTTTATAAGAAGCCGTTAATGTGATCAGAGGATTCAAAGATATAACATATGTTGGATGAGTAAGAAGTGACAAAGCTCAGTCCAGACTTACCAATAGATGAGCTTACGAGCTTTGGTCGAGCTTGTAAATGGTTTCATAAATCGATTGAAAAGTTTGTGCAAGTTAAATGTAAACAAGTAGGATATCAAATTTGATTTGAACAAAACTAGTTTCAAATGTAGAACCATTAGCCCCCCATGTAAAATGAATCATTGATGGATTTAATTTGATCATTCTTTGAATTCTTGTTTTTCAGTTCTGTGATTCATTGATTGATTTTGTTCCAAGAAAAGCCTCAAGTCGAGATAAGTGTTTGTGTTTTGATGCCTTGATGCGTTGACAACTTCTTTTGATGTTATGTTGATGAATTCCAATAGCTCGGACCATCTTGGTTCCCTTGGTATGGTACACTGTGCAATTGAACTATGGAGTGCCACCTTTTGTGACCACACTGTATACAGACAGCCACTATTTTTTGTAGCTCAGAGACACCTCGGGCCTCTGTATAAAACCACTTGAAGTGGAGTAGAAACGTGTACTATTTGACCATTATCAATGGCCTGTCTCGTATCTCAAATCATCTCACTGATCTCGCCATCTCTCGGTCCTCAACTTCACACTGACCCGAGAGATTTTTTGAAATTCACAACGTACGACTTGGCCGCTCAAGGCTTAAGAAAAAACATCGTATGTATGTCAACGTTACACTACCTTGAGCCTTGTAGGCCCCGATCCATAGCAGAAACTCTCACTCAAACTACAACTTATTCATAACTCGAACGGAATCTAGGTCACCACATTATAATCATCAATCAAACTTCAACTTAATCATAGCTCGAACGGAATTTAGGTCACCAGATATGACCAATCATCAATCAGTATTTGAAAGACGCTTGGAATATTACAGTGAAGCACCGTTCATTTGATCATAACCAATTTATTTCAGAGATTGGAATTGACTTGCTAAAATATGAATACAGCTTCGAACATGATTTAGCCTTTCGAGTTGAAGAACAATTCGAAGTCTCTATGCTAGAGATGAAGTTGAATTTATTGAAAATTCACAATCAGATTAGGAAACGAGATCAAGTTGGAGTCCGAGAATTCAATTCGGTAAGTGATTACAATGGATGTTTGATCAGAACTTTTCTCTTCGTATACTGATTCCAATTTTTGTTGATGACTCATTTGATGATAGTATATGAGAACATTATTAAATGTTACCGAACAATTGGCTGGAGCTAAAGATGATGGATGATGACTCTTTTTATCATTTTTCACTTCAATCAAATTTCGTTTTCGTTGTTGTTTGTTGTCATTAGCAATTTGGGATTTAAAAGACGATTCAGATGAATGTAAGCACATGTAACATAAATTGTAGTTGATCTGAACACGAGTGACGATGGGATAACCAAAGCCATGTAAGAGTCATAAATCATGATGACTGAGTAAAAATTAAATTTCATGTAAATTAAGAACGAACCAAGCGATGAGGTTATATACATGAACAATTGAGTTTTTTATGGGGAGAAAAATATGAATAAAAAACAATTGAACCTGATACAACGAAATGAGAGTGCTATGTAGCTTAAGCATTTGCTACCTTTATAAATACCGCATCAGCGTGTATTAGCATCAGCGGTCAGATGTTGTTAGATAGCAGCCATAGGTAATTGGGCGAGAGAGTCTTCAATTGATGAGTGATCGGCGCGAGGTGTGTTGTTGGCATTCGCCTCTGGTGGAGCTGGAGGCGTGTTATCAGCCAAAGGTGTTGTAGGAGGTGTGTCATGATGGGGACGTTTTCGTTTGGTCTTTCGAGTGGGACCGGCTTCAGTTTCCAGAATGAGGATCCTGTTGTGTTCAAGATCCGCCAACACATTACGAGCCTGTGATGGGGTCAGTTTATTGCTATCTTGCATGATATCGCTCTCTTGAGACTTTGAGTCTGGGGCAAAGTGAACGTAGTAGCCTTCAATGGCAAGCTTTTCTTCACATCCTTTCCACGGCCATTTGTTTGTAGTGCCCTCTGTCTTTAAGCCTAAGACAATGTCATCAAGAAGTCAGTCAGGTACGTACATATAACGTATATACATAAGTCAAACTTCAAAGGAGATTGAGATTGCCTTACTGATCAGATTGGATAGGGCTTCTCGACACCTTGCTCTTTCTGTGTAAGCCAGACATTTCAGTAGGTGGACAGCGGCTTTTGACAATGAAAGTATATACCAGACCAGAACTTACCATCGACTTTGAGTTTACTCAAGTTGAGTAGCCCAGCCTCGGTGCCAGTAACAAATGCTTGTAGTTGCGCGGCTACGTGTTTTTGGGGGTCGCATAACTTATCGTGCTCCACCCATTTCAGAGCGCGCGGTGTAGCTCAGACCACCTGGTAGGCATCGTTGCCTAAGTAATTTGATACACCCATCATGACAAAGTCGCCCTTGTATGTCGCAGCCATATCGTTGGCCTGAATGTACAATATAGTCAGTATGAATCCCTCTTTTGTAAATGAAGAAAACCCACCTCGATTTGCCATTTTATCATAAAATTATTCACAGCGACACGCGCGTTTGCCAAAGATCGATTTTTGCCTCGCGTATTATTTGATTCGGCATCGGGTACAGAATCCAAGGAGCTGGATGCAACGTTCACGGGTTCGTTAATGGGTTGATTCTCTACTTTGTAAGAATCTTGCTCTGCCTTTGACAATTCACGCCATCTAGTTGAAGCCGATTTTGAGCCTTCTCCGGTTGCTACACCTGAGGCTGAAAGCAGAACAATAAACTGATATCAACTTGTTATACATATATATTATCATTGAAAGAGTCACTGTTCTCACTAACTATTTCGATAAATTTCTCGGACTGCTTGGCTTTGGGTAAACCGATGGTATTTGTGCGCCCCTTTCCGTGATGCTTTGACACCCCTGTGATCATGTATGTATGTCAGTAGATTTGTATGATGTTAGATTGGAAAAAATCAACTCGACTTACCATAGTTTATGTACCGCCGGCACCGCAACTTGATTGTTGATGCAGTTGATTGCCAGTACCTTGTCAAATTCATCATGCAAACGCATGAAGAGATCGGTCAAGGCTGGTGGAACAGTAGACCCCTTAGCGTGCTTGGCAGCGAGTGTTCGCAGTTCAACAGAAGATCGATTCATCATATCTTCCGGAGTTGGAAGATTAATTGAAGGTGATTTATCACTATCTTGTTCTCCTCTGAGCGTGTTAGGGAGAAATAAATTAACAATAGCCCTTGTAGATGTAGATGCCTGTGTCTGAGTTGAAGTCGGTGTGGTTGTGCTGGTGGGTGCAGTTGTGGGTGCGGATCGCGGTGGTTCTTGACGACGACGGCCGAGGTTGCGTTTCTGAGACACTCTAGGTGGCTGGTTTTCAGGACAAGTAGTTCCACTGCCGTGAGCAGTCAGTGGTACTTGCACACTTCGATTTGGTTGTCTGACGGATGGATGCAACTCCAGCGCATGGACCGAAGCGACGCGTGGATTAACTGCAGGAAAGACTATGCCGGCTTGAGTGTTTGCCTCGTGTGTATGGTGAGCTTGAATTTGTTCGGAGTTCTGAAGGGAGTTTGAGTGTGTATTGTGACTTTGCTGGCTGTGAGGAGTCGTCAAGCCAGGGGGATAGCAAGGATTACCATAACTATGAGAATTATCATAGTTAAAATGGTTATTATCATGGTTATCACAAGAATCGTGATAGTCAGGATCAGGATGAGGATATCTATACACATCACGTTGAACTTGCTGAGCTTGATTTTGCTGACCACCGTGTTGTTGTAGCGAGTGAATGTGACCATGATCATGAAGATGTCCGTGATTCTGATTGTGTTGGTGATGAAAATTGGCTTGATTGGGTTCGTGCTGAGTTATCTGCTGACCAGAACCCTGTGGTTGTGATGTGCCCAAGTTAGTGTGAGCAGGTATTCCAGAGTGATACGGATTATTATTCATTATGGAGTTGTTGTGTGCAAGGAGAATGTGCTGGATGATTTGGAATTTTTTTTCACTTTGGAGATGATGAATAAGATTCAGCGGAGTAATGCATGTCAGAAACAGTGCCCAGACAGGTTTTTACCATTTGAAATTGGTAAGATTACAAGTTTCTGGCCAAATGAACTTGGCTGAGACTGAATAAAATTGCACATTGTGGAAGCCAAACTAACCAGATGTTAAACATTTTGGTCCACACTGATATCTCAACCCTGATAAAGTAAGAGCAAAGATAAACTCTTTGTCATTGGGTTACTCTTTGGCAACTGTAACTATTGCCGTCGCAAGCTAGAGACGAAATATGCTCTCTTGATTTCAAACTTTGGTTACAAAACATAACCATTTAGTAGGCAAGACAAAATCAAGAGTTATGCACACTTGATCAGCACCTGAAACAAAATAATAAGGGCCAAGTACCATGGCATTGAGGTTCATGAACACATGATATTAAATAAAATGCTTGTTTATCAAGACACAGGACAAGCCAAAGTTGTGGATGATCATGTCTCTGAGGAGCAAATGAACAGCTCTGGAATTGTACAAGGGGTGGGATAGAGGTTGTCATAGGGGTGAGCTGATGTGACCATATATAAGTGCTGATTCTTGCACAGAGAATGAACCATTAAAGAAGAAAGATAATTGGATTGCAATCATAAAAAAGATAATTGGATTGCAATCATAAACAACCCCGAGGATTGGGTCCCTGCGGGCTACTATACTACACTAAATGTACAAGGTTAAGAAATTCAACACATATCATACATGGGCTGTGAAGTTAACTTAAAATAGATCAAAAATTGTTTGATTTTGGGATCCAAAATTGGGGATAATTAAGTTAAAATTCGAAAAGTTATTTCCAAAATGTGTCCTTGCGGCTACTATGGTGAACGGAAGATATGCAAGGTGTCATATAGCTGGCGACGGCTGTAATAGTAGTAAAGTGAGGTTATCATCAGATAGATCCAAAAGTGACATTGAAATGGCTCAGTGATCAATGTCATGAGACCCAAATTGAAAGAGAAAATCAGCCTTATGTCATTGTGCAGTAAGGCATGTGGAATGCGGGACATCTTTGGGGTTATAGAAGTTGCCACAGACAGAACAAGGGTATTGTGATGATAGAATTAAACAGGACAAACATTGGCTGAAAAGATGAGACCTTACTGAAGCTAAATGCAGGAATTTTGGCAAGCTTATTGAGGATGATGTCCTTGTGTGGTCCTACCGCAAACACGGGAGGAAGACGGGAGACATTTATGGGGTGATAGAGGTTCCCACAGACATGTTGACAATGTTCTGAAGAGAACATATTAGCCTGCTCACATTGGCGGAAAAATTTGGCCCTTACTGAAGCCATGTCGGACAAGTTTGAAAAAGTTGTCAAGGATCGTGTCATTGTGTGGTACTACACTCAACCGGGAGACATATGAGGTTGTATAGCCTCCCAAAGATGTCATAGAGGGGAAGTAAGGATTCCATCAGAGAGACCTGACCTTTGCGGAGAGAATGAGTCCTTACTGAAGGAATTTGGACCTAGTATGGAAAAGTTATTCAGGAATATGTCCCTGCAAGTCATAAGATTCGAAATATGCTGAAGCGGGGGGACAAATTTGTGGATTTAGAGGTTTGCACAGATGTCTTAGGTGTGATTGAGCTGTTCCATCAGGAAGACCTCACATTTGCGGAGAAAATGAGCCTATATAGGCTCATTTTGGACTAGATTTGATAAAGTTGTGAAAAAAGTTGTGTCTTTCACCTGTGATATTGACACAAATATGTGCATTCTTGACTCAACTTTTTGATGAAATTTCAAAGTGCCGTTAGGCTAAAACTTCCTTAATTAACCCCCCCTAAAAAACCCTCAGGAATTCAATGGAACAATCCCCGGCATCAAAAGACAAATATTGACTGAGATATACTCATAGAAAAATGTGTATAAAAATTTCAATGACCCAAAGGAGTGACAAGATGGCAACTTTTTGGAGAAAGTTCTTATTAAATGGAAAATGAAATTCAAATACAAACAACTTTCATTAGAAGAATATTTTCATGGGATCAAAATTGAGTGAGATATGGGCACTTTGTGACATTTACAATCACCCCAAAATTCACCAAAACCTCTACATGGCAATCAAGGCGTGATATTTTACCCAAATGGTGTCAGTAACTATCCATGAAATTTCATGGGGAACAAGTTTTATTATTGGAAAATTAGGCTAGGACAAATATTGAGTGAGTTATGCGCATTTTGAGGCATTTGCAACACCACAACATATCATCAAATCCTCTATATGACCATGAGGAAGCAGGATTTAACTGAAATGGTGCTATCAAACTATCAATTTAATTTAGTTAGCTTCAACTTTGATTATTGGACCATCAAGGTCTGGCAAAGAATTGGCAAGTTATGCTCATTTTGAGGTGTTCACAACTCACCAAATCCTGTACATGAGCATCAAGAAGTAGGATTTCTCATAAATGGTCTTATTGAACCCCCCTTTTAATTTGACTGCCAACAACTTTCATTATTGAACCATCACGGTAGGGCCAAAACTGCGCGAGTTATGCCCATCTCCAGTGCTTTCGCAATACCTGTTTCTCAATTTACTCGAGAATACACAAAAGTGTAATCATATTCAAAATTATGTGAGTGTTCATTTCAAACTTGGCATTACCTTACAAAACGAAAGTCTACAATGACTTAAAAGCATTGATCATTAAAATCGAGTGTTTGATGAGTAGCTACACGGATGAAGTGTGATGAATGAATTCCAAAACGTTTTAAAGATGAATGAATGAATGAATTCCAAAACGTTTTAAAGATGAATGAATTCGAAAACGTTTTAAATCATACCCTACACCCCAATCAATGAGTGTAGCCAATGATGTTGATAAGTTTGCAAGTGAAAGAAGAGTATCTGGACCACCTGGAGCCCCGAGTACTTGGACTAAACAAATGACCATTGTAGATTTAATAAAGTGACCCTAGTGATCGAGCTGGTAGACCATTACGATTTGAAAATCAAGAAAGACTTAGAATTTCAACGTCGTTTTCATAGATTGATTACGATTGGTGAATCTTTCAAACAACAAAAAGGGTTCATATGGTACGGCGATTCCATGTACTTATATCTCACTATCATGTCTAAGATGAAGTTTGAGAAAGAGAAACATTTGTTTGTATTACTTTCAACTTCAAAGACATCTTATATCGTCTCAAAATCAACAACTATGTATGTATTACAAGATAGAACGAGAACTATTGATCCAAAGTTGCTGGGTCAAGGGCAGCCTGTATATCCACTAAATCGAGTCGATGTACAAGCCCGGAAATTACATCACCATCATCATCTCCATCTAAACTACTGAGATCACTTTCATCATCTTCGATAAACACGTTGGCCTGTTCTTCGACAGCAGGTACCATTGGTCTGTGCGTAGCTATCATGTTGTCTAAAACACCAGGTATCATAGACATACCTGCTTTGTGTAGAGCTCTGATATGATGTAGCTGGGTGTCCCATGTTCGCATCAGGTCTTCATCACCAATTTGATCTTGTGACTGAGTGAACACTTTGTGTACACCTTCGTGCCACGCGAGCTGTAAGTCTGTAATTTTAATATACTGATTCTTCAAGATCACGGCAGCTGCATCGCGACGAGCTGATGGTGGTAGATATGTAAGATTTGGGTGAGTAAGGAGGGGAGTTAGTAGGTTGGGGTCTGGAGTCGGTTCGGATGTTAGAGAGATCAGTCGGCTCCAGATGCGGTCGTGGCTGGTAGTGGCCCAACGCATAGCTCGGCGAACCTCCCAGCCAAGGCGCCTGAGCTCTTCGTTGGCTCAATCAACGTAAGCCACCTGCTGCATCCCATGCCTTGTGTTGGGATCAACAGCCCAAGGCGCTTCGATTTCGGTGAATAGAGAGTTGTTCCAGAAGGGGTGATCAGCTTGTATCTCAAGTAAATCGTTATAATTGATATCTTCAGGGAGCTGGTGTTCAGGATATTCAGCATGATATTCCGCCCGACGAGTGCGATATGTTTCTACTAGCTTCTTAAGTTGGCCTGTGTGCTTTCGGAGCGCAACCATAAGATTGGTCTTGCCCTTATGACCTACAATCAAAGAGCATAGACAATTAGTGAGATTCCAAAGCGTGCCTAACAAAGGGCTGACCTAAATTTGATTGGTGACCATCAGATCGACTTTGTTGAAGGGGTCGCTTCTCCTCGCAGATGGCGATGAACTTCAAGCCAACTTCGTGTTTACTGTACCAAAGTTTCAGGAACGCTTCTTGTTCTTTATCTAAGTTCGAGATGTCTGTAGTGCCTACTTTCGCCGCCTGCTTGCTAATCTTCTCCTCAAGTTCAGTTGTTGTCTGAAGTCGGGCTATAGCCTGCTCCGCTGTAAGCGCCGGCCGAGACCTTCAAAGAAATCATTGATGATAATCAGAGATATATATCGATGAATCTGATAAATTCACTTACCAAGCGTGGTCCAACTCGTCTTTTAACGATAATAGTTGTCCAAGTTCCAACTTTTGCTTCAGCAGGATAGCCTGCTTGCTTGAATACGCTCCGCGCTCAATAGACCATTGCCCGCGGAAAAAATCCGCTGAATAGTTCTCTCCAGGTTTGGCTGGGTTGGCCATCGCACACAGTGACGTTACGGTGGCTTGAGCTTCTCCTAAGACTTTCACTGCATTTCGAAATCGTTTTCGAAGCCACTGACCTAAAAGATCAAACACATGTCAGTTTTTGGTTTATATGTGATGAATGGCCAGAGACCTGACTCACCACATCCTTCTTTGACCTTAGCAGCGTAAAAGACCGTCCGCCAATGAATCGAGAGGAGCCGATGAAGTCGAGTTGAGATTCGAAGGCAAGCTACAAGGGCCGATAAAAAGGACCACAGCCTTTCAAGGCCCTCGCCATCTGAAAGCCCCCAATACTTGTTGAATCGAGGGTGATATTTGATCTGACAGGCCCACTGATGGATGTAGGCATGGAATACTGAAGTACCAAAACTCATACGGAGATCGTCAGGTGGAAAGAGCCCACGCTGTATGAATCAACTCATTGATGAGTAGCTGCGAAGCTATTTGATATAGGAAAGACACTCACTTTAGCTATATGTTCATCTAAGTGACAACCTATGTCATAGAGTATGCCTATGAACTTGTCAGGGTACAATTCTCGAAGCTGTTTGAGAATGGCTACAGGATAATAAAGTCTAAATATGAAAAGGGTCAGTCCTTAGTTTTTTTCTTTACTCGATAGGAAAATAGAAGGTGAGCTCACTTTTCACCGCTCTGATAGATATTGACGAAGTGAAGGGGTGCATCATGACGACAGGCAGCTGCAAAAAGCCCTGTATCATCACACCTGTCCCATGAGGAACTATTGCGAACATCGTTCGCAGCGGTGTGAGAATCAGAACATGGGGTCTAGATTTGAGAGAAAACAGCTCAGAATTAGTGAACATTAACAAAAACAAATGGAGATGAATGACAACAGATACATACCTTGATGTTATGGGCTTGGGCATCGGTTCTTTGGCAGGCGACGACCTCTTTTTCGAGCTTGCTAGGTCAAATGAAGGAGTTGGGATATTGGTGTTCTTGAGGACAATCTTTACTGGCGTGGGATTGATGGCGATGTTGGAAGTTTCCATCCATCACAATTATAAAATCGGGTTCTTCAGGTGACAGCTTGACTTCCCCTTCTGCTGGACCAAAACAGCGACAACATCGATTGGCAGACACATCAAGTGGAGTTAGTTCGAGGCCTTCTTCATACATAACTTGCTCGCCCAAGAGAATTTGGCGATAGATATTGATTGACTGAGTGAAAGGATGTCTTAAACTACAATTGATGTTCTTTGTGGTTGTCTTTCTGACTTGTTGAGGTTTCAATCGTGATGCACATTGTTCATCCAGAAACGCCATGAGTGCGTCAATAAATCCTGAAGTTGAGGAAACCGTGTTGTTCCAGAAGTGATGATGGAATCGCACAAGCCGAACGGAGAAGGCGGTGCGAGGATGATGAGGCGAGCCGGCAATATAACCGAGATGAATCAGGCGGATGACATCAGGTATGCACTCACAGAATGTGACTGGTTGTTTGCTGGTGTGACCTAGGTGAAGACGTAAGGCATCAGTCTCATCAATCTTAAAGGGAAATCAGAAATAAATGATACTAACTCAAAAGGTCAATCAGATCAACGTGCCGTTTTCAAAGGTTTTCAGGCAAACACTGACATTGGATCTCGTCAGCAAGATAGGAGTTGAATGTGGGCTGCGAGGTCCAATTGCGAGTGTAGTGTTGAAGGTAAAGATACGAGGCAGTGAGTCGAGGTTCAAGGGCCTTCCACCTTTCCTGGATCCTGGCTCGGGCTTCCACACGGCGAAGTGACTTCTGATGGCGAGCATAAAGATCTCCTGGAGAGTCTGGCCGGATTTTGCTATTGATACCAACACCTACTCTATCGTCTACATCGTCCCAATTGAATTCATCCTGATTGTGTTGTTCGAGAGAGGGAGATGAGGTCAAATCTCGTGGATGCCTAAGTAAACCGAGTGATTCATTGATCTTCAAAGCTTGGTCGCGGGTCATAGTGGAAGGTGAAGGTTTTTTTTGCCTCTTCGAGATCGTTTGATTCCATGGCCAAACATATCAGCATTATACCCAAAATGATGATGTTTGCCCATGGTGAGAACAATCGTTGAGAATTGGATCGAGTAGGTGTGGAGATGATGAGAATTGATGAAGATCAATCAGTGGATGAAGTGATTGTGCAGGTATGATAGTGATGTATGTATTCAAGTGGTGGAAGGGTTTACTTACAACTCATGCACGTATGTAAGTATGTAAGCTATGTAGTAAGTTTAACATAATAAGAGCATCTGCACTCGTTTGCGGTTGTTAATTTGGTCACGTGCGGTAACAAACACAACATTAAGTAAAAAGTTACTTAACTCAACCAAATTTCGCACTCGTTTGCATTAGCAGCGCTGTAACTTTTATAACTTTACAGATAGTGCATGTACTCCGCACCGGTCGTGCAGTAAGGTAAAGTTTTAATTTTTTGAGTACACATCACCTGCTTTCATGGCCAGTTTTCATGTGATAGAGGCACTGTTCTCTTCTTTGCACTAAGATACTAATACTCCATCTACACATGAAGACCCGATATCATCCTGTTCATCTACTCGATCGATAGATCTTAATTTAAAATTACAAATTTAACATGAGTTTGTTCAGATCTTAATACATGAATTCCAATTAAAAAACAAAGGCTTTACTACATCGAGAAAGCTTTTAATGAGTCTGAATACACATAATGATCTTGTAAAAGATTTAAAGATTTAAAACTAGGAAATAAAAATCCAAACTTCAATTTTTAATTTGTATCACTTGATCCTAAAAGTCCTCCAATGATTGGTCTTTTAATGTTGATTTTCTTAAATATTGACCTCTACATAGCTATATGAATCTAGACATCTTTCATTTTCATCTGAATGGTTTGGAGTCGAGTTCAAGATGGTTGATTGACTTATTTCAATTGAAGACATCGATCGGTGTCGAACGTTCTCGAGTTGATTCATGCAACTGTAAGGCTTGGAATTCATCGTGTGTGAGTGGTGAAAAGGAGATATTGGTTGTTGACTTTGGTGTTGGAGGTCTGGTTGAGTTTTGTTTTTGGAGTCGAGTTGCCGGGAACAAGTCGTGATGTGTGATACCGCATGCGTTAGCCAATTGGTAAATTTACCGATTCGCTAACGCAAAATGACCGAAAATTAACTACCGCGGGGCTAATTTTTCACCGGTGTGGAAAAGACCCCGCGTTTGCGGTAAATTTAACCTTACCGCACCCGACTTACCGCACGAGTGCGGATGCTCTAAGATGTTTTTTCTTAAGCCTTAAGCGGCCAAGTCGTACGTTGTGAATTTCAAAAAATCTCTCGGGTCAGTGTGAAGTTGAGGACCGAGAGATGGCGAGATCAGTGAGATGATTTGAGATACGAGACAGGCCATTGATAATGGTCAAATAGTACACGTTTCTACTCCACTTCAAGTGGTTTTATACAGAGGCCCGAGGTGCTCAGAGAGAGTCTCAGAAGAGTCTCAGAGCGACAGAGTCTCAGAAAAAGACTGATACTGTTACTCCGCACCGGTGGGATTCCGAGGAGTCGTTCTTTTTTTAATCTCGATTCTCAAGACAATTGTTGAGTTTATTTCCAATTCATGACAACCGCATCATCATAACTTCAGACGGCTTTCAAGTTTCTACAAAAGATCTGTAATGTAATCTAATTACAGTTTTACCTATCAAAAAAAAATTAAACAGATTCACACAAATCCGCCTTCGAACACTTTTCCTCACACACTTAGCTTTACATATGTACTTTTTGGGTCACTACTAATAAATATCGGACGGGCGTTGCAGTAACTTGCCAGTCATCACATTTTCCTATACCACTTCAGCATCGATTTAACATCAAAGCGAGATCAGCTCAAAATAACTTTGCGAATTTTGTGGATGAATCTTTAGCATCTCCGTTTGATATATTTACGACCCCTCATTCGACATTCCTCCTCTGCGCCCACTGACCATCTCAGCAGCTATCAACTGGTATTAACAGTATCACGCAGAATCTGTTACTTGAACTCTACAGCTGTTGCCATTTTGTACTCCATCAATTCCCCAAATGTCCATCCTCTCAAATCGTCGTTCCCTTTCCTTCCCGTTTCTCTTCTGCCTTTTTATCGTCCGAACATACTGTCAGTCTTGTCAGGACCTTAATCAAACTGGCTCAAACTGCGTTTGTTTACCTGGTTTCACCAATTCACCAGAATGCAATACCCTAGCCTGTGGAAATCGTATGTAGAAGCGCTCGTCACTTTTTCAATGTCGCCTTACCGTGCGTACCCGCCTTACTAACCTTGTTGCTTGTTTCCCAGCTTTTGTTGATGCCTCAAAGCGGCCTGCTTTGATCCCGAGCTCGGCGGGAAGCGGCGGCAGCAAGGGATGTGGCAATCAATGTACTACGGGCTTTACTGGAACGTCCTGCAATAGTTCAGTCTCATTATCATCAGCTAACATCAAACTCTCTTCACTGCCAACTGACCCAAGCGATCGTGAACGTAGTATGCACGAGCTCGGACGCATGTCAGGCTGGAATCTCCTCTTTGTCTTCCGGATCTCAAAAGGCCTCCCCTTTGACCTCAGCCACGCAGGATATGATTTGTAGTAACGAACCGTCTGCATTTGGAGTCAACTTTGGTCAATGCGATATTGAGGTAAGTCTCATCGTATTTCCAATCTAGCTAAGATCAATTCTGACCCAGAAGCTGATCTCTTTACTTGCACCGCTGTGCCATCTGTACGTAGAACCCAACTCTCAACTCACTGTTCCCTGGAAAGATATGGGCTACTGCACAGCGGAATCCAGATCCCTCAGCTGCGCCTTTACCCACGTCTCTGTTGTCTGCTCTTACGCCGAACTCACTTATAGCCCAGCTTTGGTATGCTCCCAACACGTCAACTATTGCTGTGGAACAATTCTTTTGCATTGCTACAAATTGTACACAGGAGATCAAGCAGGAGGTGGACATTAATGCCTGTCCTGCAATGAAATGTCGTTGTATACCTGGAACTGCGATGTGTGGAGGTGGCCCGCTCGACATTACCCACACAATCAACGACCTCACCGGCGAATTGACTTTGGAATGTCCTATTTCCAATACGAGCTCTTCATGTAGTCTGAAGACTGAAACGATCAAAGCTCTTCTCGGTCCTAATGGCTTTACTCTTACTAATTGTCATTTTGGGGAGTGTATCCAACAAAGCGTAGTCGATATGAAGCGGAAGTTACTTTATCACCTGGAGGACAATTCGCTCTCAACTGGCCTGATCGTAGGCATTGTCATCATCCTCGCAGTCATTGCTGCTCTTCTTGCCCTTGTCCTATTTGGGTTTTGGCAACAGCGTCAAGCACGTCACCCGCAGCACCCATCGTCACCACTTGCTTCAGGGGGTGCGGCTCGATTAGTTTGGCAAGATTTACGATATGTGCTCGAACCCAAGGGCTCTTCCTCTGCACTTTACCATCGTCTCCGGTCTACTGTTGGTCCCAAAAGTAGGTCTAAGTCTCATCATCTACGAATGCCATCGATTGCCTCAACCGCGAATCACCCTGTCCTAGATGAGAAAGGCGGAGCCGTTAGGTCGCCTAGCTTCTCTATCGATACTCAAATCCCGGTCCCATCGTTATCAACCCATCAAGACTGTAATCGTCACCAACATAAGGTTATCTTGCGTGGGCTCAGTGGAGCAGTAGAGCCAGGCACTATGATGGCCATTTTGGGACCTTCTGGTGCCGGGAAAAGGTATGCACTTTGTTGTTACCTCGTCCCATTATCACTCATGACATGAGCCGTAGCTTCAGTCACTCTTTCTCATCAGTCGCGCAATTTCATCCCTAGTACCTTCCTCGACATCCTAGCTGGGCAAAGGAAAGCTGGTAGAGTGACCGGATCTCATAGCATCAGTCTTCCAGGTAGCGATGCAGCTTCAGATGATGGGTTCTCGATTGGTTTTGTGGACCAATCAGATATTCTACCAGCTACCGCCACAGTCCGTGAGGCACTGCTCTTTGCTGCCAAACTCAAGCTACCAGAGGATATTAGTGATGAGAAGCGTGACTTGAGAGTAGCAGAGGTGATCGACTCATTAGGGTTAGCCCATGTAGCTCACTCGAGAGTTGGTGATGACGAAGTGCGCGGTTTATCTGGCGGTGAACGTCGAAGGTTATCAATTGGCTTGGAAATGATCTCGTGTCCTTCAATCCTCTTTTTGGACGAGCCAACTTCGTATGTTGATCTCTTTACTTCACTCACCTCCATCACTAGAGTCTATTATCCTAATTTGCCATTCTAGTCATGAGACTGATCAAGTTTGGCTCCCTCTTCTACATCCACAGCGGGCTAGACTCAGTCTCAGCGTTACGGGTGGTCAATGTCCTCAAAGCGCTTTCAATCAATGCTCCGGAAGGCTGTGGAACCACTATTGTTTGCAGTATTCATCAACCTAGCTCCCAGATATACGTTAGTGCTTGATTCTAAATTCCATTGGTTGACTGACCACACGAGCTGATCGTTTGCAAACTGCGTTGACCAGCATTCTTTTGATTATATTTGCCTGCTCGCCCTGGGTGGTCGCCAAATTTATTGCGGAAAGACATTAGGGGCTGTAGATTTTATTGCTTCCCATGGGCTTGAGTGCCCGCAGGGTTACAATATGGCTGATTGTGAGTTACAAGGCAGTGAACGATACTTTTGACACCACACAATGATTCGTACTTTAGCTGACCGCAGTTTTTCTCTTCATACAGACCTCCTCGAAGTCGCTTCTGACCCACCCGCTATGTTACTCGACCAAGCTAATGCCACTAACAAAGCTTTAGGTGAGTCGGCCAATGTGGCATTGAATGTACTCAGTGGGCTTGCCTAAGTGTTGCGACTTGCATTTACAGAGAGCTACCCTGCTTCAATTCAATCGACACCCGTCAACTACCTTGAGAAGACTCGACCTCGAACCACTACCATGACTCAATTCCAATGCCTTTCGAAGCGTGAATGGACAAACTTGAAGCGTGATCCTGGATTATTTTGGATGCATGCCATCATTGCATTGGTGACAGGAATATTTGTGGGGGCAATGTACTTTCAAGTAAAGCTGAGTATCGCTGGATTTCAGGTTAGTTATCGCAGGTTGTTTTTAAGATAGACAAGGAACTTCGGATCAATTGAATGCTCCTATCTTCGTCACCTCTGAATTGTACCATGAGCTGATGAGACTACTGTTTTGTTATTGACCTTTTGGGTAAATTGCTGTCCTTAGAATCGTATAGGATCTTTATTTTTCTTGGCATCCGTTATCGCTTTCAGCGCATTATCTGCTCTAAACAACTTTTTGACTGTGAGACTTTTATTCATGCGCGAGCGCGCAGGTCGATTTTACAGCCCCGCCGCTTGGTTACTCTCACGACTCTTCTTTGACATCATCCCTCTTCGAGTCATCCCTGCTCTCATGATGGGTATCATCATGTATTACATGGTCGGACTGGACTCTTCATCTGAACATGTCCTAAAATTTCTTTTAGTCGTCCTCCAATTGAGCATCGTTCAAACGCTTTTCAACTTATTCCTAGCAGCAGTTTTTAAACAACAAGGTTTAGCGATCTTGTTGGCTAGTTTGACAAACTTATTACAGATGGCTTTTGCTGGTTTCTTTGTCAATCTTTCTTCACTCATTCCGCTGCTTCGATGGATACAATACCTTGCTCCTTTCAAATTTGCTCTAGAGGCGATGACAGTGAACGAGGTTGGGACTGGACTGATGATCAAGGTGAGTCTGCATCAGCAAGATTTTGAACTAGCTATTTGACCACGTACCGGTTGATCTGTGTATCTGATTGCCTTCTTGCTCAACTTCGTCAAAATACAACACGTAGGATACAATTTCAGGTGTGAACATACAAACTTCGGCATCTATGATTATGAATTTGTTATTCGGGTTTAAGCCTGATGCGTATTACCGGTCAGTAGTCTCGACCTCTTCATATTTAGCCGCTCTGTGAGGCAAGGCATGCAATTCAGATGAAGGAACTGACTGAGTCTTCGTGACACCTTGCTTGTTGTAGTGATGTCATCGCCCTTTTTGGCTTTATGGCTGCCCTGGTCCTCTTCTTAGTAATTGCAGTGTACTATAAATTGCGTCAGACACGTTAATCTGGATGATCCTATGTATGAAGGTAGCAAAAGATACATTCCTCGGACATCACGGATCTACTTATTCACTTGCCGCAGCCTTTAGAAACCTTTGTTCTTGTATACTCATTCACTCCCTCCTCGTTTTAACAAGCTCCTTAATTCTCTCAACGCACGCTTTGTATTGTGACAACTTTAGGATTTTGCTGATTGTTTCATCTGTGGCCTTGCAATTTTGTTATGCACAATGCATGAAAGTCATTCTTAAGATAGTATTCCCAAGGACAACCAAGATAAGAAGAAAAGACATCATGTGTCCCATGATCTTGAGGCCAGGGAATTGGTGAGGTTCTTCAATTGTCATGTTTCTAAACACCTTGAAAGTTATCATTGCAATTTATCCATTCTCTTGCCAGTCTTCTGCTATATCACGGTCATCTCTGTCCGAGCTAAATTGTGATTATACCATTATCATATTCCGTATATGGGCCGAAGGAGCTCACCTTCAAATTTTGCAATGACTCATGGATTTAGTATATTACATCTGCCCACAGTCCAACTGGCCCGTCTGCATTCTGCATAGCAGTGTGATGTCCAAACACCGTTAAGATTTATCTTAGTTAGAATCCACTTATCTTGTTTCACTTCATCTCAAGTTTGGATTTTAGTTGATTTCTTTACTGCCGTGTTTCCCACTTTCTTGAGATATAAAAGTGATCGAAAGTATTATTATCATCATTCATCTCAGTTACAATTCTTCACTTCAACATATTCAGTAGTCAATTCATGATCAGATCAGGGTTTATTACTATATACCCCTCTTTTGTTTAGCAGCTTGGTCTTTTGAAAATCTCTCTTCCTTGTTATTACACCTCCACTTCACATTTTGAATCATTCATTTTCAAATCAAATCACCCTCTCAATAGTCAGCCTGGAATCATCACACCAAAACATCACTCAAATTCAGAAGGAAGATTGAGTCAGCATACTATTACCAATCATGAAGATCTGAACCCTTCTGCTACACTTCAAAATGAACCATCATCCACCTCAGCTCATACTTTCAATGGTTTCAGCGTTCCATCAAGTGATAAATCAGTTTCACAGTTGCACATTGATAATTGTCAATTGACATTAGAATTGAATAGAATGAAAGAAGGATTTATACTAAAATTTAAGCAAATGGAAGAAACCATCAAGAGTAAATCTTCTCATCATATTGAACCTAGATCTGTAAATATCAAGAAGATCAACAAGAAAATTCCAGTTGTTGTTGATAGTAGCTCTGATTCTGATTCAAGTTCCTCTACAATGTAGTTCTGAATCTGAAGATGATAGCAATAGTAGTAGCTCTGAGTAGGAGAAAGAAGGACCTAGAAGTAGAAGTAGACCTCCAACAATTAGTCATAAGTTTTGTGCTTGGTGATAACATCATGAAAAGCAAGCTGATAATGTTAATATGAGTACATCTTCTAAATTAGAATTTAAATCCTTTAGACTGAACTTTGGCAAGATCTATAATTACCTCTATAATTATGGCAGAATTGACTTAAAGGTGCAGGTATGTAGCTCAATATTCCCATGAATATTTCTCTTCTGAACTTCAAGCACAACTCAAGAAGCAATACTAGTACAAAAAACCCATACATAAGAACGTGTGTGGCAAAAATGACGATTACATATCCGGTTTGACTTCAAGATGGGTTTGTAAATCCGGGGACCGGGTGCTGATGAGCCCCGTAAAACCCGGAGGTTACAGTGAGATCGGCCCGTGAGATGTATCCGACATTTTGGAACTGGTTTCCACAATCGACGCGGGTCCAGCTCTCAAGTCAAAGTAGCAGCACATTCATCTCGTCAAGGTCATCGCTACATTATTCTCCTACCGACCGAATGGATGACAATGTCAGCAGAAGAAAATGAGCAACGGTTTGCTATAAACCACCTGGATCTCTCAAAGAATGACCTATCAGTAGAAAGAGTTCGAGGCGATAATTCGTTGCTGTCGCAGATGCCTTCTAGCTATCCCAATTCATCTCATGCCTCGCCGGACGTTCCGGCCTCACAGTGGGTGATGTCTCAACCGTCCACCGGCACTGTGATGGCTGCAGTACTCCTTTTTACTGTTCTGATTGGTTATCGCAACACTCTCACTATCGTATCATGCATTATGATTTACCTTGTCGGCGTGATTATGGCCGTTCTAGCCTTCAACCTTGGTTTGCCACATTGGATTCTACGGCACGATACCTCTCGGATTCCACTCCACCCAGCATTAAAGACCCATTATAGAATGCGATTCTCGACACCAGCTGCCTATTCAGCTGCTCAAATCAAGAAAACTTGGGAGACACGGTCTGATTGGCGTCACGAGCGGCTCCATTCCAAACTTCTGGAGACGAGCACGTCGGTTCTCGACCGGTTGTTAATGAAGATCATGCGGGATTTTGTGTGGCAGGCAAGCAAAAACTAGTACCTCATTTTCACCCAGTCTTCCCCTCACTTGTCCAGTCGTTGGATGGCCTACGGAAACGTTCAAAACGGTACTGACCGATGATATTTACAATTCCTTGACACAGTGGCACAATGACCTTGTCCCATCGCCTTATGGATCTCAAAAACCAGGTTCATCCCATTCCTCCGCCGACACCTACTCGAGTCCCTCGTTCCCTCTGGCTGTCGAGAGAGTCATCCGGCATTGTCTCAAAGTCTTATTCATTCGACTTGAGCGACCCGATTTGGTTGATTTGGTGGTACACAAAGTATTGCCAATTCTAACCACTCATATTGAAGCATTCAGACAAGCCGAGTCCGACTTGCGCGGTGGTGGAAATTCTGGTCGCCACACCGGGCATCGTCCTTCCTCGCGCAGAGATTCACGCGGAGGAATTTATGGCGCATTCTTTAGCTCGGGAAATGATGAAATAGACCTTCTGTTGGCGCGATTGCATGCTGAGGTATTGCGGAAACGGAATGCGGAAACTGAACGAAATCCCTCCACCAATGGCGATTGTGACGGACCGCGGCCCATTGTTCGATTGCATCCTGCGGTCGACGTTCCTACTCCCAATTCTCAAGCATCTGAACAGGCTCACTTGCGTCGCTTGCTCGATAAGATATTACCGATTCTCCTACCCCCAGCCGAAGCCGGAAGTAGAGCGGTCAAAATTCTAGTCATTGAGCTGTTGACATGTTCAATCCTGGGGCCGATCATAGAGATGTTATCCGATTCTGACTTTTGGAATCGCCTTGTCGAGGACACGGCCGGCAATGTGATACGCGAGCAAAAGATGGTCGAGCAATTGAGAGAAGTTTTAGATCGACAGCTGGCGCTCGCGAGCATGGCCCCCTCCTCAAACACTTCTAGTTTTCACAATGACGCTTCTAAGGACGAGCATGAGACACTACCAAATTCCTCAAGTGCCAGACCGAACAATGCGCCAGCTGAAGGTTCTAAGGATTCGACTCTCACTGATCAGTACCCTTTTAAGGGCGTGTCAGCAAAACCGACCGACCGAATATCAGTCAAGAGCAGTGTCAAAGATTTTGAACGAATTTCACGATCGCTACATAGATGCAACACTTTGTTTGATGTACGGCGGCTCAAAAATGATATCGAGACTGAAATTAGGAGGACAGAAGCTCTGTTGACCGGTCGTATCAATCTCGAGGAAAACAGTGACGTAGAAATCAATCACAATGCCCCATCTACTGCTGTCACGGGCCTAAATTCATCAAAGATCCAGTCGCGTGATCTTGTGACTTATCTAGAGCGCCTTCAAGCTGTAAGAGAAACTGCCGATCATCGAATCGCTGCCCTAGGTGGCGCTGGAGGTCCAATCCACACCAACCGGAGCCTTAGCGCTAGATCCAAGACTGCGAACGCATATACTCAGCAACACCCACCACCATCACAAAACTCAATACCTTCTCAATTCGGCCATAAACCCAGTGATATTCTACAAGCCATCTTGAGAGATCGAGAAAGCCCTGCGTTGTCATACTTCACTGAATTTATGGATCGTAGGCGACGTGTCAACTTGGTTCAATTCTGGTTGGCGGTAGATGGTCTCAAAGATCCCTTGGAGGAAGAACTAGTCTTGGAAGATACCTCATCGCCAGGACTCCAAAACGCAGGTCGCCCTCACAACTCGTCTCATTTCTCTTCTTCAGCTACCCAGGCGACAGACGACCAAGAGAGCACCAATCGAGACTGGGAAGCTTTGAAAGATGATCTCAAGGCCATAGCGGCAATCAACTTTGGTTCTGTCGCGGCTATGAGCGCCCTCGGACTCCGAGAAGAGGACGTATTACCTCTACTGCGATTCTTGTCGGTCGATCCTGGCTCATATAGTTCAGAGACAGCCCCCACGATCGATAAGGCATTACCTGCGCTGGCCAATGTCAAAGAAGCCAAGAACCGGCTGTTCAATATGCAGCACAAAGTCTTTGAGCGGATGTTGTGTGAGGACTTCCCAGCATTTTCCGCTTCTGGTGACTTATACCTCCGAGCCACAGCGTCGGTCATACTCAGACCGTCTCGCTCTAAGCCCGCCTCATCAAATGCATCCATCTCTGAAGATATTTCACACTCATTGCGTCAGAAGGCGCGACCAGCCCTGTTGCCAGGGATGTCGATGTCTCCTATCAAGTCTAGATCACCTCCGATTCACCAATCCGATTCACCTGTCTATTCTGATCTAGGTTTTGATGGACCGACTAGCCCACAGTCTGCGGGCCATAACGCACCCAAAGTTCGACGCCCTTTAGTCCGGTCAAATTCCGACGAGCCCAAAATACGACCCACAAATCCACTCACACTACTCGCACAATATCAATCATTTCGCACGAGTGACACAGATTTCGGCTCCAGTGTAATCGAACATACGTCCCGAACACCGCCACGTGTTGTCCAACAGAGTTGGAAGCCAAGCGATCGATCGAGGCTTACAAGGGGTACAGTCGCAACAGTCTTACCTCCTCAAGTCACACTCCAAGCAGCGTTTGATGAACGCTTACCAAGCGAAAGGTTAACTGGCACCACTCACTACAGTCGTCAAAGTAGTAACCAATATGCTGAGCGACAATCCACGCCAATAGTTGATGCAGAGGCCAAGCCGTTTTTGCTATCCCCTTCATCAAGTTCGAGCTCTCGTCAAAACCATATCACCAGTTCATCTAGTCTTGATTTTCTCATGTTTCCTTCAACCAGTGATCGTGCCCCATTGTTCGGTGAGGACCTAGACCGCCATCATCAGGATATGACGCGACTGAGGTGCGTTTCTGATCAGTTCACCAAAATACCGAAATCGGGACAACCGGGACCTAGGCCTCAATCAGAATTGAGATTGAGAACTCGAGCGAATAAGCAAGAAGGAAGCTCAGGAGAGAATAGCTCGTCACAGTTTCCACAAGCCACAGAGCCTTCCATGAATCTGGCTGCTTCGATAGCGTTACAGGAAGCCTTGAGTTCAATCATATCGACGGCAGACGACGAAACTTCTGCTGATGAGCCAGTGCTCCGCATATCATCTTCACCATCGGGAACCTCGCCACGTATCAACCCGTCTCATTCTGATACCCTCGCGAGCCAGCTTCCTACTACGTCCCAATCGTCTAGTCATAGAGCTGATGATGTAAGTGGTGAGTCTGATAACATATGTTCTATGAAATTATGCGATTCTGAGGTTCTTTCGACCCGTCCATTCACAGAACACGCCCATCAGCGCAAAGGACTTTTTGATGACGATCCAGACTGGGATTCCGACGACTGGGATCCGAGGGACGCTACATACGGCTCAATACACTCACAGTCTACCGCTCAGTCAAGTTCCATACGAACACTTCGTGGACTAGGTTTTGATTCACGTACCCATGGGCGTAGTGCCTCGCGAGACCGCGCCCAGTCTAGTATTATGATCACGGGTATTTCAGATGCCGACGAGCGTATAGTGAAGTTAGAGAACCAACTCAATTTGCTGTCTAGTCTCATGCGACGGGCAGAGCTTACAGGAAACCGATTGGAGATTAGGCTGGTACGAAAGTCAATGGACTCGGTGGGCCGCGAATTATCGGAAGTGATCTATCAGAAGACTAGATTAATTGAACAAAAGGAAATCGAAGTAGGCGGATTTCGGGCCAAATTGATCCCAGGAAGGGTGAGAGTATCCATCACTGGCACGGCCTACCGCTCCGTGTCTACTAGCAGTGCGCCACTTGCAGCGCGAGGCTCCAACCTGTCTCCCATCAAAAGTGGGCCGACTTACTCGACGATGAACCTAGCCACGGCAGCTACTGGTTTAGTGACAGGCGGCACTCAAGATGTAGTTTTATACACAATCGAGGTACACAAACTCACCGAGGAAGATGGCAGTTTTGGGTCGGGTTGGATAGTGACAAGAAGATATAATGAATTCAATCTACTTCATAAAGCGCTAAAGGATCGATATACTATAGCTCGTCAACTCGATTTCCCTGCCAAAAGCATTGGTATTGGCATAGGTATCAGTATAGGAACAAACAACAGTCGCGGTTTGGTAGAGCAGAGAAAGCTTGCTCTTGAACGCTATCTGAGGGTGAGTGAGGAAGCCTTGATCACAGTTTGCGAGTACATGTTCATCACTCACATCTGATTACTTTTCCACTCCATGTAACTTTGCTCTCCTTTGATTCTCTTTCTCGATACCATCTTCAAAGTCATTGATACAAATTCCAGTCTTGTGCGAAAGTCCAGAATTGGCAGGGTTTTTATCGCGGTCGAAAGCCAACCTCCCATTTCTACCAGAGGATCCCAGTACAAGTCTGCGGCGGCAGATGGAACTTTTTGCTGGATCTGGTTTTGTCAGATCGATCTACAAGTCCATCACTTCTAGCGGTATGTCGAGCGTGGACGACAATGGTCGTAGACGCAACCCAGTCACCTCACCGCCTTCGATGTTCGAAGTGATGTTGAGTGGATTGCGTCAGCAGGCTCATGAATTTGCCTATGGCTACCCCTCAGGGTCTTCAGGAGTCACAGCTCCAAGTTTAAATTCGACAGTCTCGCCAGAAAGTATCACAAGACAATCTAGTGGCACAAAGCAGTCAGATGAATCTTCTCGGAAGTCACAAGATGAATACTACGAGGGAGATGCCCTTGCAAACTTAACCACCAACGTACGACCCATCGAAGGCGAGCTGCTCACCTCCTTCACAGCACCAATCTGTGACTTTCTGATTGAGATCTTTGAGCTAAATGACAAGAATCAATGGTTGAGGAAGCAAGGGATTGTGATCGTATTGCAACAAATACTGGGAGGTACTATTGAGAGGTTGGTCAGATTTTAACTTTATATATTTTTATCCAATACGACATTCTCTCGCATTTTGACAATCCTCGTTGCTCATTCATTCCGCGCGTCATAGAAAATTGCGTGAATCGATATCTGAATATTTAGACGACGAGCATCTATCACAGCTTATCGGTATGCTTGAAGAAAGTCTGTGGGAGCCTGAAACAGAGGGTGGAAAGCTGAAGAAACCGCCGCCGCCAAGGACATTTGAACAAAAGATTGGAACGCGTGACGGTGCCTATCGTAAATTGTCTGCTATCATTCCAGGTATGAGGTCTACCTATTTGATATACATAAAAACGGATCACTCAAGTGGTTGCTTACAAATTGATTGTTGCCATAGATCTCGCTGCTAGTGTATTAGGTCGTTCTAATGCGCGTAGAGGAGTCAGAAGATTGTTTTCAATGTGTCAAAATCGAAGGCTAAATAAACATTTGATTTACACCATCATTGATGAGGTATGAATCATGATATTTTATCGCCCATTTTGATAACTACTGATATCAACTCTTCTTCTTATCATGGTCTCTCTAGGTGTTACGAACATTGTTTCCAGAAGCCGGAATTTGAGCCTCTTGATACCCCACCAATGATGTTATCACATCCTATATTTTTCTTCCCCTTTTTCATGGGTTAGAAATACCAAACCTCAAATTTGAGATCTTTCTTTAACATTTCACTTACATTTAGGTTGTTTGATCTCATGATTCGCTCTGCATGCTTCATAATAATTATAATATAAATGTACTTCTTTGTATTGATTCACATAGGTCTAGTGCTAGAGACTGTTTGAGATTCAAATTGCTTAGGATATGGATCACTCTAGTCTATCATATCATCAATCCTAAAATATCAACATGTGATGCCACTGCTGACACATCACGGCTATGTACATCATTCTTATCAAAAAACCGACAGGTTGGGTCCGAGTGGGTCAATTGAAAGATCAGCAATGTGAATCTTTGATAATCATACAAAGTCATCTGACCAAGCAATGACATTTTGCCTTTAACTGAGATCTACTGAGATCTGCCGCCCCCACAATGCCGACCCATAAAGTCGCCATGCTCTCGAGAGACGTGAATTCTACCGTTGCAGTGTAAAATTTTGCAGAAAATCCATCGAGTTACAGTCAAATCAATACTGGTTGTATGCGGGGGCATTATGAGTTTACCAATGTAATTCTTTTAGGATAAGGATACATGATCATATGGATTCATTTCGTAATGGAAGTGCTGATTCGAGAAAAAGAAAAAAGAAACTCATTTGGCCATCCCCGAGTAGGCAAGGTTCTGACTCCAGTAAAAGATTCGACAAAAATCCAAGGCATGTGATCTCATGCTTTATTCAGATTGAGTTCCAGAGATAAGAATTTAGGTACTTTAGATCTCAATGAAAAGATGAGTTCGAAGAAAAAGAGTACATACCTATGTCACAAGTTTCGACGGTGCGATCAATTTGAAGATCTCCTCAGGTTGATGAGTCCATTAACTAACGTCAAGAAAGCCTCAATAGTGACTCTCGAATTCAACTTATCCATACAACCAGTAAGCATTTCTTCCAACACCGCTGCAGTATTGCAAGGGTGAAGTGACCAAACAGGTATTTGAGTAAAAGGATGCTCAACTTGAGTCATGAATGGAAGGATAACATTCTGATCTTCATCTTTAGGTTTTGCGGATCTTTCGAGAGTATTGAAAGGGTATTCGAGATCAACCAAGTTGGGATTCGATAATTCTTCCGTATGATGATCATCGACAAAAGATAAGTGAGATGTTTGAGGATTGAAGATATTTGATCGCATTAATTCTTCTAGTGTCAATGATGTGCCATCTATTGAGATCAAACCCAAAAGATATATCCAAATTTCTTAGTCATCATACCTTGAGGTAAGGGAAATATAAAAATAATAAGATATTTAGAAATTGACCGGACTTGTAGGCATTAAATAAGAAATGAGGTACTCTATAAGTTTCAGAGTAAACTATCCAAGTTTGAAATTTGATTATCATTGGTTCATCGGTAGTTTTGAGTCCTGATGAAGTTGATAGAATACTTTCATCTTCTAATTCCACTGGGATCTCTATATCTTGTAATTCTTCATCAAAGCTTTCTGATATTAGTTGAGAGGATAAACTTGATATTTCGTCTTGATTTTGTTCATTTGAAGACTCGTAGTCTTGGTTCCTAGAGAATGATTTCTTATTCAAGATTCTATCTAAAGCTTCACTAACTAAATATCCAAATCGATCATTCATCTAAAATCAAAATCACAAAAGTTCTCTTCAATCTACCAAAATTTATCCTTTGACAATCAAAATTAAGTATACAAAATTGCTCACCGGATGAGTTTCACGTTTCCAACCTTTGAGAAAATGATGTGAGTTGAAATCTGATTGATCATTTTGATTTTGAGGTGAATTCCAAAAAGTAAGGAACTCATTGCATGATTCTTCGAATTCTTTTCTGCTCAAATTCATCGACATCGTCCAAAGCTCTTGACCAGAGGGATTTCTTTGTCAATCTTTCTCTCTAATGCCCTGGTCCGAGGAGAGTGAACTGGAGAGCCATCGGGACGGATCGCGATCAAGTCACCCTATCGGAGTAGATAAACCGGCCCGACAGGTCGGCCCGGCTCCGAAGCAGAGGGCTTCAGCCTTTATCAGAGAATCCTCACTCACTGCAGATGTTGCATAACATACATGTCCTTTTCCTTTTCTTCATTTTCTGCATATCATTTCAACATCAACAGTTACTTCTCAATGAATCTCTTCTCAATGGGAATCTCCCACTCGACTTGTGAGCCACCTCAACCAAGCCCCTGATGAGGGTTGGGGGTTTGAAAAGGTGACAGCAATAGTAGAGGCTGAGGCAATCCAACTCCAGCTCCCAGAATCAGATTGAAAAACAAGCCAGTGCTCTGAGAACAATTGCTGGTGTATGTTAGTAGCCATTGTCAGTTCCACAATTGGTTTTCACTGCACTAATACATCAGCCAGCCACTCTCACACAAGTCTGGCCTTTATGATCAACTTACACTGCGAATATAGTGTATTTTTCCGAGCTGAAAAATGATCACATTTATTTCACAAAATGATTAAAAATGCATTAATTCTGCATTAATTCTGCATTATTAATCATTTTGTGCATTAATGTCAATCATTTTTTGCCTTGGAAAAATACACTATTTTCACGGTGTTAGTTTGTGATCTAGGCAATGTGTAGCTGAGTTTGTCAATAAATTTGTTAAAAATAGTTTACCAGCTGTCAAAGGAACCGGTGACTGTGAAAAACAGATGTGAAATCCAGGACCTACACCCAAAACAGTACCTGGTGGATTACCTCACTTCATGTCATTTTCCAGGTGGGGAGTGGTATACTTGAAGCATAACAACACTTGTGCACTTGAGGATAATATTGATTTTGGTATGGAGTTATCTCATCATCTTCAGCCAAATTTATATCCCAAAGAAAATTCTTGGAATCAAGAAATGGGTGTTGTGCTTAGATTTGGTATGTCTTGAGCTGAAATATCTTGAGGGGTTCTTCCATTTTTACTTGCATATGATGTTACCAAAAGTAGTGCACCAGTATTAAGGGTCAACAAAGCATAATTATGAGAACTTCACAAGAAGATAAAGCAATGCCAAGTGAAGGGGATTTTCTTGAAAAATACTCAAAAGATGCACTAGAACTGGTGCATCTTTTGTTCCTTGGTTGCAAGCTGAGACTTGTTTCTACAGTCAACTCCCTCTAAGTTGATATCCCTATAAGTGCATAATTCTCTATGTGCATAGGATTTTTTGCCGCCAAAAAGGGGTTTTCAAGCCAAAATGAGGTCTATAAGTGCATATTCCTTTAAGTGCATGAAAAAACCACCCGCCAAACTGTATGTAATTAGAGGGAGTTGACTGTACAACAAATGAAGCTGGTAAAGAAGTATCAAGCTACCTTCCAGCCAATCCCACAATTCCTCTCAAGACTAGGGGGGTCAATATATCCTAGAAGCACTGCCACCTCAGCTGGTAGATTTTGCAAAATGAATGCATTCACCAGCCATAATGTTCAAACCACCAGGTACCAGATCAAGCGTAGATTTTGTAATTCACATGTGAGTTCATAACTTCCCACAGTTTGGCAAACAAATTTAGTCACTTCCTCTCAAGTCTAATAGATCATTTTTGGACAACCTCCTTCAAATTCAATTTGTGATGAACAAGATCATAAGTGGTACCCGTGTGGCATCAATTGCCTAATGAGGACACTTAAAAATAGTTACAATCATCATTCATCTACAAAACCTGAACACAAGCTAAAATGCAAGATACAATGCCAGCAGTGCCACAAAAAAGTAAGAAAAAGATGACCCAACAAAACCTTTGTGACCACTATTGTATGGATAACTCCAAAATGGAAAGACAACATTTTTCTTAAACTCACCCATGACATTACCAGCACTTTACACACACACACACATGATGAATAAGTACTTCTTGTGTTCTTCTTCTTTATAGATCAATACATGAAATGAATCAAGACTTACGGAAAATAAACACATGCCACTATTGAAGCTTTCTTTCCCATCTTCTGGTATACTTTTGAACCTGAAAAGTGTCCTACATCATCACATGCACTGATAGCACATCCAACTTGAGTTGTTTCACGCCATACAACCTCTATGATGTATTAAATCAATGTTAGATGTGAGCTGGTCTTGAATCCTACTCAGTCAAAGAGATCATGTAAAATAGAAAGAGATTCACGTGTGAAATGTGAATAACTCGGTGCACCTGGATTGTATGATCCTGCTTCATTTGGCCCATTCACCCATGCGTCCACGATCCCTCGAATGTCAGAAGCACCAGCAAACAAGTTCTACATAAGCAAATCCACAACACATATGCCAATCATAACACTCAACTCAATTTCAGTGTTTGTTTCTGAAAGCTTTGAAGAAAACAGATTGAAAAGTGAGATTCTCTAACCTCTCCATAATGTGGTCCATTTCTTTCTGGTTTCGAATGTTCAAAGTTACATCGATTTGTAAACTTTTGAGCTCTATTTGCCAATTCTGGATCCCAACTTAAATCAGGTGCAGCAAACTTTTTTCTATGAAAGTTATGCCATTTGACCCATCTTAAGAAATTCATTTGTTCATTAATCGATTGATCTTGTAGAAGAATAAATTTTTATGTGAGTTTGAAGTGAAGAAGTACGAGATTACTTACATATCAGACGCAGTACTTTCTTCCCTCCGCAAGAGCTTCAAGTTAGTGGCTTCTGTGATCGTGTCATCAGACTAGTTTAGCAGAGCGAAAAAGATTGATTCTGATGATCAGTGCTTTCCAAACATTTTTCAAACCAATATTGTGCATCACAGATTATGAGACAGATCCTAGTCAAAGCGTACCATGTCTCCTTGCATTGATAGGTCATAGTTCAAATTGCCCGCAGTATATTCGAGCTTTTGGTCTTTATCAAGGTTCATTTGAAGCTCTGCCATATTTTTGAGTGTCTCTCCAACTGAGGAATCGGAAGTGCCACCACGTTCCTGGTGAAGTAGAGAGCGGTCCTGAGCAACACGTTCAGATGTATCAGTACTTCAGCGGAACTCATAATCAGCAGGTGTGTGAGGTTTCATGTCGTACAAATATGTTGTTGATATGATCATCCGAATCGTCATATCCGCTGATAGCCAATACTTGATCCTCAGAACCACCGTGATGCCCTAAATTGGACCTCTCTTGGTTAGATACTTGAGACAATAATTTTATTCCACTAAAAGTCGAAAGAAGTGAAGAGATTTGTTCTCCTAAGATACCAAGACGAGGATTCACAGAATCGTAATATGCTTGATTATCTATCCCACTACATAACCAAGTCAAATATGAAATCATGATAATCCTCACAAGATGTGATATGACTTTGATCATCATTTTAGGCTTGGTGATATATTAAGAAAATAATATAATTGCTCACATACAGAGGAGAAGATGATGTGAAGAAGTACTGACCCAGGATCAGAAGTTGATGGTGTAAATTTTCTTGTCATAATCCAATCATATGATTATATGCCACCAGTTGCTCATGAATTGGTGTACGCTGTTGTGATGTCATGGTGTTTTCATAGACGGGCAAAGCACCCGAAGGAAAAAGTCTGCACTCTTTTCCATCATCACTATGAAGGTTGTTCACGAACCTGATGAATATTGAATTTCAATCTCCAGACATGACTTCATATTAGCTGACTGAATGACATTTGGAGGAGAGCTGGTATGATCGACTTGGTTTCGAGATGAGATGGTTAATGAAGGATCTGGCTTCGAGAGTAAAGCAACCTTTTCGATCGTTTCATGACCATTCATCACTCAGACCGAGATATGCATCACAAATCTCTTCGGTCAAAACGACGTCGATTCGGAACTTTCAATCCTGCTCAAGATGATCGTGACTTGTTGGGTTTATTAAAAAATCTTGTGTTGTGAGTAACTTTAGTTTCGTGATTTGAAGTCATGTTAAAAATATCAAGATTTCGTCTTCACAACATTTAACTATCAAAGAAAAAGAGAAACAACTTATTTTGCAAATATCTTACATAGTATTGATTTGATCAAATCAAAGAAAGTCTTAACAACCAAAACCTAAATCCCAACACTGAAACTAACCCCCTCCTCCCATAAAAGAAACCTCAAACAATAAAGATAAATTCATCCCTTCTCTCCTATATACTTACATCAAAACTATATATATACAACAAAACCTATTCATTTCAAAGCTATCATTACCCATCTTACTCTTCTCTGTCTGATTACTGGACAAGATCTACATACCAACAAAAAGGAGAAAAACCTGTTCATTTAAAAAACGATTTCACCCCAGAAATTCCTGAACTAAAAGCTGATTTGCTAGCTTGTTGTTGTCCAATCCGTTTAGCTTGTTGAACAAGTTGTGAAGCAGCATTCGATAAATCATCAAACCTTTCATTCAAGGTTTCTAATCTATCTCCGCGTTGATTTAATTCATTCAAGTTTTGTGAAAGTTGATCATTTGTGTTTGCATTTGAATTTGTAATTGACTTGGTTTGATGAGTAGGAATCATCACGTGTGAGATTCTAGATTGGGTAGGTGGTTGTAATGATGAGATTGGTTTCTCTGGTCGAAGTGGTCCGGCTAAGATTGAATCGATTTCTGCACCAGTGATTCGAATGGATGATGAGTGATTTAGATCATTTGGATAATGATTGTTCGAACTATGTTGAGCTACATTAGCTCCTTGTAACCATGATACTAGGTTAGATGCCAAGGTCGAAGCTGCTGCAAGAGCTGAGGTCCTAGGGTGAGGGGGCTCAGGTGTCTTGATGTTAGGATTGTGAGCAGTAACAGAAGGCAAGTATGCGGAGTCTCTCCCAACGAACAGCGTAGTCAAATGGATCGTCGCCAAATCCACTTGTTCAATCACATCAGCCGATGAATCGATTGTCAATCGACCTACGCTTTCAATACTTCATGAACGAAAAGATAACATTCAAGATGGGGGTCAAAAAGATTTGAGTCAACAACTAACATAAAGGGTGAACCATCTCTGTTAAAAAGAGAAAAGCACATACCCATTGATTACCGGAAGGAATGTTTTACATATCTGATCAAGATGTGGCAACGACAGCACATAGCACATCCTTTTCTCATCAATCAACAATAAAGCGCATGAAGTGTGATACCTGATAATGGTAGCTTGAATAACAGGTTCATTTGAGAGGTTTTCCTTCTTGAGCAATAGGGGTCCATTAATATTCAGCCTAACCACGACTGAGCGACGAGATACAATCACTAATAGTCCATGGATCGCTTTAGAAGAAGATCCGTCATGGTGCTGATCGGTGATCGGATCCATTCTTGTCCCCTCTGATAGAGCTCTCTGCAAGCTTGCCAAGTTGGATGATTGAATTTGGCCCTGTGAATCGAAAACAAAACAGCCAATCGGTGGGTTATTCTCTCCCTTTTCGTTTTTTTCATGACCAATGCTATCATTTGATAAACCGGTGGCCGACCAACTATCGATCATGTGAGATTGTGATAGGTAGAGCTTTAGAAAATCGAATGTGCCATCCTCATATCCGACCAAGAGTCGAGGAAGCATCAAAGAGTCTGTTAAATCCGCATACACAGTCACAGCTCATTGTCAGTCAATGACACATGTCTTCAAATGGTACGATCCTACGGGGACATAATAAATGAGCTTACCAGTATAGAGAGCAGAAACCGCCCATCTCAAACATCGAATTCTTTTCTCCTCGGATTTCTGTTTACCTTTCCCTGCGTTGTGATTTTGAGGAATCACTTGATCGTCAAGCAAGAGCTTTTGATTTCTCAGATCATATACTTTGAGTGTCGTTTGATCTGCTTGAGCTATGGCCATAAATCCCATATCAGATATTGCTACGACCAATTCATTGGTAGTTGATTCATTCTTAAGCCAAATCATTGGACGAAAGCACGCTTGGGTTTCATAATAAGATTGAATGTCCGAGAGATCAAGTCCAATACTGTTTTGAAGCACTTTCTCTTCCATTTGTGCTGTATTCGAGACATTTGCTGTTATTTCTGGTGTATTTGAACGTGTACAGCTGGTAGATACCACCCGTCTACCTGAGCGAGGTGGGCGAGGCGGAGGTGGAGCAGTTTTACCGACAGGAGTACTTGGTGTGGCTTCCTGGGGCTTTGGATCGGTAGTAACATCAGTATCGATTGGGGGAAGGGAGACCTTTAGTTTCGAAATGTCTTTTTCTGAATCCTCCATGACAGTCTTCAGTTGCGCAGCTTCTGATGAGACCTGCGGTTCAGCAGCTTCCACTGCGCCCTGCGGTTCATCAGAGGTTGTCGTCTTTGAATCTAACTCGTGCCCATCAACCAGGATAGCGGAGGTAGGATCTCCTGTTGACAAGGTGAATTGAGTAGGATCTGAGGCGATATTTGTCTTTTGAGGAGAAATGTATTTGGCTTGATGGAACGAATAAACCAAAATTTGATGATCAGGAAAGGTGAGAACAAGATCTAAACTTTCTGTACTGAGGAAGACTCGAACAGGTTGATCCAAATGTTGACGAGGATAGAGGTTTGAGGTCTGATCTAGGAAAATATTCAAGTCAATGGTAAGATGGTCCAACCTGGCTGGAAACTCGGTTTTTAACTTTCCCGGGGTAGAATAGATAGCGTCGGTTGAAGACCGATTGGACGGATTGATAGGCAAGAGTAATCCCATACTAAAGTCCCAAAACCTAATCTTCTTGTTCATATGAACGGTGACCATGATTCGGAACTTTTGCTGAAATTCAGTGATCAATTCTGATGAAGTGGCATGATCTGATCTAAAAGCTGGTGAGATACCTGCTTTTCCTCCATTCAGAGGTAATCTTGCCACGTCATTCCGACCTAAACTGGAGTCGGGAGTAGGCTCTAGCAATTTATGGTATGCAGTCTCTGGCAGCTCAAATACTTCGCAAGCAATAACGGTGTTTGATCCGATCCAATCGAAGGTCCCAGGTAGCTGGAGCTCCCTAGGTTCATGTTTTAGGCTGGGAGGGAATGTAAAGGCGCGAAGAGAACGATCTGAGACGGAGGGTTTAGAATCAACTCCAGAGTGATCCGTTGACGGTATGCCAGTAGAAAAACGAGGAGGTACATCAATCTGGGCGGTACAGTTGATGATGATACTGATCGGATCATGTGAGCCATCGAAGTAAGGATTGCTTCGTGGTATCAAAAGGAAATCCTCTGGGGTCTCTGAAGTCAAATAAATAGAATGACCAGATGGCGATGTGGATGCTCGAAGTGACTCGCGAAGTTCAGGTGTCATCTCTTTCGTGATATTTGCAGAGTGATAAGCTGGAAGGTGAAACACATGGACCCCCACCGGATCGCCTGACATGAGGCCGCCTAGAACAGTCAAGAGAGTTCCATCCTTTGAAGATCTAGGCTGATCGCTAGTGTCTAAATTGTCGACAGAGAAGATAGGGTTCTTGCTGAGGCCTGATGAGTTGGATTCAGAAGGAAATGAGCTCCAAGCAATCCGAAAGATTGGCTCCCTGGTCGGCTCTTCGGGTGTTAATCGAGAGTTGGAAGGTTTCTGGTCGACTTTAGACTCAGTCTCACCCCAGTCAAATACTAAGGCATCTTCTCGCTCCATTGTACGGACCAAGATGGGAACATCGCCATCATGAAGTGACCAAAAAGCTAGACATCCATCCAAATGACCTGATACAAACATCTCTCCATCTGGACGAAAAGCTAAACATGTGACACTGGGTCTGCGTTCTTCGAAGATCAATGGACTATTTGAGTTCCTGGTTGAACCAATTGCGCCTGGTGGAATGACTAATTCGTATGATCTTATCGCAGATTGTTGTTTTAGATCGTAAAGAGTGATTCCGCCTTCATGAGCTATGAGGAGTAGATTGAGGTCTAGCGGATGACACTTTAGGTCGGTACAGACTGGACTAGAATAATAGAATCAAGAAATGAGCTGATTCTGTCCCTTCAAGACCTATATACAGCTAGGCTGCAAGAGCTGATAGTACTTACATGTGTCTCCGACTAGGTGCATCCGGTACGCCACTTCGCCTCAACATTTCATCGTGCTCAAGCCAGAGATTTCGAATTCTGTGAAATAATGATCGAGAGGATCAAATGAGAGTGACAGAAGTTGAGTGAGATCAGAAGTTGAAAATTGAAAGATTTGAACCAGATGTACCGATAAGGAGATGTGACACCTCTATCGAGATCAAAACAATCCACTGTTCCATCTTTGAGACCCAGGAAGAGATGAGAATGAGCGGGGGACACTGCAAAACACCTGAAAAGAAGAGATGATCCGCATCAGATGCTGCCCAATTGAAAGAGTGTTGATCATATGAATTATAGCAGACATGACGATAGATCTGATCGAGTGAGTAGATTGACGAAATGGAACCCCATCTTGAATAACAGCCAAATTATAGACGTATAAAGTATCTTTGATATCTGTGAAATAAGAGAAAGTTGAGTCAGATCAAACTTCAATTTGAAAGATATCAAGAGAGCAAATGTACCTATACAAAAGATGAGTGAAGAACCGGGTTTGAAGGAGATATGTTTGATCTCATGAGCCGGTCTGTTTTTCCAAGTGAGATACACACCAGGTGCACCCCAAACATGAATGGATCCAGCGGCAGTTCCAACAGCCAACAAAGATTGTAGAGAGTCATGGCACATGGAAGTCTGAAGTTCACCGAACAAAGAAATGAGTTAAATTGACGGATAATGAACTTTGAAAGATATGATATTTTGATTTTGATTTACAATTTTAGGTAAACCGAACTCGAATGACTTCGCCACTGAGAACAAATCTCTAGTATTCTTTGAGAATGACTCAGACCAAGACAAAGATTGAAAGGCTTGATTTGATTGATGATGATGTTTGTTAAGTTGAGCCTTGATGAAATCCATGATGAATAATAATTTAAGGTGAATATATGATATGAATTGGATGATGATGGATGATGTTTATATACTTTTGATTAGTTCTTTGGTTCTTGTGTTGTTAGTTGATTGAGTTTCTTTCTTCTTGACCATGGAGATGGATGAGATGAGATGGATGAGATGAGATGGATTCATTCATGACTTCATGACCGTTGACCGTCGATGATGACTTGTGATTAGACTCTGCACTACCTGACTAAAGCCATAAAACGTGATCAATACAGATATGATGTTTTGGCTATTCACATGAATCTTGATTTTCCCTTTGATCGATAAAAAGAAACAGTATCACGATTTAAAGTTTGAACTCAACACTCGTTTCATAGTCCTCATCAACTTTCATTCATTCAAAGTATCACTTTCAAAATTACCAAGTTAGAATCACCAGGAACGATGGTCAACTTTCTATCTTGATGTTCCATGAAACTTGATATCAAATCGAAAAAGTTTCTTATATACATATCACAACTTGATAAACTCGAAAATGAATCTTCCATCATGGTTAAGATCATTAGGAGGATTTGCATCGCAAAATGAGGAACAACTTGATTCTCAAAACCATACTTCATCAGATTCAATTCATGTCCAAAAGCATTCAACACAATCAGTCTCAAAAAATTCATCCAATGATAAACGTTCAAGAAAACTCAAACAAACTCAATCTACATGTCAATCCAACAAGCAACTAAGCTTGAATGTAGAAGGAAACGTATCACAGTCAACATATCTTGCGAATCTACGAGATAAATCTGCAAAGACGCTTCCACCAGCACCCATAAATACAAGGAAGAAGACTCAAAATGATAATTTAAAGAGACCCAGAAGCCCATCGAGTCTAACCGATGAAAGAAACAGTAAACAAAGAAAGTCTAACCGCGAGGAGCCAAATCAGTCATCTAAACCTTGGCTACATCGACTTTTTGAATCTGTTGGAATTAATTCATTACAAACTTCACAAACTGATGAATCTTCATCGCTAGAGCGTTCTTTACCTGATGGTTGGATAAAAGAAATTGATAGACTAGGGAGAGAGTTTTATGTAAATCAAATCACTCATCAAACAAGCTTTGAGTTTCCTCAAATTGAAGAAATTGATGTAAAACCAATTTTATCTAAATGTATGAAGAAAACACAATTGATATCTAAAACCTCAAGGTTACCTCGTTTTCTTCCTGATCTTGAGGGGGAAGAAAGTACTCAATATCATCAAAACAGTCAGACTAGATCTGCTTCTCTTGACCTTTCATCTACTTCTGACAGTCAAGATATATCTCAAAGAACTCGTCTAGATCATGAATCACTTGGACGTCTTCAAACTCGATCATCATCCAGTAGGACCATAGAAGATGATCAACTACAACCCCAATATATTAACCAAATCAGACATGAACTACTTGAAGAGGATGTCAAGCCAATAATGATGACTACCAAGGAAGGAAAGAAGGAACCGAAAAGACCTGTTATACTTGATCTTGGATCAGATTCAAGTATGGAGGATATTGAACCTGACTTACCTATTGATAATCAGAGACCCTGTAATTTGGAAACACCTGCTAGACAAGAAGACCATAACAATGATTCTGATCACGATCTCTCTGATTCAATTATACTTCTTGAGGAAAAGCCACAATCTAGACCAAGTTCAATAAATCAAGCCTCATCTCATCCTAACTCGGAGTCCTGCGATATCGACCTTGTACCTTATGATGAACTCGAAGATCAGTTAGCAGGCATTGATAGAGATCACATAGATATGTCTACTGAAAGACAGATTCAATCGCATACCCCTTCAAGCGCTCACACTCTTGCATGCTCGAATTCATCATCACTCGGTCACAATGACGAACTTGATGAAGAAATAGAATATATACAAGCTCAGCAAGTGAACACTGATCAAGATCTCATCAACTTATCTCTTGATGAACAGAACAAATCTAATACTCCTTCACGCATTCAAAATCTGCCACAGTCTACATCATTCTCCCTGGATCATCTTGATTATGATGAAGAAATGAATCGATCAGAAATTGGAAAGAAAGAAGATCGGCTTCTTATCTTAACACATTTAAATGAAGAATCAAGTATCGAAGAATTGATTAAATTTGTCAAAACAGGTGAAGATCCTAAAAAGAAAATCAAATCAATTAAACCAGAATCAAAATCGGATCTTAAATTACCACAACCATTGAGGATTTGGTGTGATCTGAATTCACGTGGGTATCCAAAAAGTTTATGGGATTTCGTTTCAAAATCAAAACGGAATTATATTGGTGAAAAATTTAATCATGGAAATTCAAATCATCGATTTATTATTATTGAATACGAATTTAATTTTCAAAAAGAATTGGGTTATAAGTTTTTTAAAGGTGGGGTACATGGAAGTAATAGTACATTTTATTCGGGATCTGTTATGGTTCATTTCTTGGATGATCTTAATGTAAGTGAAATCAAAAGAATTTTTTCTTATGATCCCAGTTTGATCTCAGTTTGATTGAGGATTCGGTTTCTATTTTTTGATTACGTTTTTGTATTTATATAACAGGATCTTAAAGGGTGTGATTGTATATATGATCAAAATCCTGAAATCATTACATGTAAAATTGTAAGAGAAAACTTTCAAAGATTAATCAAAACATTAATTTCAATTGGCCAAGAGAGAAAAGAAAAAGATTTAAAACCAGTTTGGCAAAAGTTAACAAAAGAAATCATTGAAGATAATTTTACAAAAAGTTTAAATGATGAGGATTTAATGGTAGGAGATTTTAATGAGTATTTAAAAGAAGCTTCAAGAGTTGGAATTGTTAGGATGAGTAAAGTGATTGTTGGTAAAGATTTAAATCAAGTTGATCTTTTGGGATTGGGTGAATCGATTGTACATTGGCAACTTATGAAACCTTTTAGGAAATTGATGGTAAAAGACAATTGAAATATTCATGAAGTGATATTGATCATATTTAATTTAATTTGTTTGTCTGTTTTAACACTGGTTTAGCAAGAGGGATTGTAATAATGTTTATTGATGTGATGAGTCTGAATGTAGATTGACGGTAGATACAATAAATAATTTTGATTAATGAGCTTTCCAGATACGTTAAGATTTTTCATTTTTTTCCTTTCAAAAATTATTGACTCTTGATCTAGAATGCTTGCAAGGATGTAAGTGTGATGATCTAAGCTTGAAGCTTTCTACTCTTGTTGACTCACAAGTTGATCAGCTGGAGCTCCTTTAATACAAAATGAATCATCCTTGGGGTGTCCGTTTTCATAGAGTGGCATGTTGAGAGAGCCGTGAGAACATGGTTTCAAGGGTGGATTAGTTTCATTCAGGCTAGGTAAGGTACTAGGTACACTAAAAGTCCACCTTTGAGGCGTACCAAGAAAAAACAAGAAGGGTGTACGCCTGAAGGGGACTAACACCTATTGTTGTGATTCTTGGTGGTAGAGGCAATGGACTTTGAGTGGTAGCAAAAGGTTCACAATCAAAACATCTTGATGCACTTGTGTGGTTCTGTGTGCTTGCAGTATGTGATAGTTCCGCTTCCTGTGCATCGTTCCCTTGACTCAGATTATTTTTCTTTGTTTGAAAACAAAAGTTGCTCCATTGCTCAAAAAGAGCACTTGTGAATTTCTCTCAGACCTGCTTTTTTGTTTTGAAATTGCCAAACTGCCCTTTTTGTACCCTTATACCCTCATATGTCAGTCTGGAGAGGTTTCAAGGGTACTTGGCTCAATCTCCACTGCAGCAAACTGCTGGACTAGTCCTGATTTCTCTCCTATCCGGATTTCTCTCAAAGTCACATTGCTATCAACGAATTTTTTTGCTCCAATTGCAGTGCATATTTGGTTGGAGTTTTCTTCTGTCATAGTTCTCCCCCAAAACAATGAACAATACATTCAATTTGGGTCCTTTCTTGTATCACAAATTGCATATGGATGGACGAGTTCATATTCCAAAGCATCTGACACTGTGGCTGTAGTTGTGTGGCACCTCAATGTGCACACACAGAGAGGTGTCAACAAAAAATGAATGTTTTTGATCTTGTTCTGATTGAGAGTACTGTGCAAGCCTGAACACCCCTTTGAGAGAGAAAATTAGCACAAAAAGTTTCATTGATTGGCAATTTGATCTTGCAAGAACGGTCCAATACAACCTTTCTTCAATTTTCAGGTCCACTCAACCATTGATGTTTTCTCACCCCATTGTATGCATACATTGAGAGTTGTTTGATTTGGCATAATCATGATTGATCTTTTGAAGCCGCCAAGGATATTATAACACACCCCAAAAGCAAAGTTGTGGGGGAATGCACTTTCCTCAAATTCAACCTGGTAGTCTATCTGAACATTTTTGATTTATCATCACCTGCTGACTAGCTAGTAGTGTCTTTCTCAATTTCCAAAAATGACTCCATATCCACCTCAAAATTCAGTTCCGACCAGTGCCAATGCTTGTGTTCATCACAGAGGGAAAATTGAGGAGCTGTGTGAAGAGCGTGGAACCCGCTTGATGTACCTTTCACCTTATCCACAGGTTTCAATCCCATATAGAAAGCATTCAGTGTTTTGGTGGCTTATCTTCATCACACTCAATTCTTGCATGGTTTAATGCAAGAATATATGAAAGATGCTATTGAAGAAGCTGTTCACTGGTGATTACTTCATCCAGTACAAGTGCTATAGAGCTTTATCCAAGTGAACTTTTATTCTATTGCATCAGAAGTAGCTGAGACATGAAACCCAGCTGAGGAACCAATCAATTAAATTGGATTTTTCTATCAAAAACTTGAAACAAGAAACTTTCATCCCCAGGAAATTGAAGTATAGACACAGAAACAGTTTAGAAAGCAATACAATTTGACAGGATTGTTTTCAGTTGGATCACATTTTGGGGTTTGGGTTGTTTGAGGGCTGGCTGAACTATTATTTGCATTCACATTTGTTCAGAGCCCCTTGTAGCTTTATCCTTGATTGTCTTATACTCAAAAAAGAAACAACAACGGTCATGATTTTGAACTTGTCTCCCTTGAGGGAGCCCTCTTAGGGCTTGATCCAACAGGCTACAGCTAACATCAAGTTCTTTCTGTGAGACTGCTTCCATGAGGGCTTTGGAGATATTTGCCTCAAGCAGAGTGGACTGCATATCAAAGATCTGAAAACCTCAAGATTATAAAAAGTGAAACACATGTGACACAGGCCTCTGCCTGGATTCACAGGCATGCTCTTTGGCTGATCAGGGAGAAGGTATTTTGTCACAAAGGGGGCACAAATGTGTGCTTGGGGTACAACTGTTATTCAAAATCAATGTCTGGACACAATCAACCTTCCCATGTCTTGAAATCTCACCGTCTGAGCGCACCTCAACAAAATAAATCTGCCTTGTGTACTGAAGACTTGTTTGAGGGTTCAGTCGTCTTGCCTCTACAAAAAGTCTTTTGTGTGTGCACATCAACATGCTACACAAATACATACACGGTGTGATGACACAGTGTTAGAACTCATATGAAAAGCTTTGGACTCCATCTCTATCTGGAGCTGATGCGACTTGAGAAAACAATGCATTTTTGCAGAAACAGAGAAAATTTATCAATCACGACTTTACAGATTATTACACTATGAAACATTATGTACGGCCACATCCTATGTCAGAAATGCTTTTTCGGAATAACAAATCATAACCTCGAGCAAAAAAAATGCGTGTTTGAACCAATTTGAGAAAAATTAAGAAGATGGTGCCTCATCGCTATTGGAACAACCGACGTTGCGAAGAATGAGCTTCACTCCTATTTTAAACAGATAGAAAGGCGGGACATTAGAAATTCGGAACAAGGAGCCAGCATTCTAGGAAGTAATTATGCTCTTGCTCACCTTGATTCGAAAATGCCTTTGTGAGGGGAGTAGAGTCCAACATTCCCCTGAATGTTTTAGCGGGAGAGACGTGAAAAGGCTCACTGAAAGTGGATACTAATTCCGGCATATCTCCATCAAGATTGTCATCTGGTCTTTATATTGATTGCACCAACGTCACGTCTGGTAAGCTTAATGAACGGTCGTGTGCGTGCATCATTAGACCTTGAAGAATCACTTACGAATTGAGGTCTACTATTGAGAAACGACATGTCCAGCTGCCTTCGGTGCGAACTGCGAGATCCGAAAATATGAAATAAACACCTGAACAAAACAAAGAGTATTACATTTGATGAGCTATCAGAGTGGACAAATGTCGCAAAACTCAAGGATTTACCAGGCTGTCCAAACTCGTTGCGCAAAAGGCGCGCCTGAGTGGTCAACGACCCAAGCAAATTGCGTACGGGATACGATTCCAACTCCGAATCAGACACATTCAGAACGGGAGATGACAATTGGTCAACTATAGAAGACGATGGATTGTAAACTAAACCACGCGGCTCCCGCCGATCGGCACTGTGGAGTGACACATGGCAAAATAGTGTATCTGCATCGATCGTTCTATGGCACATATGGAGATCAGTTCAGTCACAATCGAGGTCGACAAAGGGTAGAGAATAGTGACGAACTCAGGCGCCACAATCCCACCGCGTGAATCCACTACACTCAATTTAACGACCGGTGGTGGATCTGTTAGGAAAGAAGACCTGATGATCAGAAGCTTTGCTATAGACTGATATACTTGAGTGTGTATCGGACGCAATCCCCTCCAAGTAAGAGGTACACCCCAGACACACAAGAGCGCTCAGTGAGAACAAAGAGCGCGTTTAAAATCCAGATGAGATTTAACTCAACCTATTGGGCGGCGGTCTTTCTGCAAAAGACCGCAATGGTAGCGCGGTAACACACGAAAGTCGAGACTTTGAGTAAATGGTCACGCGGTTGCATTAGCTCTGCTTGGAGATGAAAGCACTGACTTCTCCAAAGCCCGACATACGACATCGCTCAGGTTGTTGGACTACTTCTGCCCGGAAGCTTAAGGCAGCCAAAACGTGGGTCAGTGACAGGGCGAATCGGAGTGTTAAGATTTAAGGTTCGAACGCACATCAGCTGTCGATGAGCAAATTGGCCTTTGAGAAGTGTGAATAATTTAGAAGAGCTGGCGGTATTAGCGCTGGAACCAGAAGAATGTAATGAGGCACCCTGGGTTTGCGAATGAGTCACTGATTCAGACTCAAATGAACGTGAATGAGACATGGTTGGGCTTGAGGGATAGGCGCGATAAGCACAATCACTATCAGGCGATGATCGAGAGGCAGCAGTCGAAAGAGGTGATGGCAGGGAAAGATTCATCCTGAAGGGGGGAACCTCAACGACAGTAAAGATTCAAGAAGCTTAAGAATTGAGAAAAGTGAATAGAAGCTTGATAAGTCGATCTGGCAGTCAGTACATACAAATCGTGTCTGAATGCAAAGTATATATTTTACAATGTGCTTGGTACCAAATTTTAAGAAACCACATCTCCTATACATCTCCCGGAATAACTACAACTCACTTGCGAAGTTGCGCGCCTCTATCACCGGCCGAAGTCGCCAAGCTCAAGCCTCGGATTAGATTTAGATATAGTGTACTGCCATCTTCTCACGATTCCCTTAGACTCCCCGGCCATCCAGCAGGGGAGATGTTACCATACATACACATGTTATTTTTGGAATTCTTTTGTCTGGCCACGCTTCTTGCATACGGACGTAACGCTCGACGACGATGAAAACAGCTACACCAGGGGGTAATGGTCCTCGGCCTCGGCCGGTTCCTGTGACGATTTCAAAGGTTTCGTCACAAGAACCGCCCAGGAAGGTGTGGAACCGGTTTCGCCGAAACGGTTTCGGACACCATTCCACCACCGCTTCTTGAACGAGCTGCATGTCAGCAACCGTTTGAGAACGGCTGCTGAGGCGGTGGTGAAGCGGTTTGTTCGAGAACTGTCAATATATGAACAGTGACCGTATGAAAACGGTCACGGATGAAAGTTATGTTTCAAAAAGACAACTCACCTCAACTCACACTGATTGATTGTGCCACCGATAAGGTCACAATCAATCTGAATCACCATGTGTTGAACAAAGCACTACCTTTAAAAAGGCATTGTCCTTCACAAGCAGCACGTGCAAAAACATCTACATACTCAGATTTTATAATTGTACTTGTGTTGTGATCCGCTTGATCTTGTATCCTTTTAATACTAAGATGTTGGTATATGAACTTCTTTCAAAAACAAACCAAAAACATGTTGTCCTTGCTCATATTGATTTCTTCAATCTTCAAGTTTTGTTCTTCACGCAAGAAAACATTTTTCGTGTGAGTTATACAATTACCTACTTCGTTGACTGATCAAACTCGGTTATCAAACTCAGGATCGAATCCTTGTTTCGTGTACCTCATCCTACCTTTACTTTCCCCCAAAAAAGATTCCTTATCTTTCTCTCTAAAAATTCTGATTTGGTTTACCAATTACTCAATTTCTATTCCCCATTTTTTAAAGTCCTCATCCAATTCCTACCCCTTTCACCTTTCTTGTTTTTTTGAATCTAAGTTTTATGAATTGGTTGACAATTTGAAATCATATTGATTCGACACAAGGGGATCTGGCAGTGTGGTCCCTATGGTGCAGAGGTGGAAGGCTCGGGGATGCTCTGCGCTCATTGGTTTTGAGCCTGTGTTCAAGTCTCCCTTTTTGCAAATTCTACGCCGTACCCTCAGAACGTTCCAGGAACGTTCCAGAACGTTCCAGGCCTTGTTCCAGGGACTGTGTTCAGGGGTCACCGAGGCGGTTTGCTTGCACCGCCAAAAACAGTGATGGGAACCGTGTTTGTGCGGTCCCATCTGAAATCGTCTCAGAAACGACGCAAATAGTTTAAAACCGTGACGGCAGGAAAACGGGTTCGAAAACCGTTTTCTTGCCGTAGGTTTACCCCCTGGTGTAGGCCAGAGAGATCAACTTCTTGGCGTTCAAGTCCCAATACACGCACGTAGAACTTATAGGAACGTATACTTCTGTATACTTACTCTAGCTCCTATTCCAACGGGAACAATAACCGGGAAAGACATGGATGGAGCTGTATGCGGGTGGAACCGGGTGCGAGTGTGAGCACGGATGCAGGTATGGGTATACTCTATCCGTGCAGCTTCCCAACACCAGGAACTTGCAATGCACCTTCAAATGTGGGTTACAAGAAAAATTCCCTTTGTCTGGTCAGATTTAGAAAAACCTGAATAATCCCTTTTTTGGTGACCCATATACGCCGGTTTTTGGACTTTTGACCCAAGAAACTCCCCTTTGTGGTCACCCATATTGGGAAAACAGAAAAAGGGCTGTTGGAGCACACACAGGTGCCCAATATGCATTTATAGCATTGTATTTCAGTTTGGGCCTGGATATTTAGATATGATTGATTTGCAGTAGTATTTACAACTTCTTGAAGCACAAAAACATGTATTTGATCATTTAGTTGGGAGATTCTTTGTTGCTGGGCTGCGATTTCAACTTTGCTAATTCATCATAGGTTCAATCAACCATTCAAGATGAACAGAGCCAAGCATGTTGTGCATGACTGGTGGAATCATTCCCTTGTTGTTGTCAGCAAGTGGAGCATTGGAGAAACCAATGAAGATTATATCTGCATAATAGGGTTAATAAAAGGTCCATCCCATTTGGAATGCAGCTTTGATGGCTGTCCTTCAAATGTTTGGAGCACTCTATCTCCTCTCCTGATATGTCTTTTGGTATAAGAGGCTTTGCCAATAGGATTTCTGGCTGATGCTCTTGAGTTGAGCTTGTCAATGAGCTCCTTTCTTGTCCTCAAGTGCTTCCTAATTTATAACTTACTTTTTCAGTGAATTAGTTCCAGGTTTTCAATTGAGTCATTGTATTTGATACTATAGTGCTCAACACCAAGACTGCCATAACACCGGATTGTTTTTTTTGTTTTTGAGTGGGGCCGGGTCAAATTTCAAATTTCAAAAAGTCATAAGTGATACGGTTTGATTGATCTATCAATCACCTACCTCATTGCTTTATCAACCCATCAACGGATCAACTCGACTATCTATCAATCAACTTGAATCTATCAATCAGGATCATAGCAGCAAGGTCTCTGGAAACTTGACCGGACTCAAGAAACCGATTCCTTGCAACTTTTGATTAGTCTCAACCGGATTTGAGACCTCTCATTAGTCTGATTAAACCAACACAACATTGATCAACTCCTATCAATCACAGCTATGAAACTCAAGAGGCCTCAGAGGTCGCAGAGGCAGCACTTCAAAGATTGTGGACCTTGCAAGCGTCCAAAAATCATTTGTACCTCCTCACTCTCCAATCTCAGCAGCTTGGAATCATCACTTACCTCAGACTCCAACAGCAATCTTGAAGGAAGCTTATCACCTGATTCCACATTCCACTCAGAAGGAGCTTCACCACCTATTAATCCTATGCCAGCACGGCCTCAATCCCCTGCAATTGAACCTGAAAAGTTTACCAAGACCCCATTTGAAATTGACAACATCAATCAATCCTGGACTCACCTTGACAAGGCTATTGAAGAAGCTGCTGTCTATTACAACCCACACAAAGCTAACATCTCACTAACCAACCGCTACTTTGACCTACTTGGTGAACTGCAAGACTTCAACTACCACACCCAACAGCTGAACCTCTCTAACCCTCAATCATCAACAATTGAAGCCTCATTGCAAACAGTCCACAGTGCCTTTCTCCAAGCTCAGAATCCCGATCCGGAATTCACAAGTGGAACTTCTCATGCATCCAAACTTAGATCCCAAGCCAAGTACATCCTTTCCCACAAGCGTCTGGTTCCTGATGGACGTGGTGAATCAACAAATCACATTTCAATTCTTGACAACTTTGATTTCCGTAAATGCATCACTGACTCAATACCCACCCATAAAACTGGAAAGGTATGGCTATCCATATAACTCATCTTTTTTATGTACAGCTGGGTAGAGCAGATACTAACCAATTTCCATTGCTTTTTTATTTGTATCTCATAGACCACTCCATCCAAGCTTGCTTATATCATCAACACTGAAATCTTGCCTGATTTCCCCAACTTTCAAGATCATATCTCTTATATGACAGTGAATCAATGGATGCATAAGCTTGGCTTGGGTTTCAAACCATTTAAGAAGTGCCTCTATTACAATGGACACAAACAAGCTGATGTTCTTCTGTACCGGCGCAAGTATCTTGACAAACTCACCAGTTTCTGTCTCCGTCCTAAAAAATACAATGGACGTCATCTCGACAAGATCACTCAACCCGTCTTAGGCTTCAGTGATAAGGAGGTCATTTGTATTTATCACAATGAATCAACGGTCCACGCAAACAAGGATGAATCGACGGGATGGTTATCAAAGGATGATGGTGATCTCCGACTGAAATCACAAGGCAAACTCATGCATGTCTTGGACTTCATTATGGAACCAACAGGTTGCCTCATCCTTCCTTCCGATTCTGTTACAGACCTGTGATTCACTGATGCGGGTGTTGTAATATATTCTGGAAGCCAATCTGATGCTTGGTGGGAGTGTAACCAACTTATCAATCAAGTCAAGACATGTGCAATTCCTATTTTTGAAACTCTCCACCCCAACACGCAGGCTCTTTTCATACTTGACTGTTCTTTGGTGCGCAAGTCTTTTGGACCTGTGGCACTCCGAGTGTCTTTTGTCGTTTTTTTTGTCAGGAAATCTGAAAAATTTGCCTCACACAAGTAATTTTTTTTTTCTCTTTTTTTTTCTCTCACATGACAGTGTGCCACCCAACCTATCAGTGTATATATTTTTTAATTTGAATTTTTTGAAAAGGAAAAGTTGGTCATTGGCAATCTTGCACTGTTTTTGAGCTTCAATCCTTTTCACAAATTCCAATTGATTTTGGATAGCTGCCAATCATCCCATTTTAAAACTTCAATCAGAACCCAAAAAAGTGAAAAATTGGCCCTGTTATAAGCTTTTGAAAAAATACCTGGTGCTGTGCCAGTCTTGGTGTTGAGCACTATAACCTTTGGAGGCTTATTCAGCTCTGCTGCTGTATGCCATAGAAAAAGGTGATGCCTTCATAGAGTGTGAGTATGCAGCTCTATAGTTCAATTTACAAGAGTTCAAGTAGCTGTCCCAAAGGTCTTGATGATAGATTAGGGCCCACAGCCGCCAATTGCTAGTCACTGGCAGGCCAGTGTGTCCCAGTGACTTCAGTTCATTTTCAATCTGTTTTTAAATTGTTTTTAATTGGTTGTTTAGCTGGCATCAACAACCAAACAGATACAGTACTGGTACCATACCTAGCTACAGTACCAGTATTGTATCTGAATTGATTGTACTGCTAAATGCCGTACCTGGTACCATACCAAGAATCAGATATGGTAGCCCGTATCTATCTAGAGGTAGAGATTGCCTTATGACTCAGGCAGCAGTACAGTACCCAGTGAGTAGGCCATGTACAATACATGTATCTGGTTGGGTACTTTACAGTATTGTAACTGTACAACAGCTGGTACCTTTAATTATATTTAACCAAAAATTAATTGATAATCTGGATTGCTAGTAAAAAAAGAAATATAATGACAAATAGGATGAAAGAATAAGATGAAAAAGAATAAGAAAGATAGACAGAAAACAAAGAGATTCATCCACTTGGCTACTGGCATGACCATCATCTCTAGAGCTTATTCAAGCAGATTAAATAAATGAGTTAGTGACAAACAACCTCCTCGGGTTTAAGGTGACAGAAAGAGGTGGAGATGACTTACAATTGTGTCCAGATGTGTATGCTATCTTTGGATAGGTTTATTGAAGGGCATTTTGAGGTGGTGTAAAAAAGAGAGTAGCTCAATAAAGGGCTACAATTTATGCTTGATCAGAGATGGTAAAGTTCCTTGGGGCAACGCTGGGCCACTGCGCTGCAAAAAAGGCGCAGCGCACCGCAATGCACCGCACTGCACCGGGGCACTCAAATACCGGGTACGTTAGGTGTTAAGGACCCATAATCTACAGGTCTGTGGTGCAAATGCAGCGGTGCACCGGGCAGCGCAACCCCGCAGCGGCCCGGCCCTGGTTTGTAGGGTGAAGGGTTTTGATTATCTCCGATATCTCATGATACACATTGAGCCAAGTTGAACTCCTCGCACGATGAAACCCCCTTGATTGACTAGCTCAGCCCAATCCTTGCTTCCTTACGCGGTCCTTAATTCATCAAGACAACTGAGACTAACGTGCAGGATGACACCCCTTCAATTGACTGGGCCAGAGTGCCCTCAAATATTACTGACACCACCCCAATCCTTGCTTAGTTCCACACTGTTTAGTGTTATATCTTCATGGCATCCCTTTTCTAAACTCTCAAGACCGTCCTTATCTGATTATTCAAGTTCAAGTTCCTTCAACGCTTGACCAAGTTTTTCTTTTGCTCCACCCAAATTCTACTTTTCCTCTTCGTTCTTATTTTTTGCTACACCTAGTTTTTATTTTAACCATTGGTTTATTAAACATGTCCAGTAGTCTCCAGGCAAGGAACCACACTCAGGTAAATCTCAATCCCAGAACGAAGTTCAAGCTCCTTCAATTTCCACTCAAAATGTGCCTTCAACCCCTCTTTGACGTTCAATTCGTCCACCAACACCTCGTAAAGACTTATCTAGAATGATTCAGCCATCTTCCAATAGCAGAATCTCAATCCCCCTGCCAGCTTCCAAATCCATGTCACGCAAGAAGTCAGGTGGAAAGAAGGACACCAATAACAACAGCTCAATCAACGTAGATTTGCCTTCCACCAGTTCTCGAGCAACGAAACCAAAGAAAGCACCGGCATCCGCTACCAGAGTGAGTTCCATCCATCTTATTGTGCTCATCTCTTGATCTAACTCAAAATTCATGATTATTCTCTATTATTATATCATAGCCTAATGAGGATGATGTTCCGTTGGAGGGAAAGATGAACCAAGACTCCGATGATGGCTTAACCAATCGGCAAAAAACCAAGCAAGCTAAGGTCATGGAAGAACAATCCGAAGAGGAAATCGAGTACAACGAGGTTCAAGGTTACTTTGCTAAACCTACATACAGGAACGGTGATGTGAGTTTCTGTTCTAGTTCTATTGAATAGCTCTTTTCCTGACTTATTATGGTTTCTTTTGTAGGATCGCTCAATGAAACCACTTTCATATGAATGTCTTTGGTGTGGAATGGTTTGCCAAGCGTCTGTTGACTCGTATACCAACTTGAAGTCGCACCGGGACGGTTATGTTGGCAAGAAAGGTCGCACTCGACCTTTCTGTAAACCCCGCCAGAACGCTATCAATGCTGGAGGGAACCTTCCACCAACAGCTTTTGAAAGAAACAAGAAAGCCATTGATGAAAGCCAACAAGACATCACAATGTTTTTTGATTCAAAGGACTCTAAGCTTAAGCTTGACAACACCACACTCCATCAGATCCTCACTGTTTGGATCCTCGCGGGAGCCCCACCTTGGAGTCAAATCAAAGACCACTACTTACATCTAGCCTTCCGCTACATCCGACGTGACATCAAGATCTTTGGACGGACGTGGGTGGCTAGAGAGGCAGCTGGGATGTATATGTCGTTTCAAAACACAGTCTTGAAAGAAATAGCTGTAAGTTTTAAATTTGATCTCTCCGTTATCTTTTTCTCATTGTATTTCTCTTTCTTGGGTCCCTGATTTGAATCTTTCTTTCAATACGGTAGGGAAACCAGGGCAGGTTTACACTGATTCACAATGGTTGGACCACCACAAACAACATCCACGCCTTCTTAGGGCTTCAGTTGCATACATTGACCGCAATTGGATGTACCAAGTCCGCCATCTTACCCTTAAACTGGTTGCTTGGCATCACAACGGGAAATGGCTTGTGCAGCCTTTAGTTCATTTCATGAAGAAGCATAAACTTCATTACAAGATAAGTTTTTTTACTTGAATCTTATCTTGACCTAATTCTAATTGATCTTTTTTGTACTACCACATGCTGGGCCAGGTCACAGACTCTGTATCCAACAATATCACTATGGCCGAGGAGATGCACACCCAATTTCAAATTGCCAAAGATCAAATGACGACCTCTTCTGATCCCGAAACTACAACTCAAACTTACACCTGGGATCCCAAAACAAACTATCATTGATGTTTTCTTCACAAGATCTCATCAACGGTAAAGGGTGGTCTGGCCCAGCTAGGTCATGCAACTCCTTCACGAGACCAACAGCGTGAATCGCTTCTTGAGGTCTTTCCAATCCCTGAATGGATGCCAGTCATCACCGAAGAGGACAAAGACAAATCTCAAGACAAATCAAAAAGCATTGTGATTGATTGCAAAGATCAAGATGATGATGACATACCAGCCAAAGACAAAGACAGGACTGATCATGATTCAGAGGCCAAGGATTTCACAGTCTGTGATCCAGACTACGATGAAGATGTGGAGGATCAAATCGACAATCAAGATCCCCTTAACCCTACGGAAACCTCTAGTCTTGATGATTTCAAGAACAACACCTTCAGGAAGCACGCGAAGGAGCTCAATGAATTGATTAGTAAGGTACATCAATCCATATTTGTCATCACAACCTTGAAGTTTTCTGACTTTGACTATTGTTCACTCTAGGCTAATTTTGATTCACGACGCGTTGCTCAATCTGCAGCGTGGAGAAGACATTTTGCCAGAAAGGCAAAAAGTCTCAACCTGAAACTTTTACCTCTTATACCGGGATACAACACAACTCGTTGGAATGCAGAATTTGATTCTCTTAATTGGTTGGTGCAGGCATGCAAGGTCAGTTCTTCACATGTTTTTTGCAGATCATCTCTTGAAACCTAAAAATGATTGCTGACCACTTAATTACTCCAACTTGATAAAGCTTTCCAAAACAGATTGTAGCTGATATTGTTCTGCCCTTTACCAGTCCGTTTGATAGCTATCTAGGTGCACCTTTCTCTGTGCGGTCTGATCGACCATTGGCAATCCTTTCAAGTCATTTCAACCTGGATGTATGATCCTGGCTTTATTAATGTACATAACATCAATCATTGTCAATGGAAGATACATAAATAAAAGTTGAGTGAAAAAACAAGAAACTTCAATGAACGGACTGAGATGTTTTTTTAGTTTTATTCAAAATGATGTGTTTCTAAGGCATTGTTTCATAGATAATGTCAAGACTCCTGGGCCCTCTTCTTCTGACCCCAATCTTCGCACTTCTCTTGCTTCAAAATAGACGCACGGATATAAGCGAGAATAAAAGTTCTTCAGAAACCGAACGATAAAATCTTTCATTCTTCCTTGAGTGGGGTAGTAATCAGCACACTTTGGATCCAGCAGGAACAGCGTGGCCGGTTCTGACTTTAGGTACAATCACATTTTGCGGGAATTGACCGATAACATTACCAGCACTTCACCCAAAGGATCAGTGAGCAACTGTCGCGGCTCTGTCTTTACATAGATACACCAAAGAAAGAAGACTCACGGAAAATAAACGCAGGCTATGTTGGGAACTTTTCTTCCCATCTGCTGGTATACTCTCGAGCCTTCGAAGCGTCCCACATAGTTGCACTGTGTGATGGCGCATCCAACCCGACGTGACCCGCGCCATACAACCTCTATATACAGAATAAATGGGAGGTAAGTATCCTACTTAGTCAATGCATCTTATAGGATTTCGTAAGTATCATGCAAAATCGAGAGAGAGATTCACGTGTGAAATGTGAATACGTCGGTGCTCGTGGATTATATGATCCTGCTTCGTTTGGGCCATTCACCCACGCGTTTAATACCCCCGGAATGTCGGAAGCACCAGCAAACAAGTTCTAATCAAAGCCATATCATGGGTGCGAGGTCGTGAGTGACACTAACTCATGTAGTGGTTTGTATTTGAAAGCTTAAAAAAAGATTGGGAAGCGGTTTTCTAACCTCTCCGTAAGGGGGGCCGTGTTTTTCTGGGGCCGAGTGCTGAAAGTAACATCGATTTGTAAACCTTTGAGCTCTATTTGCCAAGTTTTGATCCCAAATTAAATCAGGGGCAGAGTACTGCCTTCTGTGGAAGTTATGCCATTCGACCCATCTGAAGAAGACCAATTGGTTTACGATGAAGTAAATTTTCAAAGCCTAGATTTGTATGCGTGAGTATGGAGTGAAGAGATGGGAGTGCTCACAGAGTAGACGCAGTCCTCTGCTGCCTTCGCAAAATCTTTAGGTCAGTGGCTTCTGAGAGACTTTCATCGGACTATTGTGATGAAATCAGCAAGATGGATCTGATTATCATTCCTTTCTAAACACTTCCGGAAGCAGGTTTGCGAGACAGATTTGAGTCGAAGCGTACCATGTCTTCTTCCATCACCGGATCATAGTTGAAATCGCCCGACGTATACTCAACCTGCAGGTCGCTATCAAGGGTCGAGTTGACCTCCACCATAGTTTGAAGTGTCTCTCCAATTGAGAAGTCAGATGTGGCATTGGGTTTCTGGTGGACTCGAAATCGGACCTAACCAACACGTTCAAATATAGCAGTGCTTCAGCAGAGCCCATAAGCCGGTTCACAAGGTTTAACTTTCATGTCGTACAAATATGTTATCATAATCATCGGAATCCACATATCCATTGATAGCCGCCCCTTGATCATCGGAACCACCGCGATCTCCATAATCCGACGGCTTTTGGTGAAATGCTTGAGACGATAATTTTCTTCGGGCGAAAGGTGAAAGACTTGAAGAGATTCGTCCTCCTGTGACACCAGAACGAGAGTTCTCGGAATCGTATCGTGCTTGGTTTTCTATGCCGATGCATAGACGAGCCAGGTACGTGACTGCAGTAATCTTAACAAGATGTGGTCCGATTTTGATATTCATTTTGGGGCTTAGACATGTATGGGGGAAACGCTTGAATTGCTGAAACAGAGGAGATACGGATGTGATGAAGCGACGACCTGTGATCAGAAGTTGATCGTGCGGCTTGCCTTGCCATTACTACACGAAAAGTTGACAGCATCACAGTTGCTCCTGTATTGGCTTAAGTTCTTGCACGGTGATGCCATGGATTTTGTTTTCACAGATGCACGAAGCACCCGAAGAAATTTCTCTCAAGCGTTGTGAAGTTTTCCATCACCAGAGGGAAGGTTATTTACGAATCCGATGAAAATTAAATTTTGAACTACAACTCATGAGCTCATAGAAGTTAGCAGACTGATAAGTTTATCGAGGAGTGAGAGAGCTGATGCAATCGACTTGGTTTCGCCATGAGCTGCCCGACCATCGAGGTCCCAGGGAAACCTCAGTGATCAGCCAAGCAAGCTTCGAGGGTCCAGAACCGTCATCCAAATGACCGGACTTTTTGATTTGGAATAGTCATGACTCATCATAAGAGGTCCTCCAACTTGCCGTCGACGTCTTGGACTCTCGACATTTCGGAGGCCAAGACGTCAATTGGACACTTTTCAATCATGTACAAATCGATCTTGACTCGTGGCTTTTTCTACATCTCTTCATATGACTTTCTTGCTTCGATCATCTATCGATCCCCTGCCAACAATGATAACAAAGGCGAGATGTAATGCAGAAGCGTGATCATCAAACTTGATGGGACTCCATAAACCAGTAGAAATCATGTCAGGTGTGTATGTGTAGCCCAGGATAGAACTCAGTAGCCCCCGTCAGAATGATAAATACCAAGATATACCCATAGACCAACCATGCTCAGGCCAAGTAATATTTATCAACACCTTTATTTCTTTCAAGTCCATTTCTGGGCCAAACTGTGAGGTACAACATTGAAGCTCAACACAAACAAGGATAAAAAACTTGGATATCCTGAAATGCAATTTGGACACATTTTACTCAGCATGAGGGGGTGCAGAAGTGAGACCTAGATGTAACACAGAGCAAGAGCTGACAAATAGGACGCAATGGCCTAAAAGTTGACCAGTTTCCACCAGCTTTCAAGTTTTCTTTTTGTAAGGTTTTTGCAGAACCCCCAAAGTTTTTTTAAAATAGAGTGAACTAGTAGGGCGAACAATTTGCCTCTTGCGTTTTGTTGTCCACATCAGTGCGAGTGATCATAGGGACCATGGATTCAATAGACAGCTTGAGAGATTGAGAGATTGAGAGGCAATTCTAGGAGGTGGTGAATAGTCTTCATCCCAATCCTCGCCAGTCTGGCCAAAAGCAAATTCATGGCCCAAATTATCATGTTGTTCAGAGGACATGAAGGCATTGACCGACTGGACCCCAATGAAGGCCGATGAGGAACGTCATGAGATCTCCTTGGCGAACACATGCTTGCATAAGTTGAGTGGTTGTGGTTCTGCTCCCACCAGGCTTGAGCAGACGCGGGGCTCCAGCTTTCCTCTTGGCCATCCACCTGTCTGGGCCGTTCTTGGCTTAAAAAGACAGTCAAGACCAAAGCTTCTATCTTATTGCGCACAGACAGGATGATCAAATCCAGATTGGAGCAATAAAGTCTGTTCAGAAATTGATCTTGCCCATGCAGATGGGGATGAAGTCACCTGTAAGAGACATAGAGGACAAAGTACACCAGTAAAATCACAAATCCTCTGAAAGACCACAATTTTACGGAGAAATACAAGGTGGAGTGTTTGATAAGTGTGATTGAATATCAATCTTGAGTTATCTAGATGGAAGCAGACCACAAGAGGTGAAGAGACATACAAAGCCATAACTGTACCAGCTCAGTGCCAGAGAGACCTCTGCACACTGGATCTGCACGCAAAGGAAGTCCTCCACATAAAGAAATATTGACATCTGCAAAGAGTGTTGATGCCCAGCGGTTAGTGCCAAAAATACATACATGCAGTGCATCTCAAAAACCTACCCATTGATAGAACCCGCAAAGACAGGATTACTGGTATGCCAAACGTCATGAGCACATTCAAATGAAATGATCGACCCTGCAAAAACAATTATCTTTACAGGCAAGAAGGACGACACTCACCCATCTGTTGATCAGGATGTTTCTTACATGGTAAACCATTTCCATATATCAGTGAGGCGGAATTGCCATGGGGCCTGAGTGTGTTATTCCAGGATCTAGGCAGCAATGTGCGGTTGTCACTCAAATAAGTCCTTGCTGCAATTAATCATGATATTGTGTGACTAACCCTAAGCTTTCTCCCATTTCTCTGCCTTGTTACCTGTAGATACCAACACTCTCTACCCGCTCAACTCCACAAGTATCCCTGAGAACACTGCCTGTGAAGGTCAGCCAAGCGGAACAAATATTATTGATTGGACCCATCCAAGCGTTGGGATTTGATGCCCTCATTGGCAGAGCATCCCCGCCATTCCACTGACTCAAGTAACAATACGTACGCTCTGCACACGTTGATCCAGAAGACATCCTCCGTTTCTTCATATGTTACGGTATAATTGGCTAAAATTGAGAAGGATCACTGACAATACACTCATTTCAAAATGGCACAGGACATCCAGACAATGGCAGTGCATAATTTCTGACCAGTTGATTGGGACAGCCTGTTGAGATCAATTGTTCCCTTGGTAGTGCATCATCGTACATGGCCTTATCCAGCTTTGGGAAACGCCGCGAGGGCTAAGCTGGCCACCCTTCTCAAAAGCCCAAACAGAAGATAGGATGAACGACGTATGGTAAAGACGAAGGCAATGCGGATTCATGTCAACGATGACTCTCCCTTTTCACGCGGCCACGCCCATCTTCCTTGCCCGAGGGCATCATGAAGTACCCGGGCTATCAGATCCGGGCTATACGGGTATTCATGACGGTCATCCTGTATCTTTGCGAGTTCTACCGCGGCACTCACTAGAAGCATATCACACCTCGATACGCATAAATGAGCCACAAGTTGGCCACTCGGCCACCTCTCTTCTGACCCTGTCCCCTATAAATTCGGCTGGGTCTCCCATCTGCCCCTGTTCATCATGGCACTGCAGTCTCAGTCTCGTTCATTCGTGCTCTGTTGACGTTCCTCGACCGATCGGGAGTTACTCCGGCCTCAAAACCGCTTATGAGTTTCGCTTTTATTCTCATTACGGAATACCCTCAGTCGACAGTTGACCAATATCGAATTTACTTCCGAGTGTAACTTTTTCTTACTCCTTCCCTGTGTTGTTTCTGGTCTCTTGTTTGCTGGTCGATTCCTGGATCTTTGATTTGGTTGAGTCTTCTCGGTTTACATTAGGTTGGACTTCACCGCTTTAGAAAGGGGTCGGTGGAAGAGAAGTTGTGCTTGTTAGTCGGCTTATATTCTGTGGCTCGTCATACGTTCCTCTGGTTCCATTAAAGCTCGAGCAAAACCATAAGCCAAACATACATTCTTCCATTTATGCTTTTTGTAATCACTGCATAACACGACTTGTCCTTTTTTTTCTATCACTCGTGTACGATTTGGCATCGAAATCAGCTGCTCTACTTCACCGACACGACACTTTGTCCGAGTGGTTAAGGAGACGCCCTGCTAGCCTCGTGACCAGAATTGCGAGGCCGTCAGGCGTTGGGTTCTGCCCGCGCGAGTTCGAATCTCGTAGGTGTCGAAAACTTTTGCCTTCCGCTACGATTTTAATGACATCCACACGAATATAAGCATGCCCACTTTTTTTCGCCATGAGTTGGGGTTGTCATAGCAGTCGACAAGTTCTCCAACGTCAGAGTCTTTCCACATTCCCCCCCGCTTGATCCGGTGACTTTTAAATCCCCAATCTTTGAGCAGCTCTAGACTCAAACTTGACAAAGTCCACTCGCTGGGAGAGCGGACTGGTGCAGGTCCAGTGAGTAGACCAATTCAAATTTGAGCTCCATTATTATTTGGATCCCAGTATATCCACCCCCCCTGCTTTGGTCCACGCACCCCCTTGAGAGCTTAAGTGGTTTTGGTCAAGCCTTAGGCCACATAACTCAATCTGTCTTGATCCAGTGTACCGTATCTGCATAAAATTTCACACACATGCTACTTAGTCCCTTCAACTTTTCTCACCGCCAAAAGTCTCTCTATGGATTTCAGTGTTTTACTTCAAGCCTATTCGTCTCTAGAGGAAGCCGAAAGTGCCATACGGACATGTGCTAGGAATGCTGGATACTCTCTCAAGAAGGCTGGGTCCAAGAAAGATTCTCAGCAATATGTTCGAAAGATTCGCTTGGTCTGCGCACATAGTGGTAATCAAAAACAGTTGGACACCCGAGTTCGCATGACATCGAGTCGCCTTCTAGGTTGTCCGTGGTATGCTCAGCTTTTACGGATTGAAGGTCTTCAGTGGACAATCAAAATCATCAATAATACACATAATCATGAACGTTCAACAACACTCTCTGAGATACCCGCTGAACGAAGACTGACGGACACACAACACGAGAATGTCTTAGCAATGGATCGTGGTGGGGCACCTCCACGAGTGATACTGAGTACACTGAAGGCTTCCGACCCTAGTAATCTCACCACCGCACAGGACATCTATAACATAAAGAAAAGAAAGCGTAATGACTTACTGCAAGGACGTACATCACTTGAAGCCCTGCTAGATACCCTTCAAGCCACAAATGTCTTCCACCGATATGTACAAAACGATGACGGTCAATTACTACGATTATTCTATGCACCAACTGTCTGTGTATCGGCGGCTGAGGAATTTGGCACAACTGACATTCTTTTGATGGATTCTACTTACAATACAAACAGGTAATGTTAATCCTTCCAAGCCGTCTAACAAATTTTTACTGACTTTTGAAACTCCTGTCTTGATTTAGAGCCAAGATTCCGCTCCTACATATCATGGGTGCCTCTTCAACCCACCAGTCTCTGTCTTTAGGCTACTGTTTCATGCAGAATGAAAGTAAAGAAAACTATGTATGGGCTTTGAAGCAGTTGAGGGATTGCTACGGACCACAACTTTTAAAGTTCAAAGCTGTAGTCACAGATCGAGAGCTAGCTCTCATCAATGCAATCAACGAAGTCTTTCCTGATTCAAAAAACTTACTTTGCAAGTGGCACATCTGGAACAACATCTTATCGAATGTCAAGACCTGCTTCTCAACCCTGGACTGGGAAAAGTTTGAGGTTCAGTGGAACGAGTTGTGCAATTCAATAACCCCCAATATATTTGATCAGAATCTAGAAAAACTCAAAACTACTATCCCTACCAAAGCTTACAACTACATCTTTAAAACTTGGATTGGACATAGGGAGAAATTTGTACTTGCTTGGACCAAAGATGTTCCTCATTTTGGTCATACAGTCACATCTCGAATTGAGGGAGGACATGCCAATGTTAAAGCCTGGATACCTAACACAAACGGCGACTTGGAAACAGTCTACGGAAAGCTATTACTAGCTTGTCAACAACAACGCAACCGCATCTTTCACAAAATCGATTATGATCGCACTCATGTATTGACACAACTGAGACCAAAGTTTTGGGATCACGTCAATCGACATATTTCTCAGTATGCATTACTGGAGGTAATTAACTCTCAACTCTCACCTAATCCAGTTTGTTTAGTCACCATCAGCTGAGGACTCATGTATGTATTCATCTGATCCGACACAGGTCTTCAGACAATATCAAAAGTCACTCTCGTTAGAGGACTCATCTTCCTGCTCACATGTATTTTCCACCTCAATGGGACTTCCTTGTGCTCATTTTATAAAGCAGCTATTGAATTCAGGTGGTCAACTTTCTCCAGAGCATTTTCATGTACACTGGCATCTGAAACGAAGTGTACCCGATCGTCTTGAGCGCCAACCACCCGGGCTGGATGATATTCTACAGAACATCAAGGATCAACATCAAATCTTACCTCCTCACCAACAGCGACATGTTGAGGAAAGTCTGGCTAATATACTTGAAACTCCATCCCCCACTGTCATTGAGCCAGCACCAATCAAGACACGCGGGAGACCTCGAGGAGCTTTAAACAAAAAGAAACGCCTTGACTCAAATTTTGAGCGATACAACAAACAAACAAACGGTCATAAATGTGGAGTTTGTCACCAGACTGGTACCGGTCACAATCGAAGCACATGCCCACTTCGCCCTTCAACGTCAACAAGCCAGCCTTCATGAAAATGACATTCTACAGTTACACCGGTTTAAAAATACAAAACTTCATGCTTTCATACCAACTGAAGTTGTAGAAATTGCATACGATGCTATAGGATGACTAGTTCAATAACATATATACATATCTGATTGTTTCCGAAGTGATTGATCTAACTTCGAGATCGTTTTGTGCCAAACTAAAAGCTTTCCTAAATCATTGATCTAGCTTCAAGATCTTTTCGTGCCAAACCAAAAACAAACTTCACTTTTAAACACACTTCATTTTTTGATTGACCTGATTCATAACAACTCACTCTCTTCACACAACCCGACTCTAGAGAAGTTTCTTAATCTATTTAACATCATGTACATACATCATTGTCTATCTCACTGCTCGGCCTGACTCTTTGTTCAATGTTTTTGTAACTCCTTCTCGCCCCTATGAGCTTGGAATTTGTCAATGATTTGAACGGGATTGTGAAGCATGTAAATGCAAATACCGTTGCTTTTTTAATTGAAAATCGAGCCAAACACAAACCAACGTTTCAATGTTCCAACCGATCCCTCGCTCCTGGGGAGTCGATCCCGAGCTTCGAGTGACTTTGTCAAATTTGGCTCAAGGCTTGACCAAAACCACTTAAGCTCTCAAGGGGGTGCGTGGACCAAAGCAGGGGGGGTGGATATACTGGGATCCTATTATTTTGGGCTCTTTGCGTGCGGTGAGAGAGGATCTATTATCTCTCGATACTGCGAAGGGACATTTGGACCAGGTTTTGGACAAGGAAGACATTAGAGGAAGTGTCTCCCTCACCAGTTTTGCTGGGTCACAATTGATCTTTGACACTAAGATAACGAGGTAAGCCTTTGGCAGACTACTGAGGCACTTCGAGCGATTCTCATGAGAATATCTGATCTCAGAAACTGTGTTTAATTTCGGAGTGAGCTAGTTATCGTCAAGTCAAACAGATCCCTCGAAAGAGGGATGCAAAAAGCGGGAGGAATATGGGAGGGGTAGAATTGTCATTGAGCATACAACTTGGAGCGGGGTTTACTCTGGGGGAGGCATGTTAGTCTTTGGGTTATAGAAGAGCGTCTGCATTAGAGGAAGAAGGCATTTCTATCAATTGACTACTCTAACAAGTCAGGGACGAGAACGCAGATGAAATAGGTCTTACGTAATTGCCCCATGGGAAGCTCTTGGCACGACGATTGAGGTAGTCATATTGGATTCGCTCGGGAAGTTCGCCTCCATTCTCTTCCTTGATGTGTTCGCTGTAGTATCGCAACAAACATGGAATCAGGATTGCCGGAGTGATCTTGCAGAAGATAGCGGACTCAAAAGAATGACTGGGTAGAAGCGAGGCGGTACATACAGGTGCGCTTCATGCTCGTTGGCGAGTTTCTGGGCGTTGAAAAGAGCAAGAACGACTGCAGGAAATCCGACGTAGTAGCTTAGCAGCCAAAAAGGCACCGGAATCAGATCAAGGGTTAGGTGATGTCATTTCGAGAGATGCTTCCAGTTCAACGTAAGTCAAGATACATACGTGATTTTTCGCCAGAGATCTGTGGATCCTGATGCATGTTTCTTAACGGCTTCTCGTTCCTTCAGGAAAGCCTCTCCTAAGGCACCGTCGCCCACGCTAGTTGTATTTAGTCATGTTGTGAATGCGGGAGAAGAGGTGAAAACAGGAAGATTGAGAAGCGTCACTATCTTTGTTTTCAAACGTTCAGATGGCTGTGTTGGGAGAGGAGGAGGAAAGCAATTTACTTGGCATAAGTCCTTTGTCCGATGACCTTCTTCGTAGTTAGACCCCGAACAGCATTTCGAGAAGCTGGGATGATCATGTTGGGTTTGGATCGAGTTCCGTAGGGGATATGACGAGTGGTTGTCAATTGTGAGTAGGTTGTGTTGGTTGCTTTGAGTGTGTGGTAAGGTGATGAAGACCGTTCACGACTGGCTCAACTGGACTGTCCAGTTGAACAGGAGGGAGCCGGAGTACTGCTCATGTGACATGTCCGACTGTAGCTTGATATCAGCATACATATGTATATCGAGGATTCCTGTCCACTCGAGCCAGGGATGCGCACCTCATAGCCTCGCCTTTCACAGATGGGATCTCCCGGGTCTCGTGACATCTCAAAGGTACACTGCCAAGATCAGAAGCGCATTTACCATGATTCATGAAATAGAAACATTTACGGGATACAAAATTGGTATCCCCTGATAGGTCATGGCCAGAAGGTGTAACTCTACCTTTCTGCATGCTGATGGGGCAAAACTGCAGATGCTGGCAAGCAAGACAGATGTTTGAAAGGAAGTGTTAGGATCACATCACGTTGGAATGTTTGTAAACCAGGAAATTACTAGTGAAACAAAGCTTGGATTGCCCTGTTCATACCAACAAGACATAGGACGAAGCAACCCTGACAAGATGGAAGGGTGCTTAGGATGGCCCAGACTTGAGATTGATTTGCTTGATCATCACCTTTGTCTTCAAAGAGCTTGTGCAAGGTTTGTTGTACAGACTGATGGAAATTGGAAGTAAGAATTTTGAATATGGTGTATGATACATACAACTGAGGATTGCTGGAGATTGGGAATGGGAATGGGCACTGTATGAATGAATTGGTGTGCAAAATATAGTCATCACCCAATTTGACATTGCTTCTGCTTTGACAATTCCAGAACAATCTTAGCATCAAAAACTGTTTGAAGACAATGCAATTTAATTATAGGCGTTTGACTATTCTCATTTGATTATAACTTCTTCTCTGATTTTTTCATTTTTTTCTTTCATCTTTCAAATTCTGTTGCTCTTTTTTATGGTCTTGCAGATTATGGGGCAAATGCAGCATGAGCCAAAAGATCAGAGGAATTTTAGGACATCATTGAGTTCCTTCTGGAAGATGTTTGAACACAAAGGACTTTCAGGACTGTATGTGCATTCATTCCTTCATCATTTGTCTCTTATAGTTCCTATCTTTTTATTGCGTTTTTGCTAGCTAGTATGCAAGCTTGGAAACATATCAGGTGCTCATGGGTTTGTTGATGTCTCTCAAAACACCAGGTACAAAGGATTAACAACTCATTTCTTGAAACTTGCGACAGTGATTTGTTATATTTATGCTCCATTTGGTTTAGATATAGGGGGGCTCAGGTCCAGTTAGTTTACTGCTTTGACCATAAGAAACTTCTCCCAAATTCATAAAAGTCACACAAAATTTTATGAAATTGGGAAAAGTTTTAAGACATCCCAAATTCTTTTGAGCAGCAAATTTGCGTAAAAATTTGCGTAAATTTGCTGCTTGGCAATTTTTTTTTACAAATTAGGGGGTGTCAAGTTTGATTTTTTATAACAAAAAAAACTATGAAATGGCTACAGCCATTCCGATATTGCTTGTCGCTCCATTTTCAAAAAGAAAAAGTGAAACCTAAGTTTTTACTCAATAAAACTTCAAACTTGGCTGTAATTCAAAGCAATACAGCCAAAGTTTGGGTTTTAACCGGTTAAAATTTAGGTTTCAAGCTCACAAACTTTTTCTTTTTCAAACAGGTGCGACAAGCAATATTGGAACGGCTGTAAGTTTTTATCTTATAAATCAAAAAAACTTTAGCTGTGGTTGTATCATAACTGTTAAACCACAATCAAGGTTTTTTTACTTTTTGCCTTGATCATCCACCTGGTGAGGAGAAAACTTCTGGTAAAAGCATGCAAGGTTGTCCTTGCATCCACTATCAAGACCACTGTGTCTGAGATCAAATTGGTCAAAGTGAGCTCTTGGATCACATGTTCTAAACATAAATTGTTTAAATTGGAAAACCTTTTACAGCCTGGTGCTGTAAAAAACTTTCCAATTTTTAGGACAAGGCCACAAATATCTTGACCTGAGCCCCCCTAATACCAAGTCAGGTGAAAGTTCTGGACAACCGGCTCACTGGGGTAGAGTTTTTTTGGTTTTCATGTTTAGCCAGGGATGCAGGAATGAGTACCAAGTATGAGTATATACTCAACTGATACTCACTTTGTATGGGTTTACAGGTCCAAAAATAGGCAAAAATACTCGGTATACTCAATAATACTCACTTTACTGAGTAAACTCATACTCACTCCTGCATCCCTGTGTTTAGCAAACAATCATTACTCTAGAAGCCTATGAAGCGGTCAGACAATTTTGTAGGCATTTTGTATGCTCCTATGAAATCTTGACAGCATTCCTCTTCCCTGTACTGACTCACTTGAGTATCTTTCACATGACCACATTTATTACAGGGTTGAAGTATAGGCTTGGAAAATCAAACAAAATCAACAAATCAAATTGTGGTCATATTATTCTTGAGTAATTTTCTTGCAATCACTGCATCTATAGTAGCTTGGATAGAATCAGTATGATGTATGCTGGTATGATAAGGGCTGGTTACTATCTCAACAACTCCTTGGTAGAGGAAAGGTCGAGGTGATTGGTAATGGATGATCACTTTTGTGTAGATTGTTAGACTGAGCTGCGAGATCCTCTGAGTTATTTTGCACTTCTATCACAGTCACCATAAATCTTCCAAGGAATGGAAGAGACTGAGTGGATCATCCAGTGACACTGATTCATTGGGTTCCTTTCAGGGAACGTGCACCTGTCATTTGAGAGCAGAATTGGGTTTGGTCTTTGACCCACCATCGACTTTTGAATGTGACAAGATATTACAACATCTTACCAAGAAGTAATTCAAAAGCTTTATCGGGGCTCCCTGTGGGTTATATAGATTGATGATACCCAATGTGAAGTAAAACCTTCAATGTGGAATGAAAGCAGATTGTGTGTCAGCCTGAGACTTAAAACAAGTAGCTTTAATAGAACCATAGCTGAATGATGTGTGCTTGTAGCTTCTTATTGGCTTTGTTACAGTGGGTTCACTGAGGTAAATTCGAGCCTTTATCATAACAGGAGCTGGCAACTCCATGTTGTCTTAGGTGCGGAATGGCTACCGCTGCCTGGTACTCGCTGAAAGGTCTGTTCCGATCAGGGTCTTCTGAGGTAGGTACAAGAGTACTCTTGTCTCAGGTATATACAGTCTAGTTTCTATGTATTAATAAAGAGACATCTTTATTGATTCAATCTTTGAAACATCTTCGACAATGGAAGTTATATCTAGTTTCTACATTTTTGATAAAGAGACGTCTTTATCGATAAAGATCTTTGAAACATCTTGGATGATAAAAGAGGTTAATCTAGAATTAAGATTGCTGAGTCTTATTCCGATAACAAAACTGCTTGAGAAAGAGATAAACAATAACAGTACTAAATGTCAAAAGTCAGATAAGAAAGATGATATCAAAGAATTGAGATGATCTAAATTATAAGTAATCGCCGGTTTTTAGTATAAGTCATAGAGTTTAATATCTCAAAGATAGGTTTGTTAGTTTGTAATAAGATGTCCTTTTCTTGAGTTGCAGAAAACCACTGCTTATATATCATTGTGCATTTCTCTTTGTGATGTCATTGTAACACAGGGTTTTTGGCACGTGTTCATGATGGTACTTTGTAACCAATGTGATGTTACTTGTTTCTGATCCCTTAGTCACATTCTTGGAATGTAACAAAGCTCAAGGAAATGTATACCCTTCTTTAAGATCAGGGTCTTCTGAAGCTTGAGTATGTCATCATGATACCTTTCAAGCTGATGTACATATGTATTGATATCCTAGCCCGTGTAAACCATTGTTATCTGGAAGCTTCCTTGGATAATCTTTATGACTGCCAATGGGAGTATTACCAAATACTCCTCATGGCTGACACTCACCGGGGTTGGAAGAAAAGAGAATTCATATATGAATTTTCTTTTAAATCTAAGTTTTCCAGGTGGACTCGGGATACTCCCCTATGTTATTGGCTCGCACGTATTGGAATACTAATTTTTGTACCTTACAAGATATAGTGTTGTGCCTATGTTAAATTTTTCACAATCACAAGCATCTGATTGTGTGCTACCTTTCCAAGAGGTGTTGCAAAGATCAGATCAAGCTCTCATTTTGTCAAATGGCATCAGGCCTATCACAATACACGATACACCACGGCAAACAAAAAAGAAAAGTCATCAATAAATTTTCTTTTACTAAAGTTTTCTTTCACAGCATACAACTGCACTCACTACTCATTCAAGATCTTGTCTCCGGGAGTTAATTGTGCCTTTTTCTTGAAATTTCTTCAGACACCTCTTTGCATAATAATAATGTACATTATTCATTATCGATTTCCGTAGGCTTTCTTTTTCATTTGAATCGGTTCCATTGATTTGTCTATTGGTATATCTCGACACCTGAGTTGTGAAGTGTTATTAGTAACATTCTTTTGTTCGTTAAAACCACAACCAAAACAACCTAGTGTAAAATAGTTTCACTCCGATTGCTGCTTTTGAATATGTAGACGTTGCTACAAATCTCTAAAACAATTTCAATGCATTCGAGTAGTGGGGCTAGTCCAGAGACTCATCATCATCATCATCGACTACCAACCGCGAATTTCAGTGCTTTGATTGATTATTAGTTATTAGATCTGATCGTGTGAGTTTTCAGTTCACTACAATATCTTGTGTGATGAAATCTGTGTAATGAGGATACAAGTGGTTTTGAGGTACCTCAATAGGAAGCTTGAATCTGAGTAGAGGTCTTGTGTTTTCTTTTAAAAAATGAATGCTTCAATTCTTCATCGGAAGATAAATCGTTCAAATTGTTAAAACAACAACAAAAGACCAGAAACAGTGATTACCCGACCCTGGTGATTACGTCAGATAGATCTTGCAGATTCAACTATGTTTTTTGCTCAATGGTAGTCTTGATACTATCATGCTTACTTGATTTCTGCACTTGGTTGGTTCTGATCAATGAGTCTGTCAACCTGAGTATAAAAGCAAATTTGTATACTCTCTTTAACATTCATCACGATCTAAACCAAAGTGACTGTTGATCTTGTACCACAAAAACTATAGTTCTCGGTCATGTCACTTTGCAAGATCATTTATAGTCTTTATAACTTTGTTATCGTCTAGGTATTAACTTCGATTGAAGGATTTTGATTGAGAATGTGCTTTTGATCCACTTTGCATTTGCTGATAAGCCGAAAATTGGTAACTTCCAACTCTGACAATACTGACTTCTGGCAACTTGCTTAATTAGTGGAACAAGAGGTAGTATAAGGCTCTATTATACTTTTGTGTTGATCGGTACAATTTCAACACAGCAATGGGGGATGTGATTTGAGGAATGTCCAGAACATGGAAAATTAAAGCTGCCCAAGAGTTTTCTCTGTGGTGAGCACTTGCGATTTCAGATTGTAATTGCATCGTTCTCATCTCAGTTGCCTAGCTCTTGTTCTATGTATACCTTTGACTATGTTCTTGTACTGTTTATGTGACCGGGGAAGTCTAGATACGCTCATATATGATTGTTACTCCGTTGTTGTGCGTGTTCGATTCTTACAATTAGGTTCAACAAACCAGGGATCTAAAAAATGGAGTATATTCTTTGGACTCTCATCCTAGTATGACATCTTTGTACAATACTAATCTGAACCAAAAAAGATCGAACTTGAAGAAGTAAGATATGACAATGTTTTGTTTCAAGATTTCAGCCTCTGTTTTTGTGATTGGATAGGTATTGTATAGGTCACTATGACTCTGTCAAACAATCATGATGAGATGGTTCAATGCCAGGAGGCTTCAATCAAATGGCGGTAACTATGAATAAATTGATCTTGCTCCTTTGGTGTGTAGTAGTTTTACTTATCTTGAGCCAATTGCTCAGTGTGGACGGTGCCTGACACGGTGACATTGAAGTAACCACACATTTTAAAATCAACGATAATTGTGATATTGCTACATACGTGCATGTTACCTTTGCCTTATCTGTTTGGATGTGGTAATTCTCCACCAGCAGGTTTCTTGCAACAATTTTTATAAGATCGACGATTAGGAGGATTCCGTTATGAGGCATTTCTAGTGCTTGTTGTCTCAAGAGCGGTTCTAGGCTGCAACAGAGCGATAGCGTTGCATTTGGTTAAGAATATGAAATCCAGCTCTTTTGGTCAGGATAAATTTCACACTCAGAAAAGAAGGTGTGATGAAACATTAGTTTTGATCCTGATGTCTTGTCAAGGTTGTACATATAGTTCATCTCTCAATGAGTAAGTTGACTTTTAGAGTCTTTGTTCATCAAGGTTGATACTGAAGCTCAGATGAAATTCCAAGTCGGTTATTGAAATTGGTTCAACATGAATGTTTGTATTCATTTGAGACCGTGCTTTTGGACGCTGGATCATGTGTGAATGGATGATAGGACCCAACAGTGTGGATTCGATTCGGCAGAGTGCCAACTCTTTTGATGTTTGAGGATTCCTTACTTGTTCGTTAGCGATTTGCATGTGTGATGAATCATATTTTCAAGTGTACGGTGGAAGAGGAACGATCTGAATTTTTGTTCTGGATTTTCTCTGTAATTGTAACTTGTGGGTTTGGAAAGGTATGCTCCGAGTCTCACCATCTTATATTCTTAGTGGTAGTGATTCTAGAAAATTGCAATCGTCTCAAGGTGGAATCTTGTACACTCGCTCAAAAATTTATTCTTGTTAGGTATAATGTTTTCATTACCTTGAGAGCTTATGATCCTGACAATGGAACAATGAAAATGATCACAACATCTGGCTGACAGTGTACAGCTCAGCGCAGACCAAGTAAGGGAATTCTTATGTTCAAAAGATAGTCGTAATGATATCATGATCAAATTTATCAGTTGAGATGGGTGAGTAGCATGTTTGCATTGATTGAAGACGCGCTTTTGAAAGCTAGATCATTTGCTAATGTTAGATTCAATCCAGTGATATGGATTTGATTCGGTCGAGTGCCGAGTGTTTTGGGTATGTAAGAATTTTTCATTCGCTTGATGGGCACTCGCGATTAGCATGACTGAGGAATCATACCTTCAGGTGTACGGTGAATTTGTTTAATTCTACAATGGTACTGAATCCATGATTGGATGCGAGAGGTCTTGGATAGTTTTTTTATAACACTCCTGGTCGCAGTGAAAAGGAGTATTTCCCGATGAGGCCCCCAAATGTCAGCCTGAGACTTAAAACAAGTAGCTTTAATAGAACCATAGCTGAATGATGTGTGCTTGTAGCTTCTTATTGGCTTTGTTACAGTGGGTTCACTGAGGTAAATTCGAGCCTTTATCATAACAGGAGCTGGCGACTCCATGTTGTCTTAGGTGCGGAATGGCTACCGCTGCCTGGTACTCGCTGAAAGGTCTGTTCCGATCAGGGTCTTCTGAGGTAGGTACAAGAGTACTCTTGTCTCAGGTATATACAGTCTAGTTTCTATGTATTAATAAAGAGACATCTTTATTGATTCAATCTTTGAAACATCTTCGACAATGGAAGTTATATCTAGTTTCTACATTTTTGATAAAGAGACGTCTTTATCGATAAAGATCTTTGAAACATCTTGGATGATAAAAGAGGTTAATCTAGAATTAAGATTGCTGAGTCTTATTCCGATAACAAAACTGCTTGAGAAAGAGATAAACAATAACAGTACTAAATGTTAAAAGTCAGATAAGAAAGATGATATCAAAGAATTGAGATGATCTAAATTATAAGTAATCGCCGGTTTTTAGTATAAGTCATAGAGTTTAATATCTCAAAGATAGGTTTGTTAGTTTGTAATAAGATGTCCTTTTCTTGAGTTGCAGAAAACCACTGCTTATATATCATTGTGCATTTCTCTTTGTGATGTCATTGTAACACAGGGTTTTTGGCACGTGTTCATGATGGTACTTTGTAACCAATGTGATGTTACTTGTTTCTGATCCCTTAGTCACATTCTTGGAATGTAACAAAGCTCAAGGAAATGTATACCCTTCTTTAAGATCAGGGTCTTCTGAAGCTTGAGTATGTCATCATGATACCTTTCAAGCTGATGTACATATGTATTGATATCCTAGCCCGTGTAAATCATTGTTATCTGGAAGCTTCCTTGGATAATCTTTATGACTGCCAATGGGAGTATTACCAAATACTCCTCATGGCTGACATTGTGTTTCTCAGTCTGTAGAAAGATGTGTCTTCATGCTATCAAGGAGCTGCATAGAAAGGACGGAGCTACTCTTATACTTGCATATATTACATATCATAAAAACTACGCGACCACAAATTGAGCAGACAATTTTATTCAAGCACATAGACAATTACTTTGAAAGATTATTACAACATTTCTACTTTTTCGATCCTTCTTCTGTTCCTAGCTTTTTCTTCAACCCGGCAAGAGATGTGGTGCCGTGTACGCTACTTCCGAAAATTTGAGGCATTTTTGCAAGCTTCGAGGGCGTACAGCTTTCGTCACTATGAATAGCACGCGTGGTTCGAGTTCATTGGAACCAAGCTTGAAATCATCGTCTTCAAGCTATCTAGGACCACACGACTATCTTTAGACGCAGATGTGAGCTAGCTCGATTATCCATCAATATAAAACTCTATGTCGCTGTGGTATGGAACAAACCTCTCATCAACATTCATAAGCAAGTAGATATACAGTTCCTTTTTGAGGTTGTGACTCACAAATGAGGTGCAGGATCTTCAATGACAGTACAACCTTCCATTGCTGAGAATCGTTGTCCACGATGAGATTGGATTAAATAACACATATCAGTAGTTGCTCATAGCTTCAAAATGTTGTCACATGTCGCCAAGGTGGGTGTGATGTAGTTTTGGAAGAATTCATGTACCAGAGAGAACTTACCCATCGCTGCGCGTTTTGGTACTTCACATCGATATGCTTCTTTTTGTCCGTTTTGAAGTACGACACAATCTGAAAGATATAATGATTTTAAAAATTCAGTATCAGGATGTGATGACGGAGTCGTTGCAGATAACTTGAAAACTAAAACTTACTTGCATACACCGGTTTCTTACGTGGTCGATGCACTTTGATAGCATCACATTGTTTTGGCGTAGGTGCAACTGGGGCCGGCCCAAGGGAAAAATCGTCGATGTCATAGTACGGGATACATCCAGTCATCGTCACTGGAAAGGCTTTTACTGGGCGGGTACAAGTATAAATTCGGCCATTAGATACTTGACAGACTGATAAATGACGATGGAAAAAAGGAAGATTTCGTCAGGTTGATGGCAAGAGCTTGTGATGATAAATCGGTTCTGTGAACTCACAGTAAGCACCATCCTGTTTCGCTCCAAAAAAAACTGTACATGCATGTCGACCTGCCATCATTACACCTTGCATGCACAACATCAAGTATGCAAGCATAACGCCCAAAGATTTCATTAAATGTGTCTTCTGTTTGATCATAGGTCTGAATCGCTTGGGATCTGATGCTATTTTTGTAAGTTGGAAATCAGATGAGCTTGAATTCGCACCCAGTACTAGAATCCAGGAGTCAATTTTCGAGGCTGATGAAAAGGCATGTTCAAAACTACCCAGACACAGTGCTTATGAGCTTATCACATGAAGAAATCCCAAAGGTTGGCTTGGAAGCAGAACCGCTTGGTTACGGGTTAAAAGTGCGCGTGACCTCGAGGAAGCCGATGCCGAGTTATATTCTCGAGTAGGGCCTGAAGGATGTCATAGCTTCCGAGAGTCCATCTAAAAGCAAGAAAAGCTCTAAGGCAACCAGAGCTTCCTGGATGAAGCAAAATATATACGCATCACTTTCCTCAAGCGTCGAGATCCGGCGCAGACTAACCATATATATACCGTTAAGCTGATCCTCGTTACATGCCTGCTGAGTCTACGCAATCATTTACATTTCGTCTCCACGAGGGTCGCATTAACTTAAAGACCACTAGCGAGGATCAATGCTGTCTTTTTCTCAAAGACTTAAAAACTTTCAGTTAACCTCGAGTCTCTACCAAGAAAATTCAAATGATTTCACCACAGGAACTCAAGATAGCCAAACAAGCACAGTGCAAACCTGGGCCCCAAACTAACAACGGGATACGTAGCTTCGTAGACATTTCTTTCCATCACATTCTAAATAATGTTTAAAAAGATGCATAAGCTCCACCTGAAGGCACTCATCCCAAGTCACATAATTTAAATTATTCACCACAAATCCTTTCAATAGGATCACAGAATAATTTTGACGCTGTATATAATATCTTCCTCATATGTACTATGTTGACCCTCAGAGTGTGAATTCCATGCTTTATCATTACCAATTACTTCCTCCCATTGTTCCAGATTTTATTTATGTGAGCAATTCTGTGTTCATGATTAAATCAGTGTATCGCACTCTGAGCGTCTCTCGAGAACCGAAGAACTGAATGTTGTCAAACCTCCATCCGATGAGTTGACTTATTTGACTTGAGCCCCAAACGGGCGCCTGCCCAGCTGGTGGCAAAGAGCCAGGGCGCGCCTCATTTCCAAAAGCGTGCCCATACTGCATGAGTCAAAGTCAGAACATCAATACGTGCATAGACAAATGGGGTTTAGCAGGTTTCAATATGTGATGTTCTGCCTTGTCTTTTCACATTTCACATTTCACATTCAACATCGCCACAACTATTTACCAAACAAAGTCTTACACTCCAGTATGCTTACATTACTCTGCATCACCATCATCAGTCTCCTAATTACCCTCACCCAAGCTAACCCTGATACTCAAGTTATCAGTTCAACGACTCATCGACAGCTAGTTCTTCAACCTCAATTGGTATCTGACACTCAAAGAGAATACAATCACCCAGAACCATCGACATCTTCCGATCATCAAATGCTTTCAAGTTTACCTGAGCAACAATCTAGCTCGACATCTGATGAAGCATCCCGCAAGGGCTTGTCCAACTTGACGGGTGCCCTTACTCTCCAAGCCAAATTATCCTTATTCTAGTCAGTATGCCACCAGCCTTTGAACCTTGAAATGCGATGTACGCTTGGTCGGCTCCTAACGTCTCAATGTCCTTGCGCATATAATCTTGGTTCAGTGACTACATTCGTGATGTTGGCCCTATCAATCAACGAACCATGGACCCGAACCAAAAAGTATGAAGACATGTATCTCATTTTTATCTTTACCTTTCCTTCTGCAATAGAAAGTGTACTAAATCATTCTCAACACATCCACAGACTACCATTCTTGCACCTTTAAACGCTGCTATCATGCGCCTAAGTCGAAAACCGCATCAAGGTCTTCAAACTCCTGAATCTGAAGCTCCATTTCATGAACTATCACCCGAAGCGCAGATCGCTCGTGAAGAATCCAACTTAAGCTATCTAGCGAATTGGGTCTCAGCATACGTGATTACTGATACTGTTGAACCTGAACAATTTCCCTCTTCCGCTCAATCTTCTCTCCCACTCAAGACCATCAATGGCCGATCAATTCAAATAATATGCAATGATATACAAGATGGTGAACCGAGATGGCGAGGATGCAGGATTGAACCAGGAAACATCCGGATAATTGACTTCACATCCGTTCGTTCTCTTCTTCGTCCTGATCTCAATAGTCATATGCTTGGCTGATTAGATTCATTTTCTTGACCCGTCTGTTATCAAACACCAGGCCTCCAACGGAGTGATCTATACCATTGATGACACAATAATGGTTGATGACAAATGAGGAGCTAATCAGGGACCATTGAGGTTTCTCTTCCCTGCATCTTTTACTCTGTCTACTCATTCACTGCTGTGAGGAATTTCGCTACTTGGCTCGGCCGGACGTAGTATGTACTTGTAATGACCTCTCGATTGGTTCATCATGTAAGATATGACTGAGATGTCAAAGTTGAGTGCTCAAGATGCCACAACATCCATCACACAAGAAATTATATTGATGAAGACTCAATGTCTCGATAAACAACTTGAAAACATCTTTCATCAACGGGCAAGCCTCGCCGAATCCACCGACATACTTTTCACGAAGTCCAACGATGTTTATTATGCGAGCTGTGCAAATGGCGCAGCAATTCGCACTTGGGCGTCGAGTACCTTCACAATAGTTAATACATCAGCCGTGATCGAGTATTCTTTTCAGAATGAGAACAGTAGTTATATACCTATGAGTGACACACGTGAGGTCTTTCCACGCCTGGCATCTGAATACGATTAGATGTAGATCCAAAACTTTCCTGGAAGTACCACCAGGCAATGCAGTCAACACTTGGAATCATATATCCTCAGTGTTCGCAGGGAGACGAGCTTCTCTATGGAAAACCCCTGTCCCCTTCTCGAAAGAAGGTACCTTAATCTTTTTTCATGAAGATGGCACACTGGTATATCATGGGACTGAAATGCAACATTCATATGCCACCGGTCGTAAAAACTATACATCACCAGCATTGTCCTTATAAAACCAGTGATGAGATCACATACTAATCTTTACAATCCTCTTATAGGTAAGTCTCCGCAACTAAAGTATGCAATATTCTTAAAGAGAAATTTAGTAGGCTATACAGCAGAACCTGTCTGATTGATAGAAACACATAGCGCCCTCATAAGATCAAGTTTCGCAATAAAGACACCACTTCTTTGCAATCTATGCACTATCAAGAAGAGTACCACCAGTAGATTTGTGATCTTCATTTTCGTCTTGTTTTTTCAGTGGACGCTGTCCTTTCTTCATGAGCAGATGTCACGTATGGCCATCCATCCCGGAATTTAAGGTAATTATAACCAAATACATAATCGCCATCCGCCATTCCTAACGTTCGGTTTGCATAGTGGTAGTAGAGCAGTAGATCCCCAGATTCCGTAGTTGTAACACCTCTGAAAGGTATTGCAATATTGATCATCAGTACACATTGCCTGCAAGTGGGAGAAAAAAACTCACTGTCCACCCGGTCCATACACGTCGTCATGACTAGCTAAGAGAGTCGATCCTCCGCTCTGAGTACAGTCAGTGCCGTCCATGTTAACAAATCCTGAGCTCGGAGATCTACTGCGACACATTACAATCTGGTATTCTTCACCGCGGGAAGGCATCTTGTCTTTATAACCACAACATGTACCAGCAGAGTACAAGAGGTAGTAAAATCCATGGCGATGAAACATATATGAACCTTCTCCGGAATGCCTCCCAGTGGCATTGTAAGCTAACTTATTGATTTTTTCATGGGTATCAATTTTCGTTGGAAGATCTGACATTGGGACTTGAAAGATACCACCACCAAAAGAACCAAAGTTCATCCTAAGATCCAATTCTTGAGATTAGAGATTGAGGCAAGAAATACTATTCAAGTGGAAGTGGAAGTGGAAATTTATAAAAAGAACTCACAAGAAATGATCCCCGGATTTGATCAAATTGGAGTCGATTGCATTATACGGCGTGCTTTGTGAAGACTGTAAACCAGTTGAGCCAAGGTCTGTCCACGATCCTGGTTCCATATCTGGACTTGTAGCAACCCCAATCGCTGAATTCCTTGTCCCGAAGATCGATACAGAATAGGTCATATAATATTTTGATTCAATGAGATGAACATCGGGTGCCTATAAATAAGTTGTTTCAGCAGAGAATCATTTATTTGACATAGCCAAAGAAAAGGTATTCACCCATAGAGATTTGTTTCCCTCGATAGGGATTATGGACCCGCCTTTTAAGGCTTCACCGACATTCACCCAAGGCCCACTCAGTGAACGCGATTTCCAAATGCCGATACAGCCACCAGTGTTGAAACGGAACCAGGTGCCATCTTGTCGACGGATCAAAGCGGGATCGTGAGCCCAACACGAACCAATGCACGCTCCAGGCGCGGGGTATGAAGCATATACAACACTGAAGAGAAAAAGAAACAAAATGCAACATTGACTGAACATGATGCAAAAAAAAAATGTCTAGCGAAAATTATGGTACGTTTAAATATGGTTACAAGTGAAAAATCGAAACATAAAGGAAAAAAAAACATCTCCACCACGCTCAATACTTATGAACTCAAGTCTTGAATTTTACCACATTCGAACTCCCACTGAGATACTCGGATGTAGCGATTCTCCATGATCATTTGTTTGTGTAGTACAATAGTGACGGTTGAGCTACAACTAAAATAAGTTGTGATAGAGATAGTTGCTAGACAAGAATGTGATGAGAAAATTCGTTGTAAGAAGTATGGCCATAAGAAGTATGGTCGTAAGGAGTATGGTCCTCATTATGTATGGAATGAACTAAGACGTTTCAAGGCATGATCACTCATATGCTCCATTCGAAAAAGCTTGGTGATGTTTTCCACTGTGAAGGTTACCCGGAGTTCTCTGGCAGTTTAGCGGGATTTTTGTTTTGGTTAAGCTTTCGAAAATCGAATGTATGAATAAAAGCTCGCATAAACTTTTTACATCTCGCCACATTTGAGTTTCTCCGATTACCACTGAAACCCATTTACGATTGGAGGAGCGGCAAGTTGGCAACGTTCTCGATATGATTATGAATGATTGTTTCAATAAACAAAGGGCCATTGACTGCCACTGGGCTTGTGCACAATATCGATTCTGAAATGCCAGATCCGAGTTCAAAGATCAACACGCAATCAGAACTTTGAAATGACACGGCCATTGATGAAGTCTCAACATCGAAGGTATTTGATTTGATGAGGGTGTGAGCAGTGTTTCAGGACTATTACTGCCTTGCATGATTGTTTGGAGGACAATCCCAGCCACAACTTAGCCCATTGTAGCTTGTCAAGAGACTTCTGAGCCTCTTCCACTCAGCATGAGTTTTTCTCTCAGAATGCAAGAAACATGACTCACGAGGATTTCAAGAGGTGGTGCATATGGCCGAGTCCGCGCAGTCAAAACAAAAACAACATCATTCCTTGACCATTCAAACATGTAGATGCAAATCAGTCTGTATATACTGGAATTCAAGACAAGACAAGGATCAGTTTGACTTCACAACCACTTGGCAAATGATAAGCCTCAATATCCTCTGGAGGCATGTCATCTTTTTGAGATGGCCCCCGTGATTCTATCACAATTTGGGTACGGTAATGTGATAGAGAAGTGACTTGGGATTCCATTCTAGGGGGGAGAGGGAGACCTTATATAGTCCTCCATCTTCTAGAACATACAAAAAAGGTAAGAGTTTGTATAACAAGAGACCACATGAATGCTGTCCTGGTACAACTGATTAGAAGGTAGGGAAGACCAAATCCGGTACTTTTGGATTTGGTTTACAATTAGTAACATGCAGTTGATTGGGACAGATCTGGGGAATATCTGTCTTATGGAAAAGCATTTTGGTGGAACCAGAAAGAAGTGAAAAACAGTGAAAAGTACATCAAGAGTATTGAAAGTGGATATACACAGCTTCCGTGTACTAGTCACTGGCAGGCCAGTGACTCCCATCCACCTCAATACAATTTCAATCCAATTTCAACCTTTGGTCAAAGCATCATGGCAATAGACAGGAAATCCTGGAAGACCATCAAAATTTAAATGGCATCATATGGTGTTGTATATTTGGACACACCTGCTCCTGTAATTCTCTGTCAAGAATATATATGGTGGCTCATGTCAAGACAGTGGTAAGTCTGAATCAGTAGCTCCACACCTTTGACCATATGAGTCTGTAAAAGCCAGTGAGAAATCCAAATTTCTATGGTGAAAATGTTAAAAGGTTGTCCTAGATCCGGCTGAGAGATCATCTTCAGGATGAGAGTGTGAAGAAGTATTTTCAAATTGCATTCAGTTTCTTGAAAAATCTAGATTTGTGGCCAGCCGTAGATTTTGGGCCAAAATTTATGGTTACCACAGTTTTGACAGGTCCCACTATACAGTAGTTTTAAAGATGTTTGTCACAACTTTTTGGTCAAGCAGGGGCCCAAGCCTGGTGGTTGAGCATTTTGAATTAAAAGTGGTGCCAAAGCAAAACCAGGGTGGGCACAAGTATGCTACTCCTAAGCAGTATCTAAAGCTCATCCTGTGCAGACACAGCTTGATTTGTATAATCTGTAGATCACCATCCAATTGTGATTCAATTTTCTCAACCACAAAGCTTGGGCCCCTAGTGTAGCAAAAATTTGGCACAAATATTTTTAAAATACAGCTGTTGTAAGATCTATTGGCAGATTTTTAGATCATTGTGTTGTTGCCAAATTTGATGTGGAGGTCAAAAACTCCAAAAAACCCTTTTGAGACTGATAACTCTGCTGCCTATTGGTCAGATCTAGCACAAGACCAATTGAGTTACTCTCAAAGTGACATAATTTTCGAGTTTTTGACTTCAAAAGTTAAATCTGGTGACAACACAACTTTTCAAAAATCTGCCAGTAGATCTCACAACAGCTGTATTTAGTTTATGAAGCTTCATTGCGTAATTTGGAAGAGTTATTACACTTTTATGAAAAAATTTTGATATCTGCAATGTTTATGGTATGAATTTAATTTTACAGACATCTCTGCCATATATTGCTCCACATTTATTTTCGGTTAATCAGTCCTGCATCAGCTGTATTTTTATATGTAATTCCAAATGTATTAAAGGTACATTCTTCATGGCTTTTTGGTATTGAGGAACAATGTGGAGAAATTTCTGGTGGAAATTATTACCAAATCCTCTGTATATACCCATAGGTCAAATTCCAGAATAATTTTGGCCATTGGTTCTTCCACATTGTTCCTCAATGTCAAAAAGATATAGGGTGTGATACAATGGAAACAAAGGAAAGAGACAAAAATATGCATTACTTAACATTGCCCCATAATTGTCACCACTCCAAAAAGCTTTGGCTTTTGTGATTCCCCTATTTGGCTATTGCGTTTGTTCTTGAATTATGTGCTTTCATTGTGGTTTTCTTTCTCTTTTTTCCCATTTTTATATCTCTCTTTTCTCACTTTTACTTGTAAAATGGATATTGCCAGATCTGTCCCAATCATGTACTGTGTATAGCTACATCTGTAATTGTAGACCAAATCCAGCAGTATTGGATTTGGTCATCTCTTGCCTTCTCTATCTTATATTACGGCAATCATAGATTGCCTCTTGTTGTATCACCTATTTATCATCTCCTTATTTGACCCTCAGTTTAGGATGCTTGTCTATATAAAGACTCTGCATCCTCATAGCAATGGATCCCAAAAGTTACTTCCTACTTACATTCACCCACCGGATCTTGAGTAGAATCACTGTTCCAGTTGGTATTCCCGGAGGTTTTCTCGAGCATGAATCTCTGTCTCTACACTCTTGATTTATTTATTGGAATTGAATGCATGGTGTGGTGCACAGAGAAACAATGATACTATCAACTCTGTCATGTCATTAATTCGCATGCAGCCTTGGGTTTTCTGATAAGGCCATGCATGTTGGGGGCATGACTAACATTGCATTAATTATAATTGATTGTCCTTTTATTTCTCACCCATCAATCCAAGATATCACACAGATGCTTCCACAACCTATGTCACACTGTCACAACTATGTAATTCATCCAAAACTCTGAGTCAGAGCTACATGAAACAGAGCCTATCAGTGGCAAAAACACCAGAAAATTCTTCAAATGAAACTCTCCAAGAACTCTATTACTTACATCATTGAATATGCTGCGCCAACAGAGCACTTTCACCTATCAATTTATCTGTAGCAAATTTTATTTCTTGCTTTTCTACAGTGGGATTATTTCTTTCTTCCTGCACAGCTGTCACATATGGCCACTCATCTTTGAATCTGAGGTAATTATAACCAAATATATAATCACCATCCGTCATTTTTGTCTTTAGACTTGCATAGTGGTAGTAGAGCAATAATTGCCCAGATTTCGTGATTGTGACACCTCTGTTATGAATTGGAATATTAGTGCTCATTTAATTATGAGTGAGAGAGACAAAACTCACTGGCCACCAGGGCCATACACGTCACCGTGACTAGCTAAGAGAGTTGATCCCCCATGCTCAGCACAATCAGCACCTTTCATGTTCACAAATCCTGAGCTCGGGGATTTACTGCGACACATCACAATCCGGTATTCTTCACCACGGGCAGGCATCTTTTCGTTATAACCACAACATCTACCGACGGAGTACAAGAGGTAGTAATATCCGCGGTGATGAAACATATATGATCCCTCACCGGTGGGACTTCCATGGGTGTTATGAGCGAGTTTCTTGATCTTGCCATTGGATTCGATTTTTGTTGGAGGATTTGACAACGGAACTTGAAAGATACCACCAGCAAAAGAACCGAAGGTCATCCTAAAATCCAATCGTCGAGATTAGATCTTGAGAAACAACTGACTATTCAAGTGTAAGTGGACTTGAAGATTGACAATGAACCCACAAGCAATGATCCCCGGATCCTGCCATAATAGTACTAGAATCGATGGCATTATAAGGCGTGATTTCTGAAGACTGTAAAGCAGTTGAGCCAAGGTCTGTCCACGATCCTGGTTCCATATCTGGACTCGTAGCAACACCAATTGCTGAATTTTTACTCCCAAAGATCGACACAGAATAGGTCATATAATATTTTGAGTCGATGAACTGAACATCAGGTGCCTACAAGTGACATGTTGAATTACTCAGTTCGGCATTCAACGCAAACAAACAAAAAGTATTGACCCATAGAAAATCGTTTCCCTTGATAGGTATTGAGGATCCCTCTCGAAAAGCATCACCGGCATATTCCCACGGGCCACTCAGTGAGCGTGATTTCCAGATGCCGATTTTATTACCAGTGTTGAAACGGAACCAAGTTCCATCCTTCCGACGGATCAAAGATGGATCGTGAGCCCAGCATTGACCACTGCATGGTCCAGGCGAAGGATAAGCAGCATATACAAAGCTGAAGAGAAGAGTGAAGAAGATGCAACATTGATTGAGCATGACGAGAGAAAAAAATATACAATTTCAAAAAATGTTTGTATTGTGAAAGAAGTGAAAGGTCAGGAAAGAAAATAGAAAAAGGACCTTCTTGTCTTCTAGATGTAGACCCAAAACTAGAGTTTTCTAGTTATATCTTCACCTCCGACCGAGATGCAACATGCTCGACGTCGAACCTTAACCCTTCCTTTGGGTGACGAGAAAGTCGATTCGCCGGGTTCTACGCGACCAAGTCACATTGTTTATCTTGCCGAAACTGCACGGTTGATCAGGATGATATGTATTCTGCCACTGCCAGCCTAGCTTACTTTGTTACCGAAAATGGAAGGTCGATTTCAATCTTCTCTAAAAAACTAGGTTGTTGATCAGTCATAAGGCGATATAGTGAGCAACCAGACAAGTAATCAAGACGTATTGGCAAAATAGACAACGGGTTCCACAAACATGTGGAAATTCGAGATGGAAAACAAATAGTATTATAGAGTCTTGATCACGTGACCGTTATGTCGCAGTCGTGTATAATCATGTTGATGTGGCTATGTATTGACAACAGTCGAGTCGGGCATTTCTATGGTGGCGCACATCCGACGATCCTCCTCCACAACTTACAAGTGACTGGTCACGTTTTGCATGAAGCGCAAATGAGGGTCGGTTGACAACGCCCTCCCTTTGGTACGAAGTAGAATGTGACATCTGAGGAAGTGCTCCCAGAGCACATTTGAACACATGGGCAAACCGACCAAGCTTCATAACAAGACAGTGACACGACACTCCTCTCACTATATGATGCAGATAGACACAATGGTATCTATCTTCTCATCAAAGATGTTAATCTCAGCTATCCTTACCAAATGAGTGCGTATCATATATAAAAGGAGTGCAGTAAACCAAAATCACTTCAAAATCAAACAATCGTCAACATATGCACCTTAATCACCGGCCCAACACCAAAAGTGAGGCACAAAGGAAAAAGATCTATATCAAATACAAACGCAACAATGAGAGATGAGAGGACACATTTGAGATTTTTGAGTTCCAATTTATATCGTGTTCTGGTCGTAGTTCTTTAAGCTATCAGCATCCGTTTTGACCCTGAAGACAGATCAAGATGAAGAAACGTGAGTAAACGCTCATGCTGGAGATCTAATAGGTGGGAACCAACACCACTGAATGATCTGCTCATTTGCTACCAAAGTGATGATAGTATGCTGAAAAACCCGGATCCAAAGTATCGCATTTCGAGACATCAGTCTTCCTTACGAACTTGCAAAAAGCAGATGGCCCGGAGATACCAATTCATTAAAAAGATGAAAACTTACCGGGGCAATTCTAAAGAAGTGAGCTGTAGATCCTTTATACCTACAAACAAAATGAATAACAGACGGGCAGGAGTCAGGATTTTGGCTTCTACGTCGTCATTGAGGAGCAAAGAGAGCAAACAGTCCAGTGAATCCTTCGATTTTGATTGTCTTCCAGAGACAATCCCACGGATTCTTGTATAACCTTTTTCCTGGGTCAGTTGGCTGATTGTACATTCTTGTAAGTGTAGTATCTAGATTTATGATAATTGAGACAGTACAACTACAAGTCAATTAAAATGTGTCAATTATTGTTTATTCAAATGATTTTGTGCATACCAGCTGGTTGCATTGCTGTCAAGACACACATCCCACTGAAAGAACTTGAAGCAATATACAGCCAAACCGAATTTGGATCAAAATATGGAGTGAGATTAGTTTTGGCGTAATTATAGGCGGGTAATTGGACCGAGCTGCCCATCGCAGTCCTTAACATAGAGGCATCTACTCCTCTCATCATACCCTTCAATCCTTCTTGATGGAAGATTTGAGCAAGGCCATCGATCGCTGAACGATATGCGTAGCGAGATGAGTGAGAGGTCGAAGCTGAAGCCTGTAGGCGAGCCTTGACAAGAAAGAGAGGATTTCCAAAAATGGCTCCGATGACGCCTGATAATGCACCGGCTGAAACTGAAGACCATAATTGTACATGCGAAGGATGGTGTCCACTAAGCGAGCTTATGTTACTCCGAATCGGTTCATAAAATCCTGGATGAGACATACAGCATAATCGAAGACACCCAGATCAAGGTCAATAATTGCTATCGAAGTGGATATCAACTGAGGGTCAAGAAAGAAGCCTTTGATTATATTCGTGACGTACCTAGTCGAGAGCCATTTAATGCAAATTGATAAGCATACTAAGCCCCATTGCAGCGAATTTGACAAGTTTTTGAGATATTCATTGGACCATCGATAAAACAAATTCGTGGGTGCGCATGCGTGCATGCGTGCATGCGTGTGTACGTGTATGTATGTCAGTGAGACGACCACAGTCTGCTTGTGGACCTGGCTTTCAAAATGAGCGACATCTTCGAAAAGTATCAAGATGCAAGAAATTCTTATCTGCGTCCTGTTTTTTATTTGAAGCCAAAGAAATAGAAGGAGAGGAAGGGAAATGATGTACAAGATGACAAGCCAGAACTGGTAGAAAGATATAATGGATGAATAGCAATATTGATACTGAAACGGTTCAACTCACAGCAGCACCTAGACCACGCTGACAACTCCTTAAACCTTCAGCACGTGCAATTTTACGTAGTACATCGTAGGTATTTGTGTATGTTTTGGGTGACCCTTTTTGTTGAAGTTCTCCATCTAATTGAAGCCGTGTCTTGGCCACCTCCATCGGATTTGTGAACTGTTCAGAGGCATGATATTAGGAAGAAAGTAACATTCAATTTAGCTATGAAGTGATCGATCGACATCTTTGAGAATTATGACTTACCGTTACTGCCACACAAGCGCCCAAAGCACCAGCTACAAAGCCTTCACCGGCTGATAGGCTATATTTCTTACTGTTCGTAGCCATCTGAGCTGACTTGGTTGATATTGAAACAATTGGTGGAACGTGATCGGTCGAGAGAGGCCAAGTGAGGGTTTTGTTGTAGAGTGGCAAGATAGTTTACCATCTCCTCTTTCACATGCACTTTCACATCCCATTCACACCTCCCACTTACTCACCTTTCACACGTCTCACCTCCTCATAAGTTCGAACATCACTGGCCGATAAACCCCCATGGCAAGGAGAAGTTGGAAGACACCTGTAGTATGTGGGTAGTTCAAGTCTGGAAAAGCTTGTGGTAAGAGTCAATCATCCTCATTCGCTGTTTTGATAGCTTCTATTACATCAAACCTCTCCAGCTGATACAAAACATTTTGACAAGTTGAAAATACCACAAAAAGGACGAGTCTGATAAGTCTAATATAGAGCTATCTGGTATCTCGATCACTACCAAGTGGGCAATAAATAAGCAGCAGCAGAAAAGGTACGAAGACAAACTCTAGAATTCTGTAAGCAGATAAGGATGATAACTTGAGTTGGGTAGTTTACATAGAAAATAATGGGACAAGGCCCGAGAAATCGAAAGGATGTTGTGATAAGGAATTGGGCCAATCGGATTCAAGTAGATTGAACTCGTGATTCGTCATCAGAACCACATTCACTAGAGGCCACTGAACCAGCCTGTTAGATTCCATCACGAGTCCACGACGAAGTCAGTGAAAAGATCAGTTTCAATGCTGTCTGTGTGAGGACTCGAAGTAGGGCCTTACAGTGTTACGTTTCACAAGTTCTTTCGAAGATTCAGCAGATTGATTTTGTGTGGTTTGTTGGTGTAGTAACTGTTGTCCAGACCAAATCAATTCAGAGAATTCTGGTTTCTTGCTACGAGCTTGATTGCTAAATAATCCACCTATCAGATAAAGGACAAGCGAAAGATGAGTGGATATGATCTATGCGAGCTTGACGGCCTTTGAGCCGCGTGATATGTAAGAAAGGACAAAAGAAGGTGGGTAAGTGCTCACCAGAGGTGATTGTAGGCATTTCAATTGATTGTCTTGAAGTTAAGAGTTAACTGAGATCGAAAGGTGAACGCGGTTTGATGATACGAACTTTGAAGTGATGAGAAGATGGCGAAAAGGAATGGTTGTCGAAGGGATTACAGTTATCTTCTGCGGGGAAACCAGGATTATGTACTGGCCGCGCCCGAAGCAATGAGAAAAAGAAAGACCTCAACAATCACAGCGTGACAATCAAGGAGACCCTGGGCGTCGGTCGAATGAGTTTAAGTGAAGGGGATGAAGTATTAAGTTTGTATAGAAACGTCGAATTAGATTGAATTGAATTATTCAATTTTCTTGCTCGGTCTCTCCTTGGTTTTCTGATTTCTGTTCTGATTGGTTGAGACGGTGATACACCACAAGTGGAAGCAAGATGATTGAGCTTTGAGGATTGGAAATTCCACCATCAAGATATCCTGGAATCTATTGCACATGCTTCAATGACTCATGAGCTCTCATGATAAGTAATCTAAGCTTCATCTCTTGGACGATGAGGATCGCTCAATCACCATTACCAGCGGAGATTAGGCCGATTAGACCAAACTCAAATCAAGAGTTCGTTATCAAAGCGGACTGGTTATGTACATATTCATTTGTAAATTCGACTTGACCTTTCAGTGGCCATTGACCATTCTCCAGTCAGCACCTCTGCGAAAATGGGTGGAAAATGGCGTGATCACAACAGTCTTTGGCTCGCCACTTCAACTGTCGAGGTATTCCAGCTCAAATTGCACATATCGGTTGGTGCAAGCAGACATAAACTTAATTAAGTCCCTCGCCCTCGGGAGCACTCGAGCAAGGCACTTAGAGCACCCACTATGGTGGGAGTGTTTTATCGTAAAGTTTGCGTTCCTGAGCGCGAAGTTTGATCATGCGTGTTTTACCAAAGTTGGTAACCGCGTGAAATCCACTATGGGATGATTTATCGTCTGCTTTCCCTAGTTCCTACGATAAATCAAGTCGTAGGCTTGCGTAAATCTGAGCACACGAAGTGCAAGACTTGACGCAGCCGTACGGACCGCAGGTCTAAAACAGGTCCATAGTGGACCTGTTGGTATTTTAGCGTTAGGGTAACGCTAAATCACCGAGTTAACGCAACCATAGTGGGTGCTCTTACAGACTCACCTATACAGCTGATTTGAGAATGATGTATTTTTTTTACAAGTGCATCATGGATTCATGATGCAAAACTGGGTTTTCTTCTTGACCAAGTTTTGTTTCTCTGCTCATTTTGAGAATATAAAGAATACAAAACCTTTTGGTTGGTTTTGACCACTGCAGCAACACAAATGTTTGAGAAAGACAATAGTGTACCACGAACATCAAAAACTCATATGAATTTTTTGGTTTTTTCAAGTGGGGTTTTCCATCTGGGAAGCCCTGGAATTATTGTGAGCCCCAACCCATCCAAAAATGTCCTATTCCCTTTGTCTCAAAATCAGTCAATCTTACTGCGTTGAGTCCCTACACCACGGGGCAGTTGCGGCGTGAATTCCACGTCGCCATTTGGCTCTATAGTGGTTCACGTGGCATTCACGAGAGGTGAGTCATGTCGCGACTGCAATCCATGAACCACATGGGTTTCACAGTACCGCCCGCGTGGTAGCGCTGTGAACACCACAGCGCTTCACTGCGTCAACTGGATACAATCGGTGATGTGGCCATTTGCTTCATAGCATTCACCTTCCATTCTGGTGACCACGCCGTTGCATTCCACCACATGGGCGTACTCCAACAGGCAACCACGGAGCATTTATGTGGGCTTTGCGTGATTGCGATGTCGTTCGGCTTACAAGAGGATCAAAAGAAATCTCCTGACCGATCCAAATCGGATCGGTCAGGAGCGTGGGCTAGCCAGGATACAAACTTGAAAAACAAAAACAAATTACTCCCTCAGGAGATCATGACCAAATCAAACACACTCAAAGTGATATAACATCTTTTCAAGTTGAATAATTCCCTGCTACCATCCTACATTTAGTTCAATCAGTCTTGCCTTGGATATCATGTTCCTAAATCTCTTGTTCATATGCGTAAAAATGTAAGTAAACAAGACATAAAAGAGTTGATTGATTGGATATGTGATAGATGAAAGGTTGAAAATACATTCAACTGATACTGACTGGTGAGTACTCGAGATGACAGAGTTCAAGTGATTGAAAGAAGTCTAGAATATGAGATGCAAGATGACAAGTTTAACTGATCTTGAAATGAAAAAGATCCGTGAAAAATGTTCAGGAATGTCTTTAAAAGTAGTCAATGACCATCGAGAAGATCTGTAAGTAGTAGAAGTTAGTAGAGAAGGATGAGATGATAATGATATGTAGAAAAAAGTGTAAAGGGATGAATGAGATATTTTGGATTTCATCGAGAGGTCGAAGTTCAAACACTTTTTATACCAAAACATTGAGTGATATGATGAATGACATCTTAATGACATCATATCATGTTGTAAGCTCAGGACAACAGTCAACTGGGGTCAACTGCACAGCACACAGATTACCTAATATCTTCATCTCAACTCTCAATCACAATGTGATCTTGAGTGGAATATTTGTGCAGTTATGAGGCAGTGTGTGCTATGGCTACGATGAGGTCCTCAGGTGATCAGATGGTGGCCAGAGCTGATGTGGAAATCACACGGCGATTGATGTGGCAAACATGGATCTGTTACCTATTGTTTGCGACCTGATGGCAGCGTGGTCTTACTACTGCCAGTTGTGACATTGCATTGATGTGATTCAAACTTGCAAAGCTTTCAACATTGCTGATTTTCACCTGCGATCCAAGTCGATTGCTCGGTGAAATTCACGTAGCCCTTGATCGCACTCTGGCAGCCCTTTTTCGCTCAAAGGCTGCCCGGTGGTGTAGAATTAGTTTGGTTGCTTGTTGTTGATCTGTGCTAAAAATCCCGATGAGAAGGTTTTACCTAGAATTGGGGCATGGAGCTCTAGTTGCAATACAGTCAACTCTGATATAACCGATAGCTGTCAAAACCGATAATCTTGGCAAAACCAATAATTTTTGGCCATTTTTTTAAAATTTTCAGTGAAGTTGGCTCTGACAAAACCGATACTCCGTGAAAACCGATACAATTTTTTGGGTATTGGTTATATCAGACTCGACTGTAGCCGTGTTCAAACCAAACCCATTTGCACAAAAACCCGGTACACCCGGTACACCCAGTTGACTTTTTGGCTGGAAGCTGTCAAGAGCTGTCACTACATAGATACACAAAGTTACCACTAAAAACGCAACTGGGTGTACTGGGTCTTTGAGTCAACCGGGTTTGGCATGAACACGGCTAAAGACACTATTGCAGAATAGCTTTAGTTACATAAGCAATACCTCAAAGGCATTGATAAACCAGTCTGCTATGGGGTGGCCCTATTTTTTTTTACAAATTATATATACAAAAGGGAGAGGTGGGCTGGCCAAAAAAGATTTGTATACTTGATCAAGGAGATGAATATGGTAGAAGATCTCAAATATAGTGAGAATACTACATAGTAAGGAGAAGTATTTTGATGATTTCCTTTGAGAGTGAAAACTAAGTGGGAAGAATTGGAGTTAAGGTAAAGAGCATCTTCAATGACAATGGTAATGAGGAGTTTAATTATTTTGGAGATGGTAGATAGCACAGCAGTGCAAACAAATGTACAATATGGGTCAGCAATGATCATGATTTGAGGCCATCTGGCCTGATCTTGATATGACATCAAATTGACTCAAATTAAATTCTTGACTTCAATTTTATCTTGGTTCAATATCATTATAGTATCAGACCTGTTTGGTTCTGTGACTGATTGACAGGCCCTGAGACCTTGACCAATACAATGAAATCAATTTATTCAAATTGAGGAGTGGGTTGAGGGTCAGGATGAGCCCCGAGACCCGCCAAATCAGGGATACCCGGGGGACAGCCCGTTGGGTTGGGGGGTCGTTCTGGCCTTTGAAGGGTCACAGAACCACGGGGATTGTTGGGCCCTGGGGTCGTTCTGAGAGTCAAAAAAAGTGACTCTCCTCAGGGAACCCGAGGAAAAATCAAGCTGTGAAATGCGGATAAATACACGCTTGGGAGAGGTTGTGCTCAGCAGTTTCTGCCGCAAATAACCAGGGACTCGGGGATCCCCGTAATTTCCGGGGATTTGGTAGTTTGTTGGGGGTCAGGGTACAGGAGCCAGGCTTGACCTTTGAGCCACAAAAAGCTCAGGGAATACCGGGGTCGGTCCTCGTTCTGACTTTTGAAAAAAAGTTGGTGGGCCGGGCAGCCCAGTCCCCGGCATTCAGGGGTTGGGGCTCATCCTGAGTTGAGGGTGGCTAGGGGTGGCTCTGGCTGGTCTGATTCAAGTGTGCCCAATCAGATGCTTTCAGGTAACACCCTACTTGCTTGGGCAGGTAGGCATTCATTTCAAGTAACATACAGCTTATGGACACCCAGAGGGGCATATCAAATATGAATGGAAAAAACAAAAGTGCTGGAAAAGAGGTCTGTTGGCTGCCTGCCAGCGGAGGCTAATCATCAGGTCTCCAATATTGAACCAATATAAACTTGAGATCATTTTGATTTGAAAACAATTGTAGATCAATTTGACATTGGGCCTGTCAAAAGGTTGACCCATAGTGTAACACAAAAGCTTACACATTGATTGTTGTGGCTACATCACTAGTGGCACTTTTGACCTATTCCTGTATGTAAGCTTGCTCCTAGTGCCCAGGAATTTCAATTGATTGGCCATTAAAAGTCCCAACTATGGAAAAGTTGTTCCTAGTACTACACCTTGGTCACCTCTAATACCACTGTCAAGTATAAAGGCCTACCCTTTATGGTCAAGTCAAAGTCACATCTGCTTACAGCACTGGTGATCATTTATATATTTTTGGTCAATTGATCATATCATCTGGATCATTCACTGTTGCTTGTGCTTCACATGCCATCTGTTCAACACCTCAAGGGATTTTTCTGGGATATCATGACAGTCCCTTTCTTTATCTTCTACTATCACAAATTCTTTTCTCTTTCTTTCTAGCTATCTTTTGACTTTTGATATATTGCTGCTAGCCAAGCTATCTTTTTGTTATTCTCTTACTTTTGTTGTCACAAAGTTTCAAGTTTTTGTATTGTGTTGGTTTATTTCATTTTTTGTGATAAATAGAATATCAAATAAGTTTTTGAATTTGCTTTCAAATAAAAACACAATAACCAGGCAAAGAGAGTCTCCAGAATCACAACATCAGCCCTTGATCAGACTGCTTTACAAGATTTTATTCTATGAAGTGTCAGTTTCTGAAACCCTTAGAGGAGTTTGAACTAGGAACAGACAACAGTTTTTCAAAGGCCATGTTAGTATTGTACAATTTCCATCTGGATTACTTGCAGATGTATCAGTTAAGTATAAGATATACAAGTTCAGCCTGCCAGTTCCAGAAACATCTTTGGAGTAAATCTGAGAAAGAGAAGCCAGACTCTAACCAATTGGGGGTCTAGAACTTTCAAAGGCAATTCTGCGCACAAGAACTCACAATGTCAACATCTTTGTAGCACATCAATGTTTACACACCAAGAGTTTTGAAACAAATCTCAAAGTCTTTTGGTCAGAATCAGACTGAGATTCTTGATGAGAAACCTTGGTGAATAATAATTTAGTTATAGGGTTTATGGAATCCTTTGTCAGCAGCTGGACTCAACTGAGTGTCAACGTCCCAGTTGATAAGGGGAAGATGCACCTGCTGTGGAACCTCTTTGAAGGGTCTTTTGACTCTGAGGGTCTAAGAAAAGTCCTTTGCGTGTACACATTGACATGCTACAAGGATACAGACACAGTGAATGATGTTCAATGAGTAAGACACTAGGATTTGCCATTGGGCAACTATAAAACCCCACACATTAGTACTTGTCTATGTTGGGGTGAGTCTTGAAGAGTCTACAAATTCCAAGTGAGTGGGTTAATGGGAGGACTATTTTACTTGTAGATGGTACAGAGTATTATCAGAAGGGAATCTGTGACAGGTGAGGGACACAGACAAAGGTTGTTGTGTGATCTCAAAAGAGGCGCAAAGGAAATGGAAATCACAACAACCACCCCAACGGAAGGCTCTGTGCCAGTCTCAATTCAATTTTTCTCCTCCTCCTATCCTTGCAAGTAAATCAGTGGTTTCCCTCAGTTCCTTTCCAGAAAATTGTGCCAAGTTGTTATAATCCTCACCACTTTTCTTAAAAATTTAAAAACAGTACTCACATATAGACAAAAAAATATACAGTTTCACTGCCTGTTTTTTTGAAGTTTCAACTTTTTTTGTTGTCAGTTATAAATCTTTGTTCAATTTCCTTTTTTCCCACCCACCACCCTCTAGTCAAACTAGGGTTAAGTCTCAGAGTAAACACAACAACCCATGCCACTGCACCTTAACTGATTTCCATTAAACAGTGACACATCCCAAATTACAAGTCATCTTACCAAGACAGATAAAATCACAGCTCAAAAAAACTTGTACATCTGAAATGACACGCTTCAACATCACAGACAACAAAAACAAATGCCTCAACAGTGAGTCGAACACTGGACCTTTTGCTGCCAAGTTCATTACTAGGCAAACGCTCTACCACTGAGCTACTAAGGCTTATGGCGTCATCGAGCCTGTATGCGTACAGGATCTGCCAGTAGTACCTGTATGCTGATGTGTTTGAGACTAAAAAAATCAAGATCGATGTAGTAAAAGACGAAAACAATGTTTAAGACCAGTTGAAAGTCCATATTCATGAGCAAATTTAACAAACTAAACACTAGAAAGTTATAAAACATTCATAAAAGATTTATAGAGTAAGAAATCCAAGATCAAAGTAAAGAAATATGTATACATAAAACATTATCTTTTCTAAGAAAAACCCTGTTTGACAATCAACTATACATTTACTTATCATGACCAGAAACCAACTGAAAGAAAATCATTCTAAATCTAATCAAACGGAACTACTATGTATCATGTTTTTGAATAGATCAATCAATCACTATGAAATCATTTATTCATTTATTTAGACTTGCTTTTTGTTCTTCTAGTACCTTTCACATGTCTAGTTTTTTTCTTAGATTTCCAAACCGATGAATTATACCAAGTCTTTCGTTTCTTATTAAACGTTGAAGAAGAAGAATGAGTGTTAGCTTTCTTTTGTTGTTTAGCCAAGATCGCTTGCCAAGCTTGAATTTGTTCTTCTTCATTAATCTCTTGATGATCTAAACCTTCTCTAGCTTTTCCTTTTGAGATACCTAATCCTGCCATTTTACGAACTGATTCAAGTTGATATAAAAAGTCAATGTGTCGAAATGTTGGTTTGCGTATAGTGGCTGAATCAGATTCAGGTTTTAACTTACATATATTACGCATGGCAGGTGGCCAAGAGGTCATCAGTGGTGCAAGTCCCTCTGATGGTTCATCATCGACTACGATCCCAATCAATCTTAATTGTTCCTCCGGGCTTTGGCGAGGTTCATGAACCAAAGATGTTGTTGTATTGCGTACTATTGTAATCTCAGCATCATCATCATCATCATCATCGTCATCCTGATCTTGGTATGAGATATCTGAAGTCGAAGGTCTAAACAGGTTAGATTTTGGTGCCTTTGTCGGCTTGGAAGTTGATGCTTTAGGACCTTGGATGACTTCAATCGATGAACATGGCGCTTGATCGGCTTCCTCAATGTGACCTTCGTCACCAAAGCCAAGATCACGAAGCAGACGGTTTCGTTTCTCACTGTCGGTTGGCGAAGGAGATGGACGCATGCTACCGCGAGACTGATGCAACACCAATGCCAGATTAGCCACTTATACAAAAGTCATATGTCGATCATGGAACGGTCTGAGAGTACTGGACTTCTCAAAGCGTAGCAACGAAGAGATCATGACTTACTTTGATAGACTCTTGGCTCGCAATCGTGTGTTCATGAAAATATCTGGACGATGGACCAATGGATGATACACCTGGTGAAGGTGGCCTGAGATCGGCTTCATGATCTTCATCTGCCTCATCTTGATTTCTTTCATATTGTTCGTAATCAAGATGACTCAAATCATTAAGATCTTCATCTTCTTGAAAGTTGTCCAGATTCTCTTCGATTGGGAAACATTGATCTTTCTCTGGCGTATCAGAGGAGTCAGGTGCTAAGACTCGACTGAGGTTGACTGGTGATATTGGGGGAGTTAGATCAATTTGACGACCTTTGCCCTTATCCTTCTTGGGGGTTGATGTAATCTGTTTCCAAGGTGAACCAGTGGAACGAGGAGATCTTATAGTATTTGGTCGGAATGGTTCTAAAGGAGGTCTGACAATTGGTGATGGTAATATATCAGAGGGAGAGAGCTCTCGAGTGATTTCGGGGCTGACTAAGCATTGACTTCCAATCGTGGGTGATGGTGTTGAATGAGATACCTTCGTAGGTGAATCGGGTTCCAAACTTATCACATGCTCAGCGCGCCGACTTTCACGTGGCCGTGATGGAATTGACCAAGTGCGACGAGAATTAAGTGAGTCTGTTTGTTTTCGAGTATTGGTAGAACGTGATCCACTCGTATTAGCCACACTAGGAGGTCTGGCCAGAATGTTAGGTGAATGGTAGGGTTGAGGTTGCTTGCGACTGGCAGAGACAGAAGAATTCTTAATTTGACGCCGAGGAGGACTCCGATCCAAGTCACATTCCAATTCCATGTCCGAAGTAGGTCGTCTGGCAGTGTGTGCGACTTCTGGGCTTTCAGGAATCACCACGTCCCTCAGGGAGCGATCAGCCCGGAGAAGATTGGCTAAGCTGTGTCGATCGATCTGAGAAGCTGTCAAGTCATCCACCTCCTCATTCTCTTCATCACTAGAGAGCTTAGAGGGCTGATTCCAGTCGCTCCAGTCAGATGATAATGAAGCGGTGGGAGATGCATGAATTGTTGGACGTCGAGTCGAAATCTTGGCCATACGCTTCTTGGATGTTTGTCCCTTTCGAGCTGAGGATCTAGCCGACAAACGATCCGGAGTGAGTTGAACGGGTTTGGGGTTCGATATGAAAAGGTCGAGATCATCTTCCATTTTCTTGATTGGTTATGTGATATTTGAAGAGTTGATGGTTTGAGTGTTGAGTGATGTACTTGATGATGATGATGAGTGTTGTGTTGTTGTGTTAAGTTAGAGTTTGGATGATATCGGCCGCAGTGATATGAACGCGTCAAATAATCGAAGCGCGCTCATTTCACACATTTGACATGAGCCAAGTATCAGGATCTATATATCAATACACACATGTCACCTGTAACCCTCGTCACATGTTTGTTAATCTCAAACCTTACAATTTGCGTACTCTCTCTTTCTGCTTTCTCTATGTATGATTAGATACTCAAATACATCTTGCTAATTTTTCTTTACTATATTGGATTTCTACAAAACAACAAAACCAAAAAAATCTAAACTTGCAGATAAGAAAAAAATGTTCTCAAGGTTATCAAAATCACATACATACAGAGATCAACATAAAATAGATTAAGAGATGAATCCAAATATAAGAGAGAGAAAAATAAAACCCAGAAAAGTTCCTAACAACTCATTTTCTATCTTACCGTATCATCTTCTAAGTCAAGAAAGTTTATTATCTCCATCATCCTTGTCTAGCAAGACACACACACACATATATATATAACATATATATATAGAGAGAAAGAGAGGAATTCACAACCATTATAGAAATATATAAAAAGTTAATCCCTCAACTGTTTGTTCTTCCAGCTCTTTTAGCCAACGCAGCTGCCAAGTCCATCTGACCAACTCCTGGTCTCGGCGGTTTAGCAGCAAGTACAGGAGGTGGAGTACCACTACCACCAGGTTTAGGTGCCAAAATCGGAGGTTTTGGTTTTGGGGGTGGTGGTGGTTGAGAGTTTCTTGGTGGTGAATTAGAGCTTGACTGGTCTTGTGCATCAGCAGCAGCTCGTTTGGCAGCAAGGATACCTGCTAGTCCGTTTGCATGACCCATGCCAGGCATTACCGATACCGGCGCAGCTGACACATCCGCACTCCTGTAACCCATCCCAGCACTCGCCGTCGGCCCAGTCTTGTTCGCTACTGGCGGTGGCGGTGCTGGGGACCTCTTAGGTGGTGGGGGTGGTGCTGATCGCTCGAGTTCAAGATAATTGGATGGTGCCCAACCTTGCTGCCCACCTTTTTTCACCAACCACCAACCGTTCTCCTCTGTGTACCACATAAAAAAGGTCAAGCTTCGTCATTCTTCGATGGAATTGATAAAAATTGCATACCTTCTTGGACCACTTCGACCAAATCGCCCATCGACAATGGGATCTCTCCATCCTCCTCCGTTTCGAATGCACATACACTGTAGACACGAGCAGTCGGTATTTGAATCAGGTCAGAGCAATAATGAAGAAAAGGAATCAAAGAGATCATCTTACACTTTGTATCTTATAACATCCGGTTTTTGCTTGGGCGGCGGCTTTCGTGGGGGAGGTGATGAATTCGCAGGAGCTACAGCTGGTGCCCGATTGAAGGCTGGAGCGGATTTTGCGGCTTGGCTAGGTGCCGGGGGAGGCGGGGGTGGAGGCACAAAACCTGGACGGTTAGATGCAATTGGAGGCGGGGGCGGAGGGGGTACAAAGCCCGGTCGACTCGAAGTGACTGGTGGGGGAGGTGGTGGTGGTGGGCCAGGAACAGCTCCCATACCTGGAGCACGTGCATTGGATCCGCCAGGAAGAGGTCGGCTCTGAGGGATTGGTCGGGCTTGTGGTTTGGGTTTCTAAACAAAATGAGTGAAGCAAGGAATGTTTCAGTATATATAGCGGCCCATGAGATTGGGAATGGAGAAGTCAGACAAACATTATCAGATGGTCCACCTTTCCTTAGAAGCTTGCCGCTCGTGATGGGGCGAACGACACCAGGTTTCTTCTTCGGAACAGGTGCCGAGACACTGCTTGCAGGTAAGCCAGAAGCTACAGAGACAGTGTGACTTTTGTAAACATCTGATTTCTGTATTGTTTCATCCTTCTGGAATTTGATAGTTGCCATCTTGTCTTTCTTTTTTCGAAATTGTACCCTGATGTTTCAGACGTCGTTAGGATATCATGCAGCTGCAATTAATAAGGAGATAACTCACAGTGGTCCGATGTTGACAGTTATTGAACCATTAGACTGCTGCACAAGATGTGTGACAAGCTCAGTCTTGAATATACAAGATAGTACAGGATCCGGTTCCTCGCTATGGCCCACGTTCACTGCCTGGATCAAACAAGAAGGAAACAGGAATGTCAATTAGATTTCAAGCAAGCCACGCACGGTCAAAGATGAAAGCTTGTGTTGTAATTGAACGCGTACCATCCAGTCATCTCGTAGATTCGACAGCCCGACAGATGTGATAGAGGATGTATTGATTTTCCGCTCTACCATGGTATCCTGTCGCTTTTGCCCATCTGATCCCGCCACCAGCTGAGTGACAAGGATGTAGAGAGCTTTGTTAGTGAGCACCAAAAACCTCGGGGAAGGTTTACTTGATCGGCCTAATTTCGAAACCAATAGCTGCCCTTTCCCACTGAATACTACATTTTCACCCGATGATAATCCCATCTTGGTCGCCAACATCTGTCCTAATGCACTCTTACCTGCCTTTCCTCCTCCGCCCACATTCAAATAATCACCTAGAAATTTACGAGAACCAAGCATACTAAACCGACGACGTTCTTTTCGACCGCCAAGAGCAGCATGACCAGCCTCTCGGATTTGATGATAGACGATTCCTTCCTTATTGTTCCTCCACATTCGCTGAATTCGGGTAGCACATTCGTGGCGATACCTTACATAGTTTCGCCAAGCTCTTTGTATACGTGCTGCCATGTTGTGCCAGTAACGGTCCCGCATGTGCTCCAAAGCGAATAACTGACCATTGCCGAACGAGATCAGATTAGCATCCACCGTGGATGATACTCACGTTTGTTCATGAAGACGAGTAGATTGAAGGACTTACGGTCTCTGGATTCTTGATGAATGCCTTTGTGGTTCCCATCTGCCATTCTTCTTTAGCTATACCAACGTCCTTTAAGATACGCTCACAGCCTGAACGTGGATCTCCCGACCAGATATACTCTCCGGCATAGGATGTAGCAGGTGACAGTAGGTAGAAACGTTGAACAACTTGTTCAAATGTATTCCGATAAGCAAAACCCGCACGTCGGATTCGCACATTCTCCTGTAGTCCAAGATACTTGATTTGATGTAGAATCGAAGGAGAATCGTACTCGGTAGGTGATTTAGATTGATTAGGTTTGATGGTACGAATATATGAAGGTTGAGATCGCATCAGTTTCTCAACTAATGCATTGGCTGAAGTTTTAATTTTATCGCCTTGACTAGGAGGCCTTTTCTTTGAATTCGGATCCACCCGTTCGGTGAATAGTTGACCGGTGATAAATGTGTTGGCAGAGGATTGAATGAGTTCAAGTAGATCTTTTCCGAGTGCATCTTTATTTTTATCTGTCATTCCTTGGATATCATACAACACATCTCCAGCATAATGCTTGATGAGAAATTTGTTGCCTCTAGGCTCAAAGTGTGGATTAGCAGCTAGCATACCCATACGTTGAGCAAATGAATTATCGGCTGCAGAGGAGTCAGCATGTGCAGTAGCAGTAGCATCATTCATAGCAGCAAACACGCCAGGTGGACGTTTTTCGTCGATCAGATCGCATACAATCTTGTTGTTGAAGAACTTGATAGGCGTCCACTTGATCTGTTCAGAGGCATATTCCTCCTGTTCCTTTTTCAACGTCAATTCAATGAAGATCTGTTGAAGACGTTCGTTTACATAATTGATACAGAGCTGCTCAAAAGAATTGTCTGCATGTGTTTCAAGTGGATGGAAAGGAGAGGACAAATCAGTAAGACAAATCGGTAGTAGAAGATCAGAATGAGGCAAGACGGACTGTCAAAGATCTCGAACCCGTAAATATCCAATACACCTAAAACGTTACTGGCTTGAGACCTTGACTTCATCGAGATATTCACACGTGCAACGATCCATTCGAATAGATTGTTATAAATCGCTTTAGCAAGTGCGTCTCGAGCCGCAGCAGCTTGAACCGGATTCAATGGTACCTCGTAAACGCTTCCACGTCTCATACCACGCTGAGTCTCCATCGTACGAGTTGTTAAAACCTTTTTGACCATTCCAACATCAACCTCAAGTAGATATGCAATAAATTCGGCCACACTTTCGTCCGTCACATAAGCATTTCCTTCTTCATTTTCGGCATACTGAGCATTCCCAAGCCACAATACAGCTGCAAGCATACGAAGAATATTGGATTGTTCACTCGCACTCAGGCCAATGGTCGACATGGCACGTAAAGTATTGGACCACTCCTCTACATCATCCATCTGTGGTACATCTAAACAACCGGCTCGAGATGTGTAAAAGTACGCGGACGGCTCTTGAATACCATATTCTTCACGTTGTTGAGCTGAAGCGCCCTTGGTAAATTGATAAAATATATGAAAGTTTCTCTCGTCATCAATCTGACCCACAATTCGACCCTGGATGATCGAATAAGAAGTCGTTAGACCCACAATTACAATCAAAGGACAAAAATGTGCCTACTGACCTTTTCCAATAGATAATTTGTGATCATTGCTCCTACTGGTTCTCCATTAGCTCCAAACTCTATCTCAAGGTATTTGCCATGTCGACTACTATTGTTGTTACGTAGGGTTTTAGCACATCCAAAACTTTCGAGAAGTGGATTAGTAGCAAGAACCATGTCTTTGATACCAGTGATACCTTTTCCAGTACCAGCACTTTCATCTTCACCAGCCACAGCTGCAATATATTCCATGATCTTCTTTGCAGCCTCTGTTTTTCCAGCACCTAGATAATCAAAGGAAAATATGAGTGACGATTTTTTATATGCCACACTTCAAATGACATACCAGATTCGCCAGAGATGATGACACACTGATTAGTGCCATAAGCTCGCATGTTATAGTACATTGATTCAGCCACCGCATAGACGTGTGGAGACATTTCTAATCGGTTCTTTCCCTTGTAAGATTGAAGAATTTCAGGCCCATAGATAGGCAATAGTCGAAAAGGGTTGACTGAGATAAGGACATGTCCGATATAAGTCTATTGTAAAAAGATGAGATAAGGCTTCAGTAAACCATCAGGACCAAAACAGAGATATGATCGAATCCTTAATTCACGTAGATCTCGGCATTTTCGAACCGCTGTTTCAAGTTTTCATTAATAGCTTCATTGGATATTGTACTAAGGAGAGTCATATCCGAGACACCTGCACCTTTCTTTAAGAATAAGAGACGTAAGAGGATCAGTGATAAACGTGTAACATGATTGATAGGAATACAAGAATAACCTTTTTGAATGAGTCCGCCCAATCTGCTTTAGATACTCCTCCGTTTGCTCGCGAGCCTCCAGGACCCGGTGTCCTGGCAGACTTCTTGCCGGCCTTCTTGGACGGAGCCTAGCATTGACAAGACAGATAAGTTAGATGCGAGATTGATATAGAAATGAAATGGAAAAATTAAACACTGACCATGATGATGTTGGTATTCGCTGTGACTCTTGATAGACTTTTTGGAGGTAAAGTTTAGAGATGAAAGATATCAAGCTTTTGAGAAGTGAGATGTGTCAAACTCCAGCGTGCTGTTTCAGAGCGAGAGGCGGTGATGTCAAAGTCAAGGAACACTTCCTGTATTTTGTCACCAAGTCAAAACAATAAAAAATACTTAATTTGGCTAAATTGCTATGTATCGTTAAGGTAAAGACATACCATCCTTCACCACTCCAAACGTTGTTGTACCTTTGTGCTTCTCCAATATGAGATCTTCACTCATCTTACCTATATCAAAGTGAGTGAAAAAAGCAGTAGAGAGAGGGTTTGCGCACTTTTTTCATAAACATCTCCGTGAGGAAGACGAGCTCAAATGATCTCAGTATGGTGAGCTCATTGGGACCTTGATTGCGTGTCTAGCTCAACACATTCACATCAGCAGGGGAATGCCTATTTCCAACGGTCTTTGAGGCTTCATCCACACATCCAAATTACACAATAGATTTTTGAGAAAAACCGATCCTGTTGAAGCAAGACATTGGAAGTAGCTTTGGTTATTTGTTTGCTTTGCCTCCATAAAATTAACTTCATGTTGTTCTGCTCAGTATGATGTCACACTCAAAGCTCTCAGTGTGCCTCTCACATACTCAAAAGATATAAGACAAATAGAAACCAATCTTTTCCTCACAACTACCAAATCATATCTTAACTTTGTATACAACTACAAAAGAAAGAAGAAATGAAAACAAACTTTTTTTTTCTCAACTCGGCTCAATCCTTCAAAAAGACATTCTGATATCACATTCATTGACCAAAGAATCGATCAGATGAAAACGCATTAAATGGATCTTTTCGATCATTCCCATTTCCACCTGGTCCACCTAGGCCAACTTGACCTCCTTGACCTCCACCACCTTGATGATGTGAATGTCGATTGTTACTTTGAGGTTGTTGTTGTGAATGATGATGTCCTGCTCCAATCGCTCCTTGTTGGGCTTGTTGTGAATCACCGTATCCATAATTAGATCCATAATAGGCATGGTGTTGTTGCATTGAACTAGGTTGTTGACCACCTTGAACTCCTCCAGTTGTTGAACCAGGTGCTACTAGTCCGCTTCCTACCACTACACCCTGGCCAGTAACTTGAGAGCCAGGTAATTGAGATCCACCTACGCCAGGTTGAGATACTTGCCTGAAGCCTGAGTTACCAACCAGCCCAACGCCACCTCCTAGAGTGTGCTGAGATCCATGTTGGGGTTGTTGATGGTGGCTACCTGGGAGCGGATTGCCTGCCGTACCACCAGTGTTACCAGGTCCAGCTTGAATCGAATATTGACTTTGACCACTCCTTGGCCCGCTGACAGGGTATTGTTGGGAGCCTTGAACCGAGTAATACGGCGAAGGAGCTTGCATACCGTACGGATAGGCTGGATTCTGGTAGCTGGGAGGCAATTGTCCATATTGTTGATAGTATGGATAGTAGGGGTAGGGCATCGGTGAGGCTTGCATTCCAGGGTATTGTTGGTTAGCAGCACTAACAGCTGCGACAGCAGGTTGTTGATGCTGCGTGACTGCTTGAGGCTGACTTGGAGGACCAGCAGCTTGGTTCGGATTTGTGACTGTCGACTTAGATGCATCTTCGCCGCCATGTGGAGATCGGCTTTGGAACGCAGCTTGAGCAGCTTGCGCATGCGAATAAGAGTCGTAGTAGCCCTACAGTTTTATAGAAGAGACATGAGTGACAATATCGTCTTTGAAACGTCCATACAACGTACCAATGATCTGAGTGCCTCCTGACCGTACAGAGAAGCATACTCCTGTGCGGTTTGAGGGGTTTGGCCAAACCCAGGCTGTGCAGGCTGCTGGCTTTGCGGTGGTAGCTGCTGTTGAAGTTGCTGCTGGTGCTGCTGAGCTTGCTGCTGCTGCTGTTGGCTCATGTGATTGAAAGCGCCGTAAGCAGATGATTGACTTGCTGGAGCCGGACTGCTGGAATGTTGACCGACAACGGACTGCTGCTGAGGTTGTTGTTGTTGACCTTGCTGTTGGAAATAAGCTGCCATCGGATCCTGTCGAAAACCAGGATAATGTAAGAAGGCGTCCTGCTGGGGCGGTGCCTGCTGTGGCTGTGGCTGTTGTTGTTGCTGTGGCTGAGCCTGAGGATGAGACAGCGAGCTAGATGGATGCGTAGTTGAGGTCGGTTCGGGTGTGGAGTACTGGTTGTTCGCTGGGTAGCGAGACGCAAAGGCGGAAGATGGAGGTTGAGCCGCTGGTGGCTGTGACTGGACGTTTGCGTGACTTTGTAAGGGCGAGGTGTGTACGATGGTGGGAACAGGTTGCGGAGCCAGCTAAGTAAGGAGCATTGAATGAGCAAAAGCTGAGCCAGCCCAACTATTTGATGAATGGTGTATGTCCAAAATCGTACCTTTTCTTCCACCACAGGAGCGACTGACGGAGGACTAGGTGGGGCAAGCTGTTCCGCGGGTGGTTGAGGAGGAGTAATCGGGTTTTCGATTGATAGCTCTTCTGCCTTCAGACTGTCAAAAACCAAAGCATATGAGCGGTTGGTTGGAGAACAGATGGAGAGCTGAGAGTTCAAATTACGTTGTTTCAGCGGCCACAATCTTGTCCATCGAGGTAACAGGTGGAGACGGCGCGTCTTGAGGAGGAGCATGGTCGACTTCTGAACCTGAAGCCTCATCGAACAGACTCAAGCTACCGAATTTGAGTCCAATCCTGTCGACATTCGGCGTACCACTTCCAGGCATCACAACAGCCGCTTCCTGACCTTTCCTTGGATTCGCGCGCTTGGACAGGCCTGGTGGGGCGGACATGCCCATATTCATGGCTGGCTGTGAAGCAGGTGTCACGTGTATCGAAACAGTCTCAGGAACTGTCTGAGTGCTTTGATCTTGAGCAATTGCGCTCGAGGGCATCGAGATATCAACCACATTCGATGCGACAGGTGTGTTCATTTCAAGTGGTGCAATATTGATCGCGTCACTTGGCGTTAAAAGTGTTGAATTAGTGACTTGGCTATCGAATATGCTAGATTGTTCGTTGGGACGAGCCAAGACTGTCTCCGCCCAACCTTCGCCAACTCCGAGAGGCTGTGGGACCGGATCGTCGTTCCATACATTGGGTCCAGTGGCAGCGACATCGTTTTTAAGGGTATCGAGGGCCGGTACCGGTTCTGTGTGCCAGACATCGGCAGAAGCGTCCGGAATTGTGATTGTCACCTGCTTGTCTGCTAGGAGAGCAGTAGCAGAGGGTTCGAGGTTCTCTGGTGGTGAGATGGGCTCTAGAAGACTTGGGGCGATTGTATCACCTGACATGTCTGCCTCAGAGGCCAGGATAGGTTGCGATGGAGGAGCGCGGACTACAGGTGCAGGTTGAGGCTTTGGAGGCTCAGTAGGTCTGGCAAAGAAGCATGTTGGTCAATACGCTTTCAATGTGAACCCGTTCGACGATTCGAAGGATGTGCAAACCTGGCGATCTGAGCCCAACTCATCTTAGTGCCTGGAGGTATCACGCGGCTCGCAGGTCGTTTTGGCTCGGCCGTATGGCTGTTAGGATGTAGTTCAGCGGGTGCAGCGTTCAAGTCACGGAGCAAACTAGCAGGTTTGGTCTCTTCGGCAATAGACGTGGGAGGGGGCAAATCTGTTCCTTCGTCGAGTTCTGGCTCCATCGAAGCGACGGGCACAGGTTCAACAGTAGCAGCATCGCTTGACAAGGCTGGAGTACCAAGCGAGGTAGGCGGGCCGAGATTCCAAGCTGATGGAGTAGCTGTTGCAGTCGATGAATCGTTCCCAATGGTCGGTGATGGACGTGAAGAGCCTGTAGCCCATTGCCCACGACCGGAGCCGCGGGGAGCAGCGCCACGACCTCCACCACGTGTTGTACCTCGAGATGTATCTACATCAAAAGTAGCATGAGATATGTGTGGTACATAAGTCCAGACAGAAGACCCTACCAGTTCGACCACGTGCACCTGAGCCAACATTGTTCACGCCCCCAGAGTTCTGGGCACGAGGATGAGACAGAGCTTGAGTAGCCGAAGGGACGACTTTTTTGTCCTTCTTGCTTTTTACTGATCCCCATTGTTCTGCGAGGCCTAATGACGGAGAGAGCAATGAGGGTTCAGTTAGATCGGTATCAAGGGTAAAATCAGAGGGAGAATAAACCGATCAAGCTTACCTTCACTTATACGAGTAGCAGCCAATTCTAAATCGCCACTAGCTTCATTCAAAGCCATGAGTAAATCCTCGTCAGTCCAAGTTGGAAACAACTCCCTGATGGTGGCTAATTTTTGACCATGTTTTTTACGGATCATTTTCAATTCTTCTGGTTCATCGTTTGGAGGCGAATGGGTGGAAGGTCGAGCTTGATAGGGACGATGTCCGTTGACCTTAGATGTGAAGCCATTGGTAGAATTGTTGGAATGAGGAGTACCGTTAAAGTTAGAACCCCCACGACCACGACCACGACCTCGTAAAGCAGAACGAGGAAGGCCACCTCCACGGGTGGTAACTTCAGCCATTGAATGAGATTGAGAGAATCAGGTGGATATCGCGGTAGACCGAATAAGTCTACTTTAGATGAAGGATGAGTTAAGAAAGCAAAAGATGTGAGTAGATAGTGATCGATTGAGCGATATCAGATTGAAGGGAGAGATGGAAGTGAACTAGAAAGCCAAAGCGAAGGGGGGTCAATCGAATTTTAGTGTGATAGGTTTTTAAGCAAAGGAATCAGAGGGGGATCTGATTCTGAATGAACTGATAAAAATAAAATAAAACTTAAATTCACCTCAAGTCTTCAGACCAAACCCTTAATAACCACTAAAATTCAGAAATATTCAACTTGTTTCGAACTCAGAAAAAATCAATACTTAACCACCCACTGAGCCACCGGCACCCAAGGAGTAAAGAAGCAAGTCATACATACTTTCTACTTGATTTACATTCCTTCTGAATCTGTACCAAATCTCTCGTGATCGTCATTTTTGCCCTAAGAAGGCTTTGAAGCTATTCACATCAAAGCTTATCTTTCTATTTACCGCATTTGCTGTACTCTGGATGCAAACTTCCACTGAAGGGTATCGCGTATCGAGATATGATATCTATCAGTATGTATGCTACATAGAAAACCCCCTTCTGAGAAACGATAGACATTGAAGCTGCTCCGTCACATGCCCACAGGATGGGTGAGGGCAAGTCTCTGGGGCTTTAGAGATTGATATACAAGTAATGGTTTTGAGGGTTTTTGGACAGATCAGATTCACAATGCATGTGGCAAACAGAGTGTTATCCGCGTGGCCTTGTAGAAACATGTCAACATTTAAAATTTCACGCTCTTTCGTATTTACACCATCAGAGTTTTCAATTTTGATAAGTTTATATGGTGAAAACAGTTCAACTAGATGTACCTTGGGGTCCCCTCATCAAAATTGCTTCTTGAATTTAATCCATTCAATCTCTTCTTAGATTGCAGTCAAGTTGAATTTCATGTATGCATGTAGCTTGTCTATCTATTCTTTTAGTGATCTTCCACAAGGTTCACACTATGAATTCAGTAAGTTGTGTAAGGCAATAGGCGTAAGCTGAGCATACCTGGATGTTGTAAACTATACGTTCATGGATGAGATGGATTGAAAAATACCTTGTTTCTCGATGTACAACATAAGAAGTTGATATAATGAGCTTAACAAGATCATCTGCTCAAGTATCACATAGAAAAATCAAAGACATCATCGAGTCATCTCCTTTCAAACAAGTCAAATAACACCCGATGATAACACATCAATCACTGTCTTTTGACCATTCTGAATCAACTCCATCAGTCGTGCATTCCCAACAAAGTCTTCAATATCGCCAAGCTTAGTAAGAGCACTTTCCAAGAATTCCACCAGACCATCACCCATCTCAGTCCCCCGAGCTTTCCCAAAGATGCGTTCCAGACCGACGCGGTCGATACGAGATGCAATAGTAGATGTTGCGAGACTTGGAGAGGTCGAATGCAGAGAAAGGATCATCCGTGCCAGGAGTTCTATCAAGAACTTGCGTGTGGTTTCAGATTGAAGCTGGCTGAATGGCAATGTCTGTATGGGTCGGACGACCAGGCAAGATGTCAGTTCTGGTATCACATGGCTTTGCTACTTTGAGACATTATGTTTCATGAAATTCAAATGATTTACCTTCAAAACAGTTATTGATAAACAGCCTTTTGCAATCCACCATCCGTAAGCTGAAGCCAGATGAATGACTTTTTTATGTGTCGTCTCGTTATCCCTATCCGGTGATGAGTCTCGAGCAGACTGAGAGAGACCTTTTAGCATCTCTCGTCCACAAACCTCAGTTTCGCCCAAGTCCCGGAAGAAATCCCATAGTGCAAACTGAAAGGTAATCTGAATCGAATGTGAATCACTCGCTAGTTTCTGGCCAACAAGAGTATAATATGGGTTATAGATGTTTTCCTATTGACGAGGACCTATCAGCTTAACTGGTGATTATGAGAATGATGAAATCTTAAACATACATGGCCGAGACAGTGTAGTAGAACTCTGACAATCTCGCGCTGCTGAACGGCTGTCAGGGCCAGACTGTTCAACTTGTCTGAAGCGTCGACGTAGTCCTGCGGAGGTTGAGGGACACATGTCTGAGTATGAAACAACGATCGTTGGTTATAAAGGGATGACTGACCTCAGCGGACATCAAGGTTGTGAAGATACTCCTTCGTACATCCGTGTTCATTCCTTGTTGTCTGGCTAGTTGGACAAGAGCTTCGCTTGCGTCATTAGTCGCCGTTTGTTTCTCGTTCAATTCGAGCAATGGATCGCCATCCCATGCGGCACCAATCAGCCACCACTTTCCTCGTTTGTCAGCTTCCTTCAAGTCCTTCAGCGTCAATTGGAGCGGTTCAGAAGCCGTGGCTGTAAAAGCATTACACATCAGTCAGCGAGCTTCATTGCAACGAGGCAAGACATCTACTAACATGACTTTTTAGCCAATCCAGCAAGATATTTCTTGAGGTTTTCTTTCAATTCCTCAACGGTACTGGTGGAAGCCTGGGCCTCTTTTCGAATCTTGTTGTTTTTAAGATTTTGTAGAGTCTCGAACATGAAGTTAGTACGAGAACTAAGCATCCGAAAGTAATAGTTTGTCATCTCATCAGTTATATATCAATTCCCGTTGCCAGAATCCGGATGTGGACTCCAAGTCATGATGCTTACTTGGCTTCACCCACTTCTCTCTTATGAGCTTGAGCCATCTGCACAATCTCTTTCAAAGCCACGGGATCATCGTACCTTAACCGAGGTCCCGCGTCTAAGGGTCAAGTAGTCAATTCAGTCAGCCCGTCACGCGTCAGCACACACTTCTATTGAGGGAGTGAAACTGAACTCTTCAAAAGGACCATCAAGCCTTCAACTCGCGCCTCATTCAATCCCTCGTTGATAAGAAGACGTACAAAGTCATACACCAAGGGACATCCAATGACTTGGAAGAAGTAAAGATGAGATAGAAATCCCAACAAGTTTGGTCCAGCTTTTCCGTGATCGCGTGGGGTTGGGTTTTCGTAAATTTCACAGAGACGACAAATGAGAGAAGCAACAAAACTAGGTGCCCAACCAATCTCCACCCCGCTCACTTGTACCCCTCCACGGCTGATGGCTGCAATCATGGCGGAGTAGGTGACGGCTAAGGAAGCGCCCAGCTCATCACGAGTTCCAACTAGCTCAAGCATGACTTGCACAAGACCCTCTGTGACGATTGCACGCGCATGGGTGGTGTAGAGCCCTCGCAAACTTTCCAGACAGGTTGGAACAGTTGTGGGTGAGACACGATTCAAGATACCCATGAGTTGCCGGCGAAGACGGGGATCGAGGGTTGGCCCATCTTTGGTGTTTGGAGCTGCCGTATCTTTCTGACGAAGATGCGGAGGAACATAGCGCGTAGATGTAGAAGCCGGCTGCGAGGGATCCTGAGTTGAATCCGTGTGATCTTCAGCCTTGACAACATCCAGCTTGTCCTGAACTTTATCGACCCATGATGATTGAGCGACATCGTGTAGGGGTTCCTCTTCTATATCCATGTCAATGTGGCATCCAGACCACGCCGATTCATCGCCCGAACCGCCTTGTTCATCTTCTGATTGCTGTTCTCCATCGACTGATTCCGGTACCTGTGGTACAAAATCAGAAATGAGTCACCGCCCCATCAAAGTGCATCAAAAAAAACTGGTCAAGCAAACATGATGTGAATCAAAAGGAAACACGGACCGATTCTCGCAACCTGTCGGCCACCTTGTCGAGCTCTTCTAAGCCGTCAAAAAGATCTGCGGTTATTCAAATCATAAGTCCAGTCCTGAATTCCGTTATAAAGTGATCAATCATGCCGATGAAAGTTCAAGTCACCTTCAAGTCCGTCTTCTTCGAACTCCTGTCGAAGTTTTGATTTCCCTTGAGCCTTGTCACGAACCCCTAATTCACGTTCGAGCCAGGCAATCCTTGCATCCTCTAGATCCTCCTCTGAGGAACGTAACTTACGCTTCTTCGATTTGATCAAAGGAGGCGCATCCTGACGAGCAAGCAATCGACCAAGAGCAGTATTTGGCGGAGCGGGTGGGCTTGGCTTGGTTGTTGATGTGGGATTGGTAACGACTGGCTTGGGTTGAGGCTTCGCGGGTTTGGATGTTGCTATTTTCTTATCCGAGCGGTTCTGTTTTTGTGTTGTTCCACGGCGATTTTTTTGAGTCTTTCCACGAGAAGAAGGAGCTTCAACCGAATGTCCAAGTGCAGTGAGCTCAGCGGCTATTTGTCGAGGTAAAGCAAGTCCAGGTTTGGATCGAGTATGCTTCTGCTAGACGGATCAAAGACGTTGTAGATGAGTACTTGAATATCGCTCAGACGAAGCTAAATGCTTACCTGCGATCTGCTCTTACCCTTCGAGACAGAAGAGGCTTTGAACTTGACCATGCTGAAATGTGGAAGATTTGAAAGATTTTCGGAATCTGGCTTTGGAACTGATGTGCCGCTGAATATGTATACATTACATGACTGCATTCATTGTAGGCATCCCTGTGAAGACACATACGCTCGACAAGCCATACTCTGAAACCCATACTTTTTACAGCCCATTTCGGTCAAATTCATCCGCAATGCTGAGCTCGAAGAACGAAAATTGGCCAATGGAGCAGCGTACGCTCACATCCACTGATGCACATGGATCAAGCTGAATTGCATACTCCTCACAGAATGTAAACAAGTAGGGTTTTAAGAGCCATTTGAAGGCGTGTCCCGAAGCTGCCCTTATTCGCGATGTCGTGGTCTGATCTGAGCAAATCTGGTGAATTCATTCTGTGTGGCATTTCCAAAATTGAGGAGCTAGGTCTTTGGCACCCAGGCGCCATGGAGCCTAAGCTTTCTGCTTACATCACAACATGCCAGATGCACACATGCATTATCTGAGAGTCAAGCAGCTGAACATGTCATATTACTTGAATTGCAATCTTCAGCATGAACCCTCCTGTGCTGCTGCACTGTTTTGACATGCATGTGTATAATTGTAAGATCATAAACATAGTCAGTAGTTATTTTTCAAACATCTTGTCCCATTGAATGCTTCTGCTTTCCTTGAAGTCCGGTACCTCTATGTAAAAAAACAGGCATCACCTTCCGCCATGGGACCAACGCGCAAGTGCAACAAAACACAACAAAACAGTGCACATTTTTATGGAAGTGTGGCCCTGGGTCTAATACCTGTCACATGTATTTGCTGAATTACTTTGAAATTCTATAAGGACCACAAGTCATCTTGCTGTATTTGGCGGCAATGAAATAGAAGGGAAAAGATGCAGTATTTTGCTTACAATGTAAACATTATACACTATTCCCGAGTGGAACTGAGAAATGATAATTATTGTACTTTGTCATCAAAAGATCCATCACTGTAGACCTGAGCCGTATCACCCACACTACATGTGTGCAACAAGCTGAGTAAATTATTAGCTATCATGTACATACGGGTCTGCTCAGTTGCCTGTTCATCTGAATGAGTGGATCATATGTAATACTTTCTGTAATGTTTTTCAGTTTGACAAAAGCATTTGAAAAATTGACTACATACACTGACTCATAGTTGTGGTGTAAGTCAGATCCCACCAAAATTTGGGTATCTATCGTTCTGGTAAACTTTGTGGCCAACTCTCTGAAATTTCACAGAATTGATATTTGTACACCCTAAATAAGTGTACCAAAATGTTGTGCTGCAACTGGGGCACAATGATTAATCAACCTTTTTGAATTTATCTTGAGCAATTACAGTGCCAATTTGAGGATTGTAACTTTGTTTATGCTGTGATGGAGTTGGGAGATAATGCATATTTTTTCATTTGGCCTTGCACCAGAAGTCCAGATTTCTGGACCCAAGCTAAAATCTGGGCAAACAAAATTCCCAGCTCAACACCCAATTGTTTTGCCCAGTTTTTTTATTTGTAAGGGAACAACCATTTTTGGCTCATCTCAAAGAATTGTAGGGTATCAATCAGGACATAATGGATCAAGCCAACAACCAAGATAAGAATACTACTAAAGTCCAACTCCTCTTTCAAAAGAAAACATGATCAATCAGAATAACAAACAAGAGTACGAAAAGACAAGTAAGAGATAAAGGTAGCAAGAATAACAAAGGTTATCAAGCAGTTGAAAAAAGTATGCATGAAAATAAATCTCTTTTATCTACGTAAACTGAATCCATTCCCAAAAGTAAAGCAGGAAGAAAATGAGGACTAGAGGTGTAGGAGTTTATGCGCTGAAACCATAAAGAGTTTGTCCTTGATGTTTACTGACTCAGTGCAAGTAATGATAATGTTCTCAAGGAAGATTTGAAGTGGATTGCAGCAATATAGACTCCAAAACTTGACCACTTGATTTCAGTGTCTGAGGTCTTGCTTCCAAGTGAAACAAGGCATGGAGTTGCTGATGAGGGCTTTGTAGGGTTGGAGTTAGAAAAGCCGCTGATTCCAGCTGACCCAGGATTCAAAGCTGCAGACGTGCCCGGGCACATTCCCAGAAGTCCAGATTCCAAATTTATAGCCAAAAATGGAATCTGGACTTCTGGCCACGTGCCTGGGCTTGTACTTTGTATCCCGTGATAATACAAGTGGCTGCCTTTTTTATGTGTTGCGGCCCAGCACAGCTGCAAATATGTGTTTTGGAGTGTTGCATTGCTGGCCCAGCGTTGCCTCTATCATAATCTTGCACTTGTAAGACCTTTTTTTGGTATGATATTTTCAACTCCTGAAACCTGCAGGCACTAGTAGACCATCTAGACTGTGCTTAACATGTGTTGATGTGCTGGAAGACTTGGGTTGATTGGAGGTCAATATAACTTGAACAGCAAGCATTGAGCATACTGTTACATATTACAATTACAGTTGCTTGATGTTTAGAAACAGTCATAATGAGTCCTGTGTCAGGTAAAGCCAGTGATCTGATAGGTTGCATCTCATTCTACCTGCTCCCAGCCCAGCTTTGTTGGCCTGGGGGACTGGGTTGGTATACCATAGATGGAGAGGATCGGGGTTGAGCATACTTCTCCAGTAATTAGTTTACTTCCCCCACCATGGCTCTGCTGGTCTGGGGATGGACTTGGTCATAAAATCTTGGCCTTTGTTTCAGAGCCAAGAAACCATAGATGGCTAATGAACTTTGATGATTGGAGCAAGCAGATGAGCAGATGATGATTACAGGATCTTTTGTACACTACCACTACCTTCTTTTGTACACTACCACTACCTTCTTTTGTACACTACCACTACCTTCTTTTGTACACTATCACTACCTTTGTTTGTATATGCATCCCAGGTCAATCCACCCTTGACTCTGAATATATATATATGAGAATATCATATATATATTCATTCTTGTGTCACAGGTGTCGTAGAGTCTTACTTTACATATGTTTGCTTGTGTCCTAGACAAACCAAAGACTTCCCACCAAGGTCAAAATCACTACACAATGGATAGTGGTAGTGTTGTGAAAGTGCTGTGGCACTACACTTTGAAAACTTAGTTTTTGTGATAGTAGTTGATGCACAGCCCTATACAAAAGTCCAAAATTTCTATAGTGGTATGACCACTACACTCACAAGTTTTGGCAGTGTGTCCACACATATAGTGGTCCACATAGTGTACTTCAGTGTGCACTGATAGATAATTTATTGAAATTTCATCAGGCTCTGCCCCCAAACAATTAGAAGTCATGTGCTTTGTTAGGACCCTTGTTTATCTTTACTTCAGCATGCAAGGTATACACATACTTGAGTTCACCTCTGTCATACTTTGCCCCACTCATCCACCTTGTGACCTTCTATCATCTGCTTTCCCCCACCACGTCTACCATACCAGTGCACCCCATCAAAATCGTGATCAAAAGTGAGTTTCAAATGAAAAGTATGAAATAACCTGCCTTAATCCCCTTGGACCATTGCTTGTGACTTATAAATCTAGATTTCTTATTGAGAACTTGGATTTAAACAGCATCCTCCCAATAATCATACTTTACATACCACTCCATCTCCCCCCAACAAATGTACTTTTTAATTTGAGCCCTTATCCAGTTTCTTTATAATCAATTCCTTATCCTTCATCTTGATTTTCTTTCAATTCATCTTATACTGTTATGCTGAAGGTATAAAATCAGCAAGATTCCACTGTTACAGATGTTAGGAACAATGTATTTGCTTCAATGCCTTCTCCTGACAATGATGTTAGTCATGAGATGGAGGGCTGCATGTCTCGGAAGTTCCCACTGATTGGTGGCTTGCTGTGTTCATGGTGGAAGGTAAGTTTTCCTTTCATTCTCTTTACCAATACTATGAGTTCTCACTACTTTGTGTGATGCAGGACAACTAAGTTGCCTTTCCTGCTCTTGCAGAGATGGCTCAGGATTTCCTGTGCTGTTCTGCAACCACTTGTTTGTGTGAGAGGGTATTTTCCAGAGCAGCTGATGTCTGCAGGTCTGATCAAGCGGCATTGGAAAGTGCAACTGTTGAACAACTTACTTCATTGTGTGAATGGATGAAGGCTGGTTTCAATGTTTCCTGAGAGTTTTCTGAGGCCTTGTGTTGGTTGTGTATATGTAAAAAATGAAGTAATCCTTAATTGTCAATCTTTCTACATCTTTTTTGTTTGTTATCTCCCTATGCACTTGTTCCTCATTCAACTTATCTTATTCTTCAGGTTTGCAGCTTTCTTTAATACAAATCTTGGGTATTTTATCTTATTATTTTCTCATCTCACTCCTTTCCCCTTGCTTCCCAACTCTCTTTAAAACTTGGTTCATTTTCAATCTCTCTTCTTTTTCCTGACCGGCTCAAGTAATCCATAAACCAAGATTGATAGCTCTTTGTACATATTTTCCAGGTAGTGCACTACATGCCTTTTGATAAATTTCTTTTTTCACATTCAAAAAACATGTGCACTATTATAGTGCTAGTGATACAATATCACAGTGAGTTTTAGTGACTAACACACACCACTACATATGATCCATAGCATGTGTCTGCAGATAGTGGTGTGTATTGGTTCTTTAAAATAGTGGTACACCACATTACTACTGAGGACCTGTCTTATAGCTGTGCATAGTGAAGTGATTTCGACCTTGTTCCCACAAATGACATTCTGACAGTTAAAAACTACAATGCTATCTAGATCAAAATGTGCAAAGAGACATGGGAAACCTTGAAGGCTGGGAGAGTTGACATGGTGAGGAAGAATAGGGGATGGTGTTTTTCACATTTTCTTGCAAGAATTAATGTCTGTGTCAATAGAAAAAAGATCCACATACTGGGTAAATATTTTCCTCAGTACAGTACTGGTGAATACCACACTGTATCTTGGAACATGTGGTACTTGTGCCTTTGATATATGCAGAGCACATATGGTAGTGACTTTTTATACTCATCATCCAGTTTATAGGTAATCAATTGCCTCAGGTGTATCAAAGACCTTATACAAATTTGGGTATACCATATTATCTCATCTGTGATCATCATCACCATCTCCCTCTCCCTTTTCCAAAGGTCACCATTATTCAATGTGTGACAGAACCTTTGAATTAGAATTTCTTCTCTGTAGGGTATTCATAGTTCTGCAACATCAATTGAATTTCAGTGTTTTATCTTGTGATTGCAGATATCTTTGTTGTGAAATCAAGGAGGGTTGGAGAACACATCTTCTCAAGCAATTTGTTTTTTCTTTTGATCAAGACTGTGTGATATTCACTCATTATCTTTTTTCTGGTTTATCAATACAATATTAACATAAAAGATGGTCTGAATCTGGTTTGGTGAGATTAGATGGTTAAGTAAGGAAACTGGAAAACTTAGAACATTTATTCATGGTTTCTTGAAAATGCTTCTTTGACAAATTGACAAATGCTTTGTTCCAATAATCAGTTACATGGTTGATTGCTGTTCATACTTTTACATAAGCAGAGAAGTGTTGACTAGAAACATTCAAATACAGATTTAACCTTTCTTTTGAGCTGAAACTGAAGTGTTATTTGGAAAATACCAAGCAGACACCACCTGATGATTTTAACTCATAGTAATTTAACTCATCAAAGCTCACAAGAGACTTACAATTATAGATTAATATTTTCAAGGTACAAATCAATCTTGCCTTCATCTGCATTCAGTATCAAAGCAGAAACTCAATTTGATTCACCCTTGGTGTTACAGGATAGAGCCATGATTAATAGTTGAAACATTGTTTGAATGATTTTAGAAGCGGTATTGAGGCAGACGAGACACCATACATTAAATTTGGGTTTAAGCATTGGCAAAAAGATGATGAGAAAAAAATCAAATGAGGTAGATTTGGAGATAGGAAATAAGTAATCAATGTGGAGACCAATGATTCATAATCTTTAAGCAATATTGATTAAATCAACTATGATGATGAAATGAACTTTGATTTGTAATTCATTGAATGGGTCTGAGCGCTTCTATGAATTTGAAGCACAACTCGTGAAATTGGAGATGTAACTCAAATGATTGATTGCAGCTTCATAGCCGGACTTGAGGAGCAAAAGGACTGAAGCAATATGTCAGCTCATTTCCTCATTGTAGAAAAACGTGTTTGCATGTTGATGTTATTTTCTCCATTTGTTTTGAGGTTTGGAGAGGTCTCCTTTCATCTGTGATTTTGATCAAACAACAAAGAACTATTGAAAAAGTCAAAGGTGATGTTTATAACATGTCAATCAAGATTTGGGATACCAGGGAAATGCTTTTAATGATATGACAACCTTTGATTGATATTATTTACATATTGTTGATTTCCAACATTCTCTTGCTGGCTAGAAGGACAGCATAACTAATATCCTTGAATTCATCAAGTCCACAATTGGTTATTGGGTCTGTTGACCAGCATAGGGTGCTTTGTGAGCATTGGTGGAAATCAGTTACAACTCTCCAGACCCAATATATTGTCTTCATGAAAAAATGATGAGGATTTTGATATACATTACAAAAGGTGGATTATAGGAGGGTTATCTTGGATTTTGGAGGGGGTCAGTCCTTATAGTCACAATGCAACACAAGGGCCATAAATGTTAGTGCATGATGAACAGGGTCAAAGGTTGGAGAGAAAATGGACAGAAAGTTCATGGGATGAGCTGTACTTGAGCAACAGGATCAAGGAGTAATGAAACACCTAGCCAAGTGAGTCAAGGGCTTGCACAATGGTATGGCTATGTCACAAGGAGGATGTGGAAAGGGGGTGGGGCAATTGTTCTACACAAACAACCTTTTATTTTATTTTTATAGTAGATGCCACTCTTTTGAGTCATATGCTTATGAAACTCAAACCCCACTAGCTTAACACAAGCCCTACCAACCACAGAGGCGTCCCCCAGAGCCTCACACAGAGGGGGAAAACCCATGACTCCAGTACACACCAGATCGACCTTTGAAACACACTGGGTCAGAGGTGCTTAACACCCTCTTTGTGTGTCTGGTTGACTCAATGGGATCCCCTTGCGCAGAGTTAACTTGCACACACCAGATACACAGTTGTGAATTTGTTTGACTGTGCCTGTTACCAAATGCCCCAACTGTGTTGAATCATGACCAGCCTGTCAGTGTATTGCTTGAGGCATAAAAAGATCTAGCCACTTCACAGGTGACCCACAGAATGTGTTATAGCAAAAGGATTAGCCACCCCTCTGGTGACCCCACAGGATGCGTTGTAGGGGAGTCGAACCCCTGACGAGGCCATGGCAAGGCCCCAGTTTACCGCTAGCCTAACAACGCACACTGGCTGTGACTGATGTTGGTAATTGTGCTACTGCTACAGGCATTTCAAGGTGTTGGTAATTGTGATAAGTTTGTGATGAGCTCCAATACTTTTTTTGAGTCTTCAGTAGCTACCTCATCACTCATGAAATGGAGATTGAACAGATAAACTTATGAAACACTTGACTTTGAATTTCAAAGAATTTTCTAAGATGACTCTGACCAATCTGTCTTCATGTAAGGACTTCTTGTGTCCTCACTGAAGGACGTAATGGAAGGGAAGGATTTCGAAGTTATCAAATAACTTCTAAGGCACGTTGGGGCAATCGACACCACAAAGTGGTGGAGGAGGTTTCTAGAAACAAAGTACACAAATTGAATTATACGAACTGACTCCAAAGAGACAATGACAATGATCAGTCAAAGATCCTTGAGGAGTAAATAGCACCGTGTCCAAATTTGAGTAGCACATCGACGTGCACACACAAAGAGGTGTTCAAAAAAATTGAATAGTTTTTGCTTGTGGTCAGTTTGTTAGTGTACGGTCCCAAACTGAGAATCCCTTTGTCGACAAAGGATGAGAAAACAACTGCTTCCTATTGCCCGTTAGATCTGGCAAGAAAGGCTTGACGCGGCCTTTCTTCGTTTTTTCAGTTGTGTTCGACCGTTAGCTTTCAAATGCCCATTGTAAAAGTTATCCTGAGGCTATTTTGATTTTATAAGATGATAATTGGAATTTTGTAACGCCACCGTATCTCACTCGCGACAAGCAATCAGGTCAAATATTGTATTGCATGATTTGAATCGCCAGACTCAAGATCTCTTCCAATACATTTCGAGATTTTAGTTTATATTAAAGCAATGGGTTTGCCAATATCTTCTTGATTCATATATCTCATTTCAAAAACCTGATATGTTTTTTCCAAAAGGTTGAGCATCTTTTCACTGAAAGAAAGGAGCAGCAGTGACCTCCTTGAAAGCCTTAAATGCTTTGGTTTACAAAACCCTTCCAAAGTCAACCGAAGCAATCTGCCAATTGCTGGCTACCTTTACAAGGGTTTTACTCGGATACAACAAGTCGGCCAAGAGCTACCCATCAAGTCCTTCTCCTGATGAGAACTGCAGACTCCGTCCTCTTAGTCAAACAGAAATTATGTCCAATCGTCAAGTTTTTTCGACAATGCCAACAGCGGTCGAAGTTGGAGTACCTGATGAGAACCTAGAAATGTTCAAAGCATTATGCCTGGCTGATTTGGCAAATCATGGGATCACCCGTCTTTCGTTTGATTGGGAGTTGGCGGACAGGTCTCCTTGGAACCAAACTGTAGCAATATTCATTGCCAAGCATTGGCAGTATGCCTACTCTCAGGGCGCGTTTGATGACAAGGCAATATGGTCGGCCCACAACACCGAAAAAACATGCATTGGCATAATACTTAGATGGTTACGTGGCCGTTCGGAAGATATTCGTCAAAAACGCCGATCTCCTGAAAAACTTCGACAGAAAGAGGCCTGTCGTAAAAAAAGAATGGTGAGTTAATAATTGTTCTAGCATGTAAGGGTAGAGAGGATCTCATAGCAATATTTCGTGAAATATTCAGCTTTTCAAATACCGCGCGGATTCATTATCGCGCCTTCTAGTAGCCAGAAATCTGCCTCAAGATGCATCCGTCATTTTACCACATCACAACTGTTGCTCGGACACCGAGTGGGATCCTGAAGAAACACAATATCCATCAGTAGGACTTGTCTGGAGAAGTCAACAGTACACTTCTTTGATTCATCAAATTGACGGGCTGTCTTTTAAATATTCTAAATCTACTCAGGGTGCACGTGCTGCCTCCCAACGGTTTGATCAATGTCGCACACAAGCCACTCAAACTAATATTCACGCTGCTGTTTGTCCTGGTCTCCCCGAAAATTGCTATGACCCACTTTTTATCTCCAATTTGACAACTGAAGAAAGAGCTGCACTTAACTTGAAGCCTGTGTCAAATCTGTTGATTACTCTACCTACTGAGATAGAAGACTTTGCGGTCTAGCTTTTATTTCAATCACGTAGTATCACTCCTCATATGTATTTGTGAAGTTACTGAGGTGAGTAGTGGAATGAACAATTGATGATGTATATAGAACCTTCACGTGTATTAAAGATTAGTTGACAACTCATATAGACTGTTTACAACTATCGCGAAAATATAATGTAACAAAACCAAGGCAGTACGTGTATCCCATATGTGTCCGTTCAATAATGATGTCATTCAATCATAAGTTGAAGACATTTCCGCTATGCTCTAAATGCACGTAGTGGTCTATCAGTTGAAGTAATACACATTCAAAGCAACAAATTCAGGGGCTCACCATGCTTCGAAGACTGACCAGAGAAACGGTTGGCTTTTCGATGCCAAAAGTTCCTGCAACGTTATGCAGTGCAGCGCAATGACCAAAAAGATCTTGCTTACAAATAGTTTGAAGTAACAGGTTATGATTATACTGAAATGTTGCATTGAGATGTGATATCAATTGATAAGGGTTTCAATGCTCGTCATTGGAGTCAAGCTCGCGGAACCCATGGACAACAAAAATTGGGTCGGAGTGGTTCAGAGGGCGTATGATATGGTGGATCACACCGAATCGTTGTTTGCCATCGTAGTTGAACTCAATATAGCTGTTCCCAGCGTGTTCAGAATGTGTACTGAAAGACTTTCCTTTGTGTCGCCAATTTGAGGTCTTCTCAAAATCTACTTGATTATCACAGCCAATTTGTTGTAATATCGGTTTAACCAAAGGAATAATATCACGGGGTAGTGAACATGACATCCATTTAGATGAAGCCTTGTGGAGTATAATATCAGCCCCAATTTCTTTTGCATAATTTGGAGGCAGATTCCTGAGGAAGTTTAAGAATATAGCTCTCTGAGTGAACTTCTTTATCATGGTCTGCCCAACAACTCCTGGAAGAAGATGCTCAAAACAAGAGTATAATCAGATTTTGCATTCTAAAGATGGTATTTGAAACCCAATACTTACCTCGATTACCATTTTTTCGACCTGCAACCAGTGTACCTATGATGCGCTCTCCAGACCAACATGCAGTGTATGAAGGAGGGCCCAGGAGTCGACATTGTTCAACAAGATGCTGCGCGAAGTGGAGGTTGGGTTTTGCTTTGATCCCAGGCCAGGTATCAAGGAGATGAGTGCGATATTCCACAAGTAATTTGGGAAGTGCTTCCAGGTCCGCAGGTGTCAGTGTACGTGAGACACAGATGTTGGTGATTCGTGTTGCAAGTGTGATAGCCGCATGAATTTTGGAGGAATCAGAGTTTGACTCAGCGTCTTTGTGGTAAGTAAAAAGAGATAGAAGCATATACACTGTGTATAGACTTAGCCACTCTGCTGCTTTAGGTGTCCCACACATTGGCATACCAATTTTATCCGGAACACGGGTTAGCCATGAGGGAACAATGGTGTCAGCAACACAGCCACAATACTATACTGGTATCGTATCGATGATACTAGTACAGTACCTGCAATTACAATACCCAGAAATCAGGTACTCAGTACAGTACCTCAGATTGGATACGGTACTCAGTACAGTACCTAAAAAAGAAGTACAGCTTATGGCTTTAGCTCAGTACAGTAGGGTGGAGATACACTTGATACTGTACTATACTGGTATCTTGTGAAAACCTCTAGGTACTGTACTGTACTGTACCTGTGCTAGATACCAAGAAGTATCCTCTGTGAGTACCTAGAAAAGTAGGAAACACAAACGCTTTTTTTCAAGAAACACAAAGGAAAGACCACAAGACCAGAATGAGACCAGCAAGAAATAACAATGTAATTAAGGATAGTTACTCAAAATTAAATAGTTGAAATCGAGAACTAAAAGAAAAAAAGAAAACCATCCAATAATCATCTCCCCCTCACACGAGCAGCTGCATCATTGCTCATACACTGATCCATGATTATCCCCGCTTTGACAAATCTACCCTTCATTTTAACACCTTCGACAGACCACATGCGGCCACAAACAAGTCTTTCAATGGGCCTTGGCTTGAGGGAGCTTCTATCTCGTGTGCAAATGTCTGCCGCACATGAGAACCCCCTCTCACAAGCGCATGAAGTGCCACTGATGGCCAAATAGTCGCGAGCAAGACAGCTCAAGATAGGATATTTACCTTCGTTTACCTAAAAACAATACACAAGAGACTGTCAAAGATGAAACTATAATACCAGACGAGATTTGAATACTCACCTTCCACCACTCCAAAGCAAGATGGGGGTTTTCTCCAACCTCAGGAGCCGGATCTTCTGCCATCTCCAAGTACGAGCGGAGCTCGTTTGCCGTGTTTCTTCGGTTCTTAGCTTTATGTTGACGAAACTCCTCGTCTTCTTCAGCAGTTCCAAGACTCTTACCATTGACACAACTAGAGTTCGCAGTGGTTGGTTCATAAGGTCCATCAATCTCCAATTCGGCCTTCTTGTCCAAGTAAGCTGAGTCGATGAGATCCTTTGCAAGCAGGGCTTCTTCTGACGATTCACCAAAAGCGAACTCGAAGTAATCAAGGCGCAAACTCGGATGTAATACAGTTGCAAGAATGAGTGTGTGCGATTCAAGTGCCTCCTTCAGATAGGCCTTGACTCGCACCAACATCGCATGATACATGGGAAACATCGGCTCGGCCCGTGATAAGGTTGCATCAATTCGCTTTTGCAAGTTCTTCTTAAGTTTGACATATTCTCGTATTACTAGGGAGCCAGTTGGCCCGTTCTGCTCAAAGAACTTTGTCAAGTTCTCAAAATCCTACAGTTGAACGGCTGTCAGATATAGTAACTCGAAGCTGGATGGGAGGCTATGATCATCATACGTACTTGAAGAATGTTTATTAGGTCTCGTGCTTGTCGCCACTCGTCGGGGGAAATCATAACCTTGTTGAATATTCCACGAGGTCGATGTACATCAGGAGGAAGTGGTGTGTCACCAACTCGGCTTGACCCTCCCCTGCGTGGTAAGTCCATCTGGTCTTCTTTCAAGATGTGATCAATGACCTTGATAAAAAAAACATTAATCAATTAGAACTTGGAAACCGATTTTCACTATACTGACCTCTCGGGCATTATATAATCGTTTCCAGCATTGGAGTTTTATATTCCAACGTATTCCATATCCAGGAATGGGTCTTGGCAGTTTCTCGGAGAGCAATGCTTGGCTGACTGCGTCAAATAAGCTACACATCACCGCGGAACCCCCGATTTTACGTCCTATGACATCGAGCTAAGATTCAAGGCTTATGGTCAGTTCTCTTGAACAAATAGATTAGTTCAAGAGAAATAAACACTTGCTTTGGACATGAGACAGTTAACTGCGTTGGCAGCATTCCGATTACTCGCCAAAGGTTCGACCAGAGGTAAAGGAGCTTCGTGAGGGCCATCAATAAGATCATACCAGTTTGTACTTTCAACCGCAGGCTGAAGGTCTGAATCGTCGACTTCGTTTTCAGCATCGTCATTGTCATTTACACCATCATCGTCTTCATTTCCTCCCTCAGTCTCATCTTCCTCAGGAACAGATTGTAAGGTGGTAGTTGGAATTGGGAAATCCCCGAGCATAGTCGATTTCACCAGTGGTGGTGGAGGCGCTTGTATGCCAAGCGCTTGAAGACCGTTGTTTACCACCAGAGCAAACTTGTGACATACGCAGCGTACCCGGTTGGTCTTGTGATTCCACTTGAAGACTTTGTTATTATCTGCACAATGTTTGCTGATCCGTACGTTCATCGCTTCGGCAAGGGTGTTATTATTGCTCCCGGAATCATGGGTCTGAGCTAGCATGTGGATAAACAAAATAGCAAAATATTAATATTAAAAAAAGAACGTTGAAGAAAAAAGAGAAATCGAGTAGAAGAAAAAATTTAAGCCAAAAGCGTATAAGGTACTTATCTTGGTATGAAGGCCATGCTTGATCAGTAGATTGATCAACGGCTCGGCCAGCCAATCACCTTTGTGATGCCAGGCAATCAACTTCAAGGCGAAGTGCCTGGTCACGTAGGCCCAGTCCTTCGTGACGAAGGTCACGCTGGCGCCCAAAAAGCCATACCGATTACCAGGCGTCGTCCATGCGTCGTGTATGAGGCCGAAAGAACTTTTGAGAGACTAAGAAATGTGTTCAAACACATCAGTTAGTCTCGAAGTGAAAATAAGCAAAGGAAGTTGTTAATTGCTTACTTTTAGTTCCTCTATGACCGAACTGCGCATGTCCAAATAGGCCTCATGCGCAAACTTCAATACCCACGTCCTTCCAAACAAATGCGCGTTTGGATTGGCGTACCGGAATGCTGCTCGTAAATAGGGATCTTGCATTCGCCTCCAAGGTTGGGCCGTCCTAATGACCCACATACCCAATAGTTGATTGAGGATTTGATTGTCAAACTTCGGCACCATTTGAGCAAAGGTTAGTATCAAACTTTGACATTCGTTTGAGTTTTGCGCTTGAGTTCGCTGTTCGAGGACCGTCAAAGGCAGTTTGCATCCTTTGGCGATGGCTTTGGACCTCTTCAAACAACCGGGCTTGCCTGACTTGCCGTCCTGGCGGGAACCGTCTCGATGAGCCAGAAGGTTGGTACTAGATGACGGAGCACTGGCAACCTTGACACCACAGTATTTGCATGGATAAGCCGTTGTCGACACTCCTTTTTTCTACGTAAAAGGAGTGAAAGAGTTAGCTATATTCTTGAATATGAAACATAAGGAGATATAAATATAGATAAGAAATATAGAATACTTACATTGATGATTGTGGTCATTTCATCATAATAATCACGGATGGGATCATAATTATCGACTTCCTTGATCTTCACCTTATCGTTCTCCTCGTCGGAGTCTTGTATCAAGTTGATCTCGAGGCTCAAAGGTTGTCCGTTTTCACTGGCTTTGGCGGTGTGTTTAGGTAGAGTTGAGCGTCTCTTGGGCTTAGCCTTGGGAGCTGAGGAAGATTGACGTCGAGTTTTGCCCTTGTGGCGAGGCTGATGTGAAGTAGATTGGTCCGAAGTCCCATCGTCCAACACTGTATCTGTGCGTTTGCGCTTGTTTGATGGCTGGTAGACTGAAGATTCAGTTTCTGACTCGTCATCTCGGCGTCGAATGGCCCGGCGAGAGTCGGCAGGTGAATCGATGAGGTGGGACTGTCTCCTGGCAGGGGAGGGGCAGGAGCTGCGACGAACGCTTGGACGTTGTTCAGTTGCGGAAGAGGAGGAGGACATGTCGCTGTGGAAGACAGTTGATTACAAAGTCTAAGATCAGTGTCAAGACTCGGAGTGAAAAGACTATTGAAGAAATATGATGAAAAAAGGATCAAAGAGAGGGTGCGTACCTTTTCGAGACGACAGAGAGCTTCCTTATAAATCCTGTTGACAACGTGACAAGTTTCCATACCCGCATGGCAAGATCAAAACTAGAGAAATTAACACGATTTGGGTCTGTGAGGCTGAGGCAAGGTGCAAAGGGGTAGGATAGAATGGTACGAAGGGGTGTTATTGAGATAGATTGGTACAAATTGGGTCAGATCGATCGAAAAGAGATGGAATGGTATCGAAAAGAGGTGGGATGGATTCGAAAACAGGTGAATCGATGAAGAAACCGGTCGGGCTTACCAATTTGGTGTCACCATGGCGTGATAGTTGATTGGTTTCGGGAATCGGTTGTGCTGGAAGAAGGGTGTGGTCATTTGTGTATGCTGGGAAAAGGGGTGGGTGAAGGGTGTTGCTGGGAAAAGGGCGTGGTGACTTATGCCAGATGGGAATTGGGAAAGGCAGCCTAAAACCGATACTGTATTGGTATAGTACCTGTAATCACAATACTATTGGACCCGATACCGGTATCGTATCGCAGGCCGCGGTACTATACTGAGTACAGTACCTAGAAAGAAAAATTCGGTTTCGGCGCCTTCAGTACAGTAGTGTATTCCTAGGTACTGTACTGCTAGGTACTGTACCCGCTTTTGTAGGTACTATACTGTACTGTATCGATACCAGTACAGTATTGTGGCTGCGTTGGTGTCAGCAACACTCCTGTGAACAATTTCAAGCTCGTGAACTGTGAGGCTTGGACCTGTTGGTAGTGTGAGAGTGATATTGGAATGTTCGGATGGTTCGGATAGATTGTCACTTGGTTGTAATGAAGGCTCTGTCTCTACGTGCGAGGATTTAGCTGAACAAGAATATTGTGTTCGTGAGCTTGAACACTTAGAGGATCGACTGGGATCAATTTCAGGATTTTGTTTGTCTGGCATGCTCATTTCGGCGTCAAGGTTGCCAAGTTCTGGAGCCCGTGAGACGACTGGGTAGTGGCCTTGGGCGTTTTGTCGATCTAGTTGCTTCTTCAGACCCTTGCCCGCAGATGCGATTTGAAGATACGTATTGGATAGATCACCTAAGAGGCCAAGAATAATGCAATGCATTGTGTCGATAGTGGCGAAATTCAAAGGCTGCCAATAAGGTAGCTCATAAAATGCAGACCAGCGGGATCCATTGCTTTTCATAAGTTGTTCCTGCTCTTGGAGTGTTTTTGCGTCTTTCCATCTCTGTCCTTGTCTTTTGTGGGTAAGTGCGGTTCGGGATTTGAATACCTTCACATCGACATAATTTACATCACTCAAAGTTACATAACACTTTGAGCAGAAATTGGTAGATCTGTGTCCAGAGAAGCCGGAAACTTTCTTCATAGCAGGTACGTCGGCCATAAGCGGCCACAAGGCAACATTTATGACTCTACCATTGGGGAAAAGTGAGGTTTTACTGAACCACATGCCTTGCCATAGGGCAGTAAGCTCCCTGATAAGCGGACCTAGTATGTAATTCATCTGGTCACACGTGGGTTCGTGTCGGTTGGGTGTTATGCCGTAGAGGAACATGTTCTCGGCGCGGTATCGAAGGTCTGGTGGGAGATTGAAGCAGATTAGAAGCATGAGGCCAGCACTATGCTTGATTCCGCGTTTGGTTCCATAAGGATCGAACCAATCGCAGTAGAACCCAAAGACTAGGTTCCCGGACGTGCGTGTGAAGACTTTCCCATCTTTCTTGAATGTCGACCAAAGGCTCCCATCCCAAATATCTTGTAAAGTGCCGGGAGGTGGCGGTTTTCGTGTTATTGAGTGGTCAAGATTGGTTTCAAAAGTGGGAAAATGTAACATCTTGGCCAACTACCCAAAAAAACTCTGGTGATATAAGATCTGAAGAGGTCGTTGAACCTTAGATTTCTTGGTGGGTTCTTTGTATAGTGGTGCATTGCATACAAACTTGGGCTCTTTTGGCTTGGTTGAAAAGAATCGAAGATTATTGCAGGTGGTCTGATTTGGATGGCTCTCTGGTTGTCCATGCAGCAAAAAACATATGTGGCAAGTGACCATTTGATTCAAAACGGTTTTGAGATGAAAGCATCGAAGAAGATTGGTTTCGTTAAGGGGTATCTCTTCCCATACCGCAGTGATTTCAGGATTGGTCCTGGTGAGGGCACTCTGAACTTTGAGACGCTCCAGTTTTAATGAAGTTCGACAGGCCTGCACGGAACCATTCCTTAGAAGAAAGTCGTACAGTACTTGTATCATTGATTGGACACATTGTGGGTGTTGAAGGTGTGTGCGCGGGATGTAAAATGACTCGGTGGAAAATTCAAGGTGGTGTGCAGGTCTCACCAGTGGTTGTTGAGTCTGTGGCACACTGACATCAGTCTCTTATGACTCGTTGGAAGATTCAAGGTGGTGTGCAGGTCTCACCAGTGGTTGTTGAGTCTGTGGCACACTGAGATCAGTCTCTTGAGGATTGGAGGCTGACTCTAGCCGTCGGATCTTATGAAAAGGACGTCGTTCTGAACCATGAGCAGTTGAAGATGATTGGGTTTGATCAGGTGATCGTGCCCGTTTGCGATTGGTAGCTGTTGTAAGGCCAATATTGATACCTGAAGTGATTCCAGTGATGTGACCTGTGGCAAGATCGTCACTATGACCCAAGGCTGACTGAGACGTGGGTTGATCAATGACTTTCTTGATGCTCAAAGCAGCTGCATCAGAGGCTTTCAGATGATTAGTAAAATTAGTCCAATGGAACAGGCGTCCTGTGTGAATCTGCCCGTGTTTCTGGAACTGGCGTTCTGAGCAGCCAAGAGGAACACAAGTACAGCAAAGGTGATCGGGGTCGAAATATGCCATTTGAAAAGTCAACGACCAAAAAGGTGAAAAACAAGGAGGTATGAGGAAGAGGTCAAGATCAAAGAGGTTTTAAACCTGATACTTGGTGATCACAAGTCAAATAAATGCAGTACCATTTGGCGGATAAATTAGCAAAAACTGCTTATGTGTCTCAATCATTGGCATTCTGATTCATTTGGATTGAGATCAACACCGTTAATTCATGCATGCATTAATTAGGACACGACAATCAGCGCGAAATCCATTCTTTGCCGAAGTTGGCATATAGGTGGAATGGGGTCTTCCGAAATGAGGTTTTACAAAGCTGACCGGTAATTAATGCACACTGCTAAGCGAATAAGTCAAGCGCTGGTGTAAAAGAGCACAGTGAGCATCGAGTGTGGATTACTATTGCTAGATCAGAAGGGCGGATTGCAGGTACGCAATCAGCCCGTTAACGGATGGTCAATTAACGCAGGTTTGAAACAGATTTGAGTTGGGATCACGGTTTGGTTTTGGTGATGACAACCGTGATCCCACACCTTCCAACGCATATTCCAGGAAAAATCCCTTTGAAGGATTGGAATACAATGTCCAAAATTGGGTGTGATGGTTTGCTTTCCGTTCGTTTGGTAATCAAATGCATTTTTGCATTTTGAGTGGGTCTCCAATGAGTGGAGTTAAGACTAGTTAGGATCATCAGGTATTGGGAAACTCGTCCAATACTTGGAATTAACACGTGCTGGGGTGAACACCACATCGTGCCTTTGGTCATATAATCTTTGGGATCCCAAAGTAGAAATGCAAATTGTACTACTGTAGTACTATCGTATGTCAAAGATGACAGAACACAAGTGACAGGACACGTGTATTGTGATAATCAAAACCTATTCACAACTATATACAAGGCACATGATAGCGAGGACGATTGGGAGAATTGAAACAACTCCAAATTCATATTTGTTTATATACACCAAAATATAAACTATTCACAATTATATACAAGTATGAGAGCAGTGATATACCATTTCTTTTGAATCACATCTAAAGGATGATTGATAAAAAAAGCAAGGAGGAGCTTCATTCTGAGAATCAGATAGATTCAATCACACCTAAAGGGTTTTGAGAGAGCAAACCGCTTTGAAAGCATCAATATTAAACTCTTGAATCACGGCATGAGATTAGGAATGGTTTTAATACCTTGTTGTTTCATGAAGATCAGAGTGTATCCATATGTTTTGAAGAATTTGCCTCTTGCTCTTCCGCCGCCAGCGTTACTAGAGATTTGAAAGTGATCTGGGCATCCTGGATTGCACTATTGATATCGACAACAATTTCCTCATTCAAGGCCAATTCGGATAAAACCAGCCCTTCCTGCTGATTGTACCAAGCAGGGGAAACTAGCGACATTTGAAATTTTTTTGGAGGAAATCAATCGGTGTCGGAAGCAGGCGCATAGATGCCCTTTTCGACTAATTGTTTTGCCAATCGTCTCTCTTTGGGGATTATTTTGCGCTTCCAATAGGCCTTGTCAAGCATTCCAATCAACGTGTCTAGTTCTCCGCTCCGCCATTCAAGCCGTAACTTTTGATGAGTGCCCGAATTCACACCGGTGACCAGTTCGTCTTCTGAATGGACTTCAGGATGAGATATCATCGCCGCCTCAGCTTATTCAGCCCCAAACAATTTCGCTGCCATCTCAACTCTTGCTTCGTATATCTGCTCAGATTAGTATCCAATTAAGCTAATTTTTCCTACTAATAACATGACATCAACGAGACAAATTACCTTGTTCAAATTTTGTCTCTTGTTTGTCAAGCTCTTTGCAATTGAGATGTTATCTTCAAGCCTTTTTCGACCTTCAGGAGTTTTGGTCAACTCAGCGTTTCAATTCTGTTCTCGGAATTTTGTAGCCTTATTACCACACCAGCGACGAAGGATTTCTTCACGATCTGAAGCAGTGTTCTCCGTGGAAAGAATACCAAATCCTCTTGCGCCGCCTGCTTTGTAAACCTTGACCCAGTGAGATAGAATGATCGTAGCAGTTGCTTGATTCCAAGGTGTATCATAGGATGCTTCCCAATCAAAGGTACATCTTGGCAACCCTGCCATCGCCAAGGTGGACTCGCATTGTACCGCGAAGTGATGGGCATATTTTGAGCGACTACCAGACGAGATGCGAGACGAGAAGATGACCGGATGCATCGGATTTTTCAGAGTCGCCATCTCTGCGGCGTCCTTTTCGACAGTTCTCTTCTGCTTTTGGTTTATTTTGAAACCAGGAGGTTTTTTTGCAAGGTATTTTTTCAAGGCCTTGTCCTGTGCCTCCCTGATAAACACCTCTCGTCTTTGTCTTCGAGTCTCCCAAACATGGAGTTCTTCAGGCGATGGAGCATCTGGTAATTTTTTCATCGCGGCGTGTTCAGCGGCTGAAGAGCCTCTTGATTTTCGTGGGATGCCCATGAGCATTCGAACATACTCATGGATGGCTCTAGAAAGCGGAGTTGCTGCTTTTGGGACTGGATGATCTCCGGCTATCTTCCCTATCCCTTCATTTCGATGTCTCACTTGCGTCATTACTTTCAACTTGACAGTTTTCTTTTGTTTCCGTTCCAGAACATCCTCATGCATGAGGTATCCGTCTAGTACCAGCACAATCAGTGTCACACAAACAATCACATCATTATCATATTCTATTCATTATTGAATAGGATCCAAACGTTACACACCTGAATCTTCTTCATTCTCAGAATCAGAGAAGCTATCATTAATGTGTTTCTCTTCTACAGGAAGAGAGAAAGAAACAGAAACTCTCCCAATCAGACAACTCCCTCGTGAGATTAAATCAAAGAAGACGGGATACATACGTAGACCTTCTTCGTCTTCTCCCCCCAGACGACGGCGCTTCCCCACCACGGTGCTTGGCGCCATTTGTGTACCCGTCTGTTTAGCACTGATACCGCTCGAAGTCATCTGTGTACTAGTTGGAGGAGCACTCATACTCAAGTTTATAAAATGAAATATACACAATCAAAGGAATGTAGTTTTTTGATCAAATAAGAAATTGATTTTGGAAAACCTTTATGCAACGATAGAGAAATATGTGAGAGGAAAAAAAATTGTTGAACGGACCAATTATGAGAAGCTGCTTAGAAGCTATCTTATGAATGGCTTTGAAGACCAGAAATCCTACTTGTGAATTTATCTCGGCTACCCCAGAGAGTAGGGTCTGTGCCTTTGAAGCACAGAAATCAACCTCTACAGTGTTGAGAAACAAACATGTGCTGACCTCGATCACCCTCAACATTTTACTTGATTTGTTTCACATCGATCAACCACCCATCAAACAGGTTGAAGGGTCTGTGCCATTAGTCAACTGGCTGCGTAAATCAAATTGAAGTGTGGCTTGATCACCCAAAGCATTGGGTGATCAAGCCCTCTCACACAATATACCTGCACAGTTCTTACAGTATATCAGAGCAAAGTCTTAGCGACCTTTGGGTAAGATGTTGCACTTTGCCCTTCTGGCCAACATTCTGAATTTTTCCAACAGGTTCAATATCCCTGCATTACATGAGCTGATAGTTGTTTGGCAGACCCAAGTTTTGAGGTTATCACTTTTTTTTGTACTGCACTATACAATTCCTTAAACTCATGAGTATACATGTTGGCAAATCTGACTTAGGATGTGATCCCGATCCTAATATCTATTCAGGCATAGAGGTTTACCAGCACTTCCATGGGCTCAATTGAACCCACATTATTAGTCGGCTTAAACAAGCCGAATTAATTTTTTTAAGCAATCACAAGGTACATTATTGAAGGCACTCAATGACTGAGTATCAATTCTTTTGGGGAGCCGTCTTACCGTTATACAAAACGAAGCCCAATGATCCTTCGTACTCAAAGCTTTTCAATCAAAGCTTGGCTGCCTAAATATGACCTGACATGGAACCATCACACAGTTTGGAAAGATACACATAACTTATTTATCCGAAACAATTTCTCTCCAACATTGAATTATTATGTTTCAACCATTCAGAAAACAATATAATATTTACGCTAACCCAAACACAATAATTGCATGAGACCTTACCCAAAGGGAGGGAATACCCATCCAATTAACTTATGCATAGTAGCTCAACGTACTCAATTAGATTGCGCGTCTAAGTATGGAGAGCAATCTCGAACAAAATGGGAGGCTGGTGATACAATAGATTGGCACGGTATTATCTGTGTTTGTAAAGTCACTCTTATCAGATCAACTTTACAAATTGATTTGGCAAGCACAAAATGAGAATCAGAAAAGATAAAATCGAGGCAATTGAGAAGATTCCAAGTTTTCCCAGAGCACCTTCTTAAAAATACAATGATTCACACATAGGCCACCCCAGATTTTCAAGGGTTGAACTCTTCTTAATACGGGGGCGGACATGGTGATGATGGAAGATATAAAAGGAAGAAAACAAATGGACACTAGCCAAAGGAGTTCATACATCCTTGGAAGGTGGGAATATATCCGAGGCAGCTGGGAGCGGCACCGAATCTTGGTCAGTGTCAGCCGACAATCTTGCGCCTTCACCAGACCCTAGCATCCCTTCAAACGTTTGAAGCTTATTGTTGATGTTGTTGATATCATTTTTGGCTTGTTCTAACTCTTCCAAGCGTGCAGGCATGTGGTCTTGTAATTCTTTTTGGAAATCTGAAAACACAGCAATTGACTTCTGTAAATCAGCCTGTAAGTTCACAATCTGAGTCTGGACGCAAGGCTCGATATGGTTGATTTCGGGCGCATCGGCAGCAAGAGCGTCGAGGGCTATCTCTGAACTGGAATCGGAAATATCATCGGAAGACTCCTCATCGTCACTAGAGTAACGATCATCGACCACACCGTCCAAGGGATGATAGTCAAATTCAGTTGCGAACGCAGTGAAGATTGACGACATATTTTCGATTTCGGGTAACACAGAGGGTTTCATTTTTAGCTCAGCAATCTCGCATGGTAGTAAAGACGCCTTGAACTTTTTGCTATACAGGTCTGCGGGAAGGTGACGCGGTATAAAGCCGAAGTTTGTTGAAGACATGACAATGAACTTGTGAGGAGGACGAGTATTTCCAGGAACCGCTTCACGGGAGGTAGCTTGAAAGTGGACCCGTTCCTCGATACACTCTATGTAAGAAGCTGCTTTTTGAGACCACCATTGAGGTATGGCAAAATGTAATTCCTTAACTTGATGGGTACCAACAATCACTGTGGCTTCCACAACATCGCCGAACATTGGGTAGTTCCTTGGCTGGAAGATGGAGGCCAAAGGTGGTGAAGCACCGCACTTGACTAAGTATTCACGGTATTCTTTGCAAAGCTGTTTTCGGAATTGGGTCAGCACCATCAAAGACATCAACAATGAAAAACAAAAGACTGCATACCTTTTTTTTCTCGGCTATCACATAATGATAGTCAACGACTTCGGTGTTTCGACATTGGTCTTGGTAAATCAAAGCAAGGCGTTTGAATTGCCTCTCGACAACTGGTAAGATTATTTCCCGCGTCAGAATGTCGGAGCTGATTGTAAACTGATAAGAGCCATATCTTATGGCGCGATGGAATGAATTCCAGAAGATTTCACGGGATAAGGCATTTGCGCGGTTGTCCCATTCAGCCTCCCAGTCAAAAGAGAAACGTCGAACTCCCCAGCGCATGAGCTCCAATTCAACTTCGGAGAAATCACGGGCTGCTATGTGCACGCCGGTTCTCACAAAGTCTGTAACCGAGATCAACGGGATAGAAGAAGTTTGAGGAAGCTCCGCTCCGACATGGAAGCGATCCATTAAACCCTCTTTCTCAACCTTTGAAAGAGATGGCGGAATGAGTGAAGTGTCCGACTCGCGACACATCAACACCCGCAAATGTCTTTGGACAAGCGACTGAGAGATATAACACAAAACCATAAGCCTGAGTTTATCCTGGTGAAATGAAGACCAGAACATACATTGACACGTTTCATCTCAAATTTTGACAAGATACCAAGTGCATCATTGTTACGAATAGTTCGAGCCCATCTCTTGACGCTCTTTGATTGATTCACAGATGTCTTGTATGGATTAGATGGCATTGTAGCTGGATATTTATAAGCGAATATAGAAATCTATGTGGATGATTCAAAAATGGCGAGTGACAGATTGTCTTTGTGTATAAATGAAACGATGGGAGTGGAACAGTCTGATATTGAGCTTTATCAAGAATTTGAGAGGTGATTCAAGGTCGCGGATACCGGCTTATAAAGCCACCAATCCAGCACTTTGGCCGGTTTTCGGAGTACCTTGTGAGAGGTGCGAGGTTACACCAAATCTGGGAACGTTGATTGCAAAACATGTATGTCATATCTCGCTTAGATCTGAAGTACGTTTGCTATGATCCCATATGGTGGAAATGTGGGCAAATTCATCCGCTGTCCATGTATGCAGTTTGACTTAAAATTGTCTCATAACAATCTGCGAAGCGGACAAATCAAACTCAACGTTACAGACTGTCTTAAAACGTTAAGAGGATACAGACGCATCAATTGCATTGGAGGTCTCGTTTGGTGGTTGGTCTATGAGCACTGTTTGTTACAAAACATGGTGAAAGCTTGTTAAACAGGGAAGTGTGACTGAACAAGGTCAGACTTCCTATGTCTGACGGTTCAATGAGAAAGTCTGAGCACAGAAGCTCAGACTTCCTATGTTGAACGGTCTCACCCAACGGTCTTGCTGTCTGAGGAGCTCAACAAAGGTCGGTGGTTGCATGCTGCTTAATCTCATTCGGATGTTGGATCCACCCTCTACCAAATGTCTTTCGTGTGAGCACGTCGACGTGCCACTCGAATTTGGACACTGTGTATACAAAGAGAAAATACATGAAAGACGTACCTGACTCCAAAGAGACAATGACAATGATCAGTCAAAGATCCTTAAGGAGTCAGTTTGAGGTAGTGTCAAGGAGGAAGAGATATAGAGGACTAAGTCTTAGGTCTAAGGTATGTTAAGTAAGATAATTGGACTTCTGTAATGAGGAGTAACACGAGGTATTACACTTCATCTGCCAGCAGTTTTTCAGCCACAATCCAAAGGTAGTGTACTACACTGTCTTTGGGTCAGGGCCAAACTTTCTGGGTGCCCCAGGTGCAGGGTGAAGTGATTTCAATTCAAATCAGGACCAAGCAAGCTTCATCAAACGGCCTAATGAAGAAAGCTGTTTCTTAACTTTCACATGTCTTTTCAGACCCCCAAATAAACTGGTTAAGGTTCACTTTGAGTGAAATCCAACTTTCACCAACTTCTGGAGGTACAGCTCTGGTTGTTCAAAATTGTGCCCAAGCCCTAATGACACATGTCACCCAGTAATATGTCACATCAAATTGTGTGTCATGTGATGCAACCAGTCTTTATGTGGCAGTATGCGTCATTTTGTTCCACGCAGTGTGATTTATGCTGAAGAAAGGCTGTGGATCAGGGTGTTTTTGCAATAGGCTAATGTCTATGAATAGTGCCAAACCCAACTCTGGCCCATGCGTTGTTAGGCTAGCGGTAAACTGGGGCCTTGCCATGGCCTCGTCAGGGGTTCGACTCCCCTACAACACATCCTGTGGGGTCACCAGAGGGGTGGCTAATTCTTTTGCTATAACACATTCTGTGGGTCACCTGTGAAGTGGCTAGATCTTTTTATGCCTCAAGCAATACACTGACAGGCTGGTCATGATTCAACACAGTTGGGGCATTTGGTAACAGGCACAGTCAAACAAATTCACAACTGTGTATCTGGTGTGTGCAAGTTAACTCTGCGCAAGGGGATCCCATTGAGTCAACCAGACACACAGAGAGGGTGTTAAGCACCTCTGACCCAGTTGAGTGTGTTTCAAAGGTCAATCTGGTGTGTACTGGAGTCATGCGTTTGGGGTTCCATACACATGGGCCTCAAGAGAGTGTAGTGTTTCAATCTCTGTGATCCAGAAAAGCATTGGAATTGTGAATACATAAGATTCAAGAATGATGTGCCATGAATGAAGTCAAATTAATATCATGAGTGGATTGGACCCATTTCATTTACATGTGGTCACACTGATGTACTTTCATCCTTGAGCCAAGAAACGTTTTTATTAATTATCAGGAAGGCAGCCAAGGATTTCAATAGAAAGAAGAGAAAAATTCTCATGGTGAACAGTTTTGGAAAGATTGGTTTCTGATGACCATGGAGAGATCCCTAGAAGTACTGATAGAGCAGATTGATAAGAAGTGAGGAGACAAAGAACTATCTTAATTTTTCCTTATTCCTTCATCAGAGAATAGAATAAATCATCACAAATGAAGATAAACAGATGGAGCCTGCAAAGGTATTTGAAGTGGCAGCGGCACTGTCTGGTTGAAACTTGTGGTTATCGTGATTCAAATCATGGGTTTGCGAGTTGGAATCGGTTTGAGGTGAGTTCTGGTCGTTATGATTGAAGTCGTGTACTTGCAAAGTCGAAGTCACACCGATATCATGATTCGTGTTGATAGATCCTGCGTGGTCGCAATTACTGCAAGCTATTTGAGTGCCAAAACGTAGGTTAGTAAAATATCTTCCAACCCAAGATGCTCAGGATCATATCTCACTTGAAAATCCTTGGCATTGTCCAGAACAAGTGTAAGCTAATCCGTTCGAGTCCTGGCACACTACATGCAGGATGATTTCAAATTGTCATCTTCAGGCTTTCGAATGAAATATATATGTGGAAACAAAAAAGTATCTGGACAAACAGCTTGAAGCATCCTGGAGTGTATAAGACGAGCAGTGGACAGACGGCTCGAAACCGTTGTTCGAAGTGCAATCAGCGCACACTAAAGACAGGATCCACACGGGTTATTATGCTTCACAAGTAATGGGCGAGTCAAAGAATCTACGTACCTGGGGAACCGTTGCATGACTGGGGATCGCAGAACATACTGGGACCATCACCGGAAGTGATGCAAGCCATTTGGTTTGCTGTAATCAAATAGAATTGTTCAAAAACACACGCGGAATTGGATTGTTAAATGTATATCCTCACCATGATTATTGGGTCCTGTCGCAGCGGAAAAAGAGTGTCCACAATCAAATGAGACACCACATGAGATTGATTGACATAGGCAAATGAGAGCAAGTGAAAGTATGGCGTTGAGCTTGTGAACCATTCTAATTATGTTGACAAACAAAAATGATCTTCAATTTATTGAGTGGAATTCAAGAGGTGGGAAGTGGAAGTGATCTGACACTGTGACAACTGAATACCCGATGCTCGAATGGCGAATTTATAGATTTTGCACACACAGATATATCGACTATCCCAAACAGCGAAAGAATCATTTCGCCAGCAAGAGCCACTGTAGGCAGGCTACTTGCCTCCCTCTTGGGGTACATCACCACTATTGGCGGTGTTTAAGTGTGACACAGTTCCATCTTCGATAAAGCATTTTCACCGGTAATGAAGAAGCCCGCTGGACTAGGTCAACTTTGTTGTCAAATATGTTTCACATGACTTTCTTGTCATTTCGTTGAGATCATTTGCCGAGCTTGGGCCCACTCTAGGCCGTTTTGACACGAAAATACCGAGGAAGAGAAAATGATGGGGTTGATGATGAGCCCACGCGTGTTGAGAAGCGGAGAATGAAGCAGGGTCTCCCATATCTGGTCAGCCTCTGAAACTACTCTGCATCTACCACTCGCACATATCTTGCTAGACCGGGTCGATGGTGATATATACAGTGTTGAACTGGGATATCGAGATGAGAGGATTGAGAACAAGCATCACTTCAGAAAGGCAGTGTTCTGGGATGGATATCAATGTTTAGTGGCCAAGGAGATCGCTGCACCGGCATAGCGGCAGTGTTCGAGCCATATCACCCACCAGCCAACGAACGATGGGTGTCCCTCCATCTTTGCCAAGTGCTGGAGAAAAGTAGAATTTTCGCAGTGGAATTTTCGCGTGATCAACTGCCCCAAGACACATTCTTGTTGATCAGGTGAGCAAGGGGGGTTTTGACTCAAAAGCTTCACTCGATTTATGAAAGTTGAAAATTTTAAGAATGTATTGGAGTCTTCAAACAGGGATCTAATAGCATGCGCTACAGCGCTTATAAGCAACTCTCGAACAACACTCTTAAGGATAGAAAGCTCTGACCTGAATAAAGGTTCAGAAAGATAAATGTAAGCTGATCTGATGTAAGTTATTGCTAAGTGATAACTGATCTTCGGATTAATGATAAGAGACAAGTGTTTCTCTTCCCAAAGATTTGATTTGTATTCACCTAATAGCATGCGCTACAGCGCTTATAAGCAACTCTCGAACAACACTCTTAAGGATAGAAAGCTCTGACCTAAAACAATAATAATCTAATCAGGACTTAATGTAAAACATGAATAAGTGAAAAGTAGTTGATACCTGAATAAAGGTTCAGAAAGATAAATGTAAGCTGATCTGATGTAAGTTATCGCTAAGTGATAACTGATCTTCGGATTAATGATAAGAGACAAGTGTCTGTTTTAATCAGGACATTAGAAACAAAATTGTAAGAGAAATTAGACAACAATATTATAAGAAGTATTGATAAAGTAAGGATGAAATTGTACTCACTTCTCTTCCCAAAGATGGGGAAAGAGAAGTAAGTCGAATTGAGCAAAAGTTATTATAAGGGATTGTAATGACGTCATGTACATCTTTCTAGTTAATGACGTATGGTGGTTAATCCTCCTGTTTCATTTCACATCTGTAACATTTCTTGTTCTCGTCGATTGAAGAATTCAACAAATTTTCGATGCGTGATGCGATACAGACGTGGCAGATCGCCTCGAGAAAGAAGACAAAATAGGATTGGGGAGCACAAGAGAGGATCAATGGTAGGGTATTGGACCTCAGAGATTCCTTCAAGTGTGATAAGTTTGACTTGATACAGAACATAGTGCACTGCAATGGATATGTCCAGCGTAAGCCAGTCGTCGTGGAAAGAGCAACGAAGCAGAGGCAGCTACTCACGGAAAAAGATTTATTTTTGCTGGTAAACTTCTATCACGATAGGCGTGCAAGAACTAAGATGAGTCGACCACAAGACGACAACTCTTCTGCTCCTTGACCAAGGGCAGGTTACGTGAGCAGAAAGCGTTTCGAATCTCGGACCTTGATAAAGGACTTCAAACAAACACGGCATGGCACCGACCGACCGATTGTAGCTCTTTAAATATTTGGTACTCATGCTCATTCTCCTCTACTTTAAACCCTTTTTAGGCAATTACCCCAAAGCCTGAGACGGTAATAGGAAGTCCATTACGACGGGTATGGGCAGGTGTCGGGAGAGACAAAGACCCGAGACATCCTCGGGGCTTAAAACCACAGGATGGTGGTGTTCCAGGTTAGAACTAGTAGAGAAAATTTTTCCCTACCTTCCTAGAACTCACCCATCTCAGTTTTACGCTCTCATCGACACTATCTCATTTCCTTTCCTTCATAAAAACGACAGTTCTTTTATTAAGGAAATTCTTTCTTTTCTTTTTTCAACTATACAAGTCAACTTCATCTTAAGGAATTCCTCTAAACCCCTTTTTGGGAATGAATAAAAGCCAAAGAGACAAATTAATCAAGAATAAAGATCAACACCAGGAAATGGTGACCATGTCCAAAAACAAGGAAGAAAAGAAAAACACAAAGCTGATGAAGGGGAAGGAACAAGCAGAAGAACGTCAACGTAGAGCGGAATCTCGTGCTCCAAAATCAAAAGAGATTGAATATCAAAGTACTCAAGACATAGCTCAAACGTCTCAATTGAGACACGAAGAGCTAGAAGAAGAAGCGACGGAAGAAGGAAGCGGGTCGGAGTCGGACACTGCAGACGTCAAGCCTTTCGAAGTAAAGCAGAAGGAACTGGAGAAGATGGAGCTGAGACGGGAAGAGGAGAAACATCAGCAAGAAGAAATGAAGAGAGGGAAAGGAGTAGAAGTTAGGAAAGAGGATATTGGCGTACCACTTGATGGTGTGTTAAGTTCATTTAGATAGCATAGCTATTTTGTTTCTCCTACCCCTTTTCAATCTTCAATCCTTCTACCTCTCCCCTGGTGGTGGATATCGACTCGGCTGCTCTTAGCGCCCGCTAGACTCGGCTGCTCCTAGCGCCCAGAGTAAAGAGGAAACTCTAGAGTTGGTAGTGCAGGCTGCCGGTGGCGCCGTAAGACATGTGAAATTTTTATAATGCATGGCTGCTGAGTGAAGCGCCGGAAAAGTGCAAGAGCTGTGTGACGCGCTTGTGAGAGATTCAACTCAAGAGGCGAAAGTCAAATATTCCAAGGTCCTCTTGGGATAGGACGAGTAGTGAGAGTTGTATCCGAAAAAATTTGTAGTCATTACTGAGAGCATCGACCAGGAGAGAGAGAGATGAATCCTTTTCTCAGTGACCTCGATTGAGGAGAGAGAGAGAAAAGAATCCTCACAAGTGTTTTGCCTCCTTAATCCGCAGTGTTGAAACCTTCTCTCGCTGACACCGACGAGTCATCGAATTCGGGAAGCCGTGCCATCTTAGGGGCGTTAACTAAGGCGCTGGACGAAGGAGATGCGAGAGCAGCCTATCGTCTAATCGGCAATTTCAACGAGAAGTTCGGTTCAATGGTCCAAATGGAGTACGACGTACCTCAGCCTAAGCCAAAAAGCAAATCGCTCCCTGTTGTTAGCTCAGAAGCGCTTGATCCAGCCCGTAACCATTCAGCGGTAGACGACTCAAGCCAGTTGCTGGCCCAGATATCTGGTTCTCACCCGCACAGAGAGATCAAAAATCTCAGGCCAGAGGCGAGACAGGAGAAGGACAGAGGACAGAAGAGGATGGAGAAGAAGAGGGAAGATCCAGATGACGGACCAACCTCGGATGATTCAGAAGCCTTGAAGCCGAAAAAGAAACCGAAGAAAAGAAAGAGCAAGAAGCGTAGAAACTCCAGTGACTCGTCCTCTTCTGGTGATTCGGATTCTTCAGTCCCAAAGAAGAAGAAAAAGAAACGCTCGAAGCCGAAGAGGAAAAGCTCACCCTCGGATGACCCGTCGGACTCTGACTCGAACAAATCGTCATCGTCGGAGGAGGATTCAAGTTCAGATGAATCCGAGAAAGCCAAGAAAGCTGTGCTAGACTGGGAGCCAATGGAGTTTGACTCAGCAGACCTACCAGATTTACCCCGGAAATGGGATAAAGGCTTTAAACGCCTCAGATCGTATGTTCCCTTGTCGGTCTTCAAGAAGTCCTTTTTAGACACGTATAACGATGATGATGACGATGAGAAGACGAAAGAGAAGAGAGAAAAGTCGAAGTCATCTCAGAAGACCCTAGAAAAGCAAATTACCTTTGGGGATTTCATAGAAATGTGTGATCTGGAAGAGCGGTATGCCCGAGAGATATACGATCTGGATGCATACGCAGACTACATTGTGAAACACAAACAAATCGTCTCCGATCTCAAGAAGAAGTATTTGTGTTGGATGGTAGGCTTACGCTACCATCTAGCGATTAGGACAGTCATTTTTCGACGCAGGAAGTTGATCAAGACAAAGGCGAATGGAAAATCAGTCTATAAGGACAAGATCTGTCTTCCGAACAGGCTTCAGGCCAAGGTCGAGGCAGACGCAAAGTTCTTCGCAGATAGAGCTGGGGATCTTCAATATGAAGACAACCCCTACGCGGTGGGTGGACCGAAGTTTGGGTTCAGTTTCACGACCGGACGACAGAAAGTCAAACCTGCATCTGCCAAATCGACGGATAAGTCAGTGGACAATCAAGAGAAGACCCCTTTCAGAGGAAAGCGAGGAGGAAATAAAAAGCCTTACGTGAAGAAGAGCCATTATACGTACAACCGAAATGGTGAGCAGCTCGTGAGGACTCCATAAGGGGGAGCGTCTCTAACCTCAATTGATTGGTCTGCTTATAGAACCACAAGGAGCAGCAGCTTCCACGACTCCGGTGGCATCGTCGTCGTACAAGCCGAGTTATCAGTACAAGGGTCCAAAGCAAAATGCTAAGTCCACGACCCAAGACGAGGCAAATCCGACGTAAGTGCAGATTAAGCCTAGAAATGGAGGAGTAAATAGACTAGCTGACAAGGCTGGTTTATATTTGTAACCTTCCGCAGGTTGATGTCCATTTTCTTCGATCGGATCTGGGGTTGTGTTTCTCTTGGGCGCTGCTGTGTTCTTCGGGGGCGAATCTCTCTTTGTTGTCCTTGTTAGTGCCTAGGAAATTGATCGTTGTACTAAGTGATGATGCAGTTTTCTGAAGAAATACATGATCCATTTGTTAGTGCTTGTTTAATAAACTAGCCCCAGGAGCCGAAAAGACACTTCACGGTCTGAGAGTCACACTAGAGAGCGGTCAAGAGAGAGCTTACGGACTGAAGAGAGGTCCCAGGTTTTGACAAAAGACAGGGACGATCTTGTTGAACAAGAAAGGGAAGAGGACACGACGAGTTTGGATAGCTCGTCTGAGGAAGAAGTCGGGAAGAAGAAGAAAGTCCCAATCCCTTTGAGCCAACGTAAGATCTTTACGGTTCCAGTGGAAGACCCGTGGCCAGCTCCAGTCTCCAGTAGGATGAAGATAAAAGAATGGGTATGTCTGATGGAAGAGGCAGGTTTACAGAGTGACATACCATATATAGTCAATGGGTTCACGAATGGCTTTTGTCTGGGGATCCCACAACACGAACTCGCAGGCAGAAGATGGTATACACCAGAGAACCATACGTCAGCCTTAGAAGCGAGAAGTCAGATAGAGGCGACTTTGAAGAAGGAATTCTTAGCCGGGAGGATAGCCGGACCTTTTACTCACGAGCAAGTTTATGCGAGATTAGGTTTTTTCAGGACGAATCCTATGGGGAGCGCAGTAAATAGTGACGGTTCAATTAGAATGATAAACGACCTATCCTTCCCGAGACAAGATGAAGAAATCCCGTCAGTGAATTCCTTCGTCAACAAATTGAATTATGGAACGTACTGGGATGACTTCAATACGGTGGCGAAGTTCTTCCAAGATAACCCGGGTGAATGGGACGTGGCCATCTTCGATTGGCAAAAAGCCTATCGACAGCTCCCGATCCACCCTAGCCAAAGGAGATTTCTCTGTATATTGGACTTCTATCATCGAGTGTAGATCGACTTGGCAGTCGGTTTCGGGGGAGTAGCAAGCTGTGGGGTGTTTGGAGCACCGGCACACGTCTGGAAACAAGTAATAGAAAGGATACTCGAGATAATCATCTTCCGTTGGGTCGACGACAACTTGATGTTTCGGAGACCAGGAGAGAGAGTTTCGTTAGCCGATGTTACAACGCTAAGTGAGAGCTGGGGAGTGATGACTAACCCGGTTAAGAATCATGACTTTGCGCCAGAACAGAAGTTCGTGGGCTTTATCTGGAATGGACACAAACACACAGTCCGGTTACCAGAGGAGAAGTTAAAGGAACGCTTACAAATTATTGTAGATCTGATGAATCCAGAGACCAAGTGGGCATTTAACAAGGTGGAGAGTATCGTGGGGAAGTTAGTCCACACCGTCCACATAGTCCCTCACATGAAAGCCTACCTGAACTCGTTTTATCGATGGATGAAAAGTTGGAGGAACAAAGCAGCATCGAGATATACTCCTGAGAATGTGAAGTCAGACGTCCGTGAGTGGTACTGGGTGCTGAAGAACTTCAATTCCCGACAAATTATCCCCTCACCGAAGGCAACGGAAATCCAATGGGTAGGAGACGCTTCTTCGTCTTTCAGGTTGGGGATCTTGATTGGCGAATTTTGGGCCTGTTTCGAATTCTACGAAGGTTGGCAGACAATAGGTCTAACCGACGACAAAAGAACGATAGCGTGGGCAGAGACCGCGGCGATCAGGTTAGGATTGCTGGTTCTCCAAAAAGTGAAGCCAATCGCAGGTGAGCGAAACTCCAGCAGTTGAATGGTTCATCTTAATTCAATCTGACAATGTGACTTGGTTAGGTGAGAAATTCACGGTCTGGACGGATAATACTACCTCGCAATCAACAGTCAGGAAGCGTAAGTCAAAGGACAACATGGTAAACGAGGAATGGAAAGCGATACAGAGATTACTCACTTTGTTAGCTTGCGACATAGAGGCAAAACGCGTCACATCCAAAGGAAACGTAGCGGATGCACTGTCTCGGGGTTATCTCGGAGATTTGTCATGGTTCCGCGAAGTAAAGGTCGAGGTGCCAGAGGATTTGTCGCATCTTCTAAAACAAGTCTTTCCTCCAAAAGTCCATCCGGAAATCGGAAACTGATAGCTCCACTGTCGACCAAGCAAGCAAATCAACGCGTGATGCCGAGGAAGAGTCGTGTAGAGGTTCTAGAGGTAGATTTGAAGAAAGCGACCAAGCCCTTTGGCGCATTTAAGAAGAACGCGTTAGGTCTGGATGATTCGGAGGTAGATGTGATAAAGAAACATTACCTAAGAGGCGCTTGGGGAGAAGGCACCCTGAAGAGCTACAACTCGGGAGTGGTGAAGCTACATCGTTTCGCGGTAGTGAAGAACATCGACAAGTCTAAACTTTTGCCAATCTCGCCTCAATTGATGAAGTTATTCGTAGTCTGGGCCTCGAGGAAAGAAGTGGATGAGGCGAAGGAGGACGAGTCAGTGAAGTACACGACGTTGAAAGCCTACATCGCAGGGATAAAGGCTTGGCACCTTTTTCATGATGAAGCTTACCCCTCGGATGTCGACAAGGCAGTCAAAACCCTTCTGAAAGCATCGCAGATGATTGAGGCAGAGTTCGCCGAAGCCGACAAGAAACGACCCGCGGTGATGGTATCAGACCTGGTAGTGTTACTAGATAGGTTACCAGAGGGAGGAGAAAGAGGCCTGGCGATTTTGACAGCGGCGTTAGTAGCCTTCTGGGGGACAGCCCGACTAGGAGAACTAATATCTGACGATCCGAAGAAGGACTTACCTAAATGGGACGATCTCTGTTGGTCTGAAGACCGCTCTTCGGTAGAGATAGTGATTCGAAATGCTAAAACGGCTGCCCCCGGAGAGATACAAATGATCAAGCTTCACCGGCAAAATTCGTTACTAGATCCAGTCTCGGCGTTAGAGGAATGGTATCATTTCAAGAAGAGAAAACTAGGGGACGAATTGTTCTGCATATCAGTCAACGGAAAGAAGAGACGATTGGGGAAAGTGGAAATGATCACTCACCTGAGGGAAGTCTGGAACTCGAACCGTTCGAAGAGGAGCCAGATGCTACATGGCCATTCTTTCCGGATAGGCGGCGCATCGCTACGCTGGAACCTAGGTGCGGATAAAGAAGAAGTGAAACGATGCGGTCGCTGGGCATCCAATGCGTACAAAATCTATCTACGCAAGTATACAGAGAAGGATCTCGAAAAGACGAAGAGGTTGTTGAGGGAGATGTGTTTGAAATGAGTCCCCTCCGTTTTTGCAATCACAAAAGTTTTTGTCGAAAGGAAAATTAGATTAGATCGACAGGCTACTGTGGCGACTTCTTCCAGACCCTTCGGGGTCTCTTAATTGAGATCTGCGAATTGAACTGTAAGGTTTGACCATAGACAAACTCTACGGCGGTTTGAGGAATGGGGGCTTCTCAGGGCTCACGGCTCAAATCCCCGCGAGTTTAGGGGATGAGAAGCCCTCATCGGGGTCTTTGCTCTCACCCCGGCTAGGAGGTTCTACCTCGGTGATAGAGTTCTATCACCGCAGGAAGACCCTCCGGGTTAGCCGGGGCATACCCCCAAACCACCCAAAAGTAGATGAAAGTTTATTTAAGTGGTCGCAAAGATTTCCTTGAAGTTTTTCAATTCTTGGTGATCAGGCATCGCAGAATATTTAAGGTTGTAAAGATAAGTGACAATATGATGCGAGAAATCAGTAAACATAATACTTAAACAAGTATGTTGACTGCCTCCTCTTATGAGGAGAACCCCCAGAATAGTTCCCATACCCGTTAAGTAGTGGATGTTAAGCCAAGTGCCGTGTTCATCGTTCCTGGCACTCCGGCACTCCTCCAGTACCCCGGGCAGCGGTGATAGTGAAATGATGAGAGTTGAAACATACCCTTTTAGGATTCGCTGATCATCATGACAACCCCTCGATCAAGGCGCTGTCTTCCGCGTCAAATCGCGCATGTGGAACTGTTTTTCCTCTGATTTCCTACTTCTCAAAACACAACAATCCTCACAACGAAGATGGCATAGCAACAGACTGCGACAGGGTTCTCGAGTACAATCATCCAGCCGGATCTCCTGAGGGTCCCATCCGTGCAGTTGGTCTCAACCTTCAATCCGTTCACCTAACCTTGCAATATAGAAAACATTTTTACTCGACAATCTTCCGCTCGTTCAATTCTTTTCACGTACATAGTTCAATTTCTCAAGGTTTTCTCTTCCTCAACCTACATACGACACACTCTCGCCTTGTAGAATGTGCAAAAAATTCTCATTTTTTTATCTTTTAGCTTCTTGTGTATCATTTTCAATATTATGTGATGGGATTCATCAGTCAAACCTCAATCGGCGCTTCACGCTTCAGCCAAGTCCATCTCAAGAATCTACCACGGATAATACTGCGAAGAACACCACAGCACCAGACGTTCCGAAAACCAACCTCACCACCACCACCACCACCAAACCACCACCCTCAAGCACAACGTTAGAAATCCCACCACCGCCGCCGCGACCCCCACCGGTATCATCCCTTCCGGTCTCCTCGAATACTACCGCTCCTCCGACAAACAACGTTTCTGCCCCGGTTACCGACAAAAGCTGCGAAAAGGCCCCTTTGACGGTAGAAAGTTGGAAGAAGCTCCAGATCGATGAATATCTCAAGGCATACCCGAATGGCCAAAAACTTAGTCTCCAGCAGTTTGCTGACGAACATGGCGCATACAACTTTCGATGTGGACTGGGAGAAACGTGTAATGCAGGACAGGCAAGTCACAGATCAGATTCAAGCTTGACATAGATTTCAACTCATCATCTTGCAAGTATTTAGCTATGTGCACCAATTCAAGGGCCAGCATGGTACGTATTGTTTGCGGCTCAGGAGTACAACAACTTTCAGCAGGCGCTGTACGACGCGATCGGATTTGTCAGCTCAGAGGTCCAATGTGATTAATCGTTTTGATTTGCATATCTTTATTTGATACTGACTTTTGTACTTACTCTTTGACAAAAACCAAACACAGCTGTTGGATCTCAACTTGTTGCTGATCTGTGAGTCACATCTTTTCTCCGAGAAAAACATAGGACGAGTGTTTGCTCAACTGAGTTTGATTTTGCAAAAGATACCCACAAACACACAAGAAGAAAGCGTTTCGTGATTTCAAGATCGGGATGGGTCTCACTATCTTGGCAGCAATAGCAGCTACATATGCTTGTGGTGTGAGTAAACCCTATAAGAGTAAAACTTTTCTACCGGCGATGTCCGATTAAATTATCTGTATGTCTAGGTCTTCATGTTCGTTCCTGGGCTACAACCTCTGGCAATAGCATCAGCCATGGCTGCTGCTACTGCGGTCTCTGCAACCACCGCTCTTTTGGAATCTCAGAAGGAAGATAAGGAAGCAGCCAAAGACGATCCTTTTACAAAGGTAAACGCCTCTCTGTTTATGATGCTTTTAACTGGAGTGAAAGAGCTGATCTGAATTTCTCGTAATGTAGTGGGCTCATTATGCACAAGAAGTTAGTTCTTGGCAGACAAACACGCAAAACTCCATCGGAGATAAGCTCACCCAACACATCAACAGTGGCGTCAGCACAGATAAAGGGATATATGATGTCATAAAGAAAGGTTCTTTTGCTGTCAATTCCCAGGTGAAAACCATGGCAGACCTTGAAAACTCATATCGCGAAGTGATCATTGCACGGATGGTAAACGAAATCTTGAAAGCAAAGGTGTGTAGTTTGAAAATAAGGTAGCCTGAACTTTTTCTTAGAATTCTGACGAACAACATAAAATACTAGGAAGCTTTTATTACCATTGGATCGGTACGGTGTTCTCCTCTGTATATCAACAATGATGAACTAATAAGCTAAACGAACATGTCTACATTCACAGGATTCTTGCACTCAAGGTGGACCTGGAGGTGCCTTTAAAGCTGAAGATGGATGGTTAAGCTATTGCGATCCTAGTGGGACGTGAGCTGTTTTTTCATCCTCGAATTCGTGATGCAAAACTTTATTAACATGGCACCCCTTTCTTTAGAATGATGAATATCATTGGCGCTCACCACGATGAAGCAGATAACACTTGGCCACAAGCCAGCTCCTTTACAACTAAATATGGCGTCACAGTCGAATACCTGACTAAGCAAGCTGTGGCGTGTCAAGCCAAGTACGGATTTTTGCATGATCCTTACGCCTCCGGGTGAGTTCCTTCTTATGCTTTGATATCATTTCAAAAAACCTTTGAATTCGCGACCCCTAACAAAATCTTCCTTTGTAGAGCATTTCCAAATGACAAAAACTCTGAATGCCTTGTCAATATGCTCGTGTGTGATTGCAGGCTCCCAGGTCAGTTTTTATATCACTTCATTTCCAAAAAGCATGGTCATCCTAACGTATGCTCGCTTATCAGGTATGAGCAAAGCACGTAAAAAACACAATACGGTACACGCCTGCCGTCACCATGCCGGTGTTCCTGTTTGATCTCCTTAGATGCTGAGACCTTTTGCAATGGCGCCATGAAGCTTATCTTAGATCATTCTTGATCTCATGAGTGTTAATGTTTTTCTCAACTTCAAATTGAGCAGGTTTTCTCCACACTTTAAGTTGAGAAATTCTTCATTCAGCTTTGTTAATTTCTTCATTCTGTCTTTTATTTCGAGTCACTTTTTATGAATCTATCCATGAACACTTTGGTTTTTCTCTTTGAAGTTCAATTCATTTTATAATACATTCTTCTGTGATCTCAGTTCACCAGAAAAGATCATGAACCTCATCTTTACAATCCTGTGGTCACATTTACAGTTGTCTCTGAAATAACCCATACACCCAGTAATCCATACTCCAGCCTACCCATGGTTTTTTGCCTCCAGATTTTTTATGGGCGGGGGAAATGGGCCAACAAAACACATAACTCTACCACTTCCCTTAACCCATACTCTTTTTGAAAACCAGAGTTGAAAACTCATAGTTTCCCACAGGAAAATTCAAAATCCTGGACAGGAGACTCTTGAGACATGTCTATTTATACAAAGCTCCTCAAAGGCATTTGACTGCATCAAGGCCACCAAAAATCACTACGAGTGCAACAAAAATCATGACAAAGTCATCAATTCTACAAACAAACATGCTTCCTAAAGACTTATCTACTTTTTCTGTCTCAGAGTCTCCTTTTTTAAAAATTCTCTGAGATTACCCATGAATCCATTGGTATGGGGTATTGCAGGGAATCTTGATAGCCTATACTCTATGAAAACCCATAGTTTTTGGGTTCCATAAAAAGGTATGGGTTATCTCAGAGACAACTGTATTTGGATCATTTTTGTAAGCAAAGATAGAATGTGTACCTTTGCACATGAAGAAAAAATTCTAACATGAACAAATTCAGTTTATATATCAAAGCTCTCAGACTCCTGATGTGTAAAATTCCATAATGAAATCCAAAATAAGTCTGATATTTCAAGAAACAAAAAGACTCAAGTGCTGAAAAAAACCTCTGACATAATCAGAAGGTCAAAGATTGAATAGTACAGGAGAATCAAAACATGAAGAAGATAAAGAAGAAAAAATTATGAAAAAAATGACACATTAAATTCTTCAATCAGTTAAACAAGTCAGTGAGGTGACATACAGATTCAATCCTTAAAACAACTCAACCTTGCTACGCTCATCCAATCACCCTCACCATGATTCTACCTAACCTCCTCAATGATCTCACATCTTTACCAACACCAACTGACCATAATCTCCTCTAAAGAAACCTTCAGGTTCTTATGCCCTTTAACATTCCAGGATGAAATGCAATGTAAACATATCTATTTAAATACATATCACTGCCAAGACTCAATCTGATCATAGAAACCCACACTCAAACCTTCAATCTCATTTGATTTTCCCATCCTACTTTTTTCTATATAGAAACCCATTGAATCAGATTATTCTACTTACCACTTCATCAACTTCTCAATGTTTCAATCCAATAAAGAGTTTTAGACCACATGATTGATATGCCCATAACCTAAACTCCATTTCAAACCAAGCTCAGCCATATCAGTGACTCCACCAACATCCTATTAAACTCATTGGTCAACTAAGTATGAACCAAATTTCAATTTGTTGAATTTATAGAATCAAGTCACTCAAACTCATTTAATTTTAATTCCATTCATTTATACAAAAGGTTTTGAATTAAACCTCAAAATCAAATATGTATATCAAATCATTAATGGATTTTGATCATGTAAGAAAAAAAAACAATGGAACTACATCATCTTAGTGAGGTTCATAGAAGATTATGATTTGAATCAAGTAAGAAAAAAAGAGGAAACAATTGTGTTCATTGATGTAGATTTATTTATGTTTCAAACCTAGTGGTGGTGGTGGCTGGGGTGGCTGGGCAACAATTACCATGAGTGTTTTAAAACAACTCAAAATCATTTACTTTCCTCATTACCACCATGTAAGTTTGATATGTTTCCTCTTTTTCATTATCTATGAACCAAGTTCAATTTTTCAAAGAGACCAAATCTTATGTATGTAAGAAACCAAATAAATTTAAAAGAAAACAAGTTCTATCAACTCACTTTGATATAAACTCATTCTCTAAATTCATACTTGAAGATATAAATATATATATAGCATTTGTTATTGATCTAATTTGAATTTACAGTATCTATATCTATCTCAATTTAATCAACTCTTTTATGATAAAACATCAAAAACCAAAAACCAAAAAAAAACATCAAGAACATCATTCAAGCTTTAATCATTTTCAAGCAAAAAAAAAAAGAAACCAAGAAGATCTATCTAAAACAAAATGAAACAAAATACAATCTGTTTTTTTCTTCAGTTCAGTTTATTGATTTTTTTTTTCGTGTGGTTTTGGTTTTGGTTTTGGTTAAAGAAAGAAGAAGTTTTTTTTTTGATTTTCAACTTTTATTTAACTCTATCAATCACCATCCAAGATAATTTCTCTAATCCAATCCTAGCTTCATTTTCAGGTATACCAGATTGTTTAAGAAACTCTCTAGCTTCATTCGAATACTTTTGAGCCAATTCAATCGATCTAGAGATCCCATTTGATCGATGAACCAGTTCTTGTGCCTAAGAAAAAAAGCAAGAAAATGATGAATAATCTATCATGCTTTTAAAATGTTTTTGTTTCGGAATCGAATGATCACTCAACTCTTTCTACATCTCCTTCAAGATTAAACTTTCGATTGATCAATTCGTTTAGTTCTGGAAACTGTTCTGATGCATAAAGGATCGGAGCAGTTGCTATTCCTAGTTTAAGATCAGATCCACCTGAAGGTTTTCCCAAAACAGATGCAGATGAAGTATAATCAAGTACATCATCTATAATCTACGAAAAAAGAAAACCAAAAAAAACAACACTCATCTTTAGTTTCAAATCAATTCTCTCAACCTTTTTTTCTGAAAACAAATCCATCTCACCTGAAAAGCGATACCTAAATGTTTACCAAACTGATAAACCCCATCTTTAATCTTCTCACCTTCTTCCCATCCTTGATGTATCCCACATCCACCTAGAACTGTAGCACATCTAGCTGTCTTAGCCATCAAAGAAGCTGTTTTCAAATAACTTTTTTCAAGATATTCATTCCAGATTTGATGATTTGATTTTCCATTTGAATTCAATTGCATCAATTCACCTTCAACTAAATTAGATATGATTGAAGAAATCAATTCGACTACTTCTAATGATCCTAATCTGGCTAATCCAATTGATGCTCTTGCTAATAAGAAATCTCCGGCTAAGATCGATAACTTGTTACCAAACTCGTGTGGGGCTGATGGAATCGATCTTCGAGAGCTGGCTTTATCTATCACATCATCATGTAATAAAGAAGCTACATGAATCATTTCTGAAATTTCTGCTAATCTATGTTGAGATGGTAAGATTGAAGATGATGATGGATCATTGAGTGGATTTGAAGAAGAAGCCGAAGGATTATGATCGGTTAAGATCGAATGAGGTGAAATAGATTGATTGATATCTAATTGAAATGAATGAAGATGATGAGGATAAGTAGGACTTAGATTAGCCGTTGCTTTTGAAACCAATAAGACGATCAAAGGTCTTAAATGTTTAGAATCAGTTGAAGGAGATAAATAATATTTAGCTACTTGATCTAATTTAATTTGATTGGAACCTAATAACGAACTTAGATTTAAATTTAATTTTTTCAATTCAGGTGATAATAATTTAAATGGATCTACTTGAGTTTGATTTAAGAGATGATCAGTTTGATTTGATGATGATAAGAGTTGAGAAGTCGTTAGTTTGGTTAGGGTGGTTGCATTCTTGATTAGATTAGATAAACTTGATGAAGTTCTGATTTGTCTTTGAGATTGTTTGATTTGATTGATGAGTTTCATTTAATTTGCTCAATCGATCGATCGATTGAAGTCTTGATGATGATGAGTAGGTGGTTCTGATGAGTAGTTCTTCGATCGAATGGTGGTGTGATATATGGTATGACTGGATATATAAATGGTATGGTATGGAGTGTTGTGGTATGTGTTATCAGTCTTTCACTAAACAATTCTCCTAAAACTCAAACTTTATTGTAACATCTTCTGAAAAGGAACTTGATTATACTCAATCACACCATCTCTCCACATCCATCGGCCTATCCACCACCACCACCACCGACTCAAGGGTCAAAGTTGAGTATGTAATCTAATGAAATTCCTCAATTCATCCTTTCAACATCTTACATTCTAAACAATAAACTTGGAACAACACAGGTACAGATTCAGAACATCATATCATTATATCAATCAATTCACTTTATCTAAACACTAAAAAGATATACAACTATTCCAATCTAATCCAATTTCAAACTTCAATCAACCACAAACATAATCACAGAAAATCTCAAACCCTCATCTTTTTCTTAGGTTGATCCTCATCCTTTTTCCCCTCATCATCATCATCACCATCATCCATTCCAATGACTCTAATAGCACTCAACATAAACCCACCACCCAAGGTACCATTCATTTCAGGATGAGTTCGACCTGGCAAGACTTGATACCTTCTAAGCCATGGTTCCGAAATCGTCACATGAATAAAATCAGGTGAATTCCTCAAAACGTGTTGTGCTGATGAAAGAGTTGATAAGTATGGTGAATGGATCACAATCGAAGCTGATCCACTTAGACTTGATTTTAATTTGTTTAAAATCGAGATCGGTTCATATTCTGAACAAACTATTAATCTAAGCAAAAAACCAAATCAAATCAAAACTCAATGAAAATAAGATCTACAACAATTCAAATACGAGAGAGAGAGAGATGAAGATTACCCTTCGAATCCGCCTTTGAAAAACCGGTTTCGTGTCTCGATCACTTCCCGATGTCGATCCCACTTCTTACTCAACCGATTGATTTCTTTTTTACTCTTGATCGAGGGTTTTCCATTCACTTCTTCCTTACCCAGCCCCTCCTGATCCAGAGTCACTGAATCAAGACCATCATTCTGATTCGAATCTTGAGCAGTATTAGACAAAGAACTCGTCGTCGTCGTCGTCGTCGTCGCGGTAGAATCTTTGGATTCATCTTGATCAAAACGTTGCATCACTTCACGTGTTTCTCGACTTGACCAATCCGATTCGACTTGTGCCCAATTCAACGATTTCAATGGGACCATAGCATGATTAGGAAAGTTTAGAGGTGATAAGAAATGAAGATCAGGTGGAGAATCGGCATCATTGATCACCAAAACCGATCCTGATCCTAAAAAGAATTATCGACAATCCAAACTTTAAGCTTCAAGAACTATAACCTACTGAAATGTAAGGTTTGAAGACTTACCTCCAAGTCTTTCAATCACAGCTGCTACTAATAATCCTCCTACTTCATCTACTACGATCCCATTCCAACCTGGTCTCACATTCGCTAAACTTAACATCTGACTTAACGTATCTGGTCTTAATCCTCTGATCGAAGTCACATTTGAATCGAACAAGTATTGAGTAATGTTCACAATCGTTGGTTCAATACATGTAAACTTTTTTAAAAATCTAGTCAAAAACAAATTCCAACATCAATTTAATGAAATTCCTGGAAGATTTCGGATTCCGATGGGGGGTTTTGAGGTCAGGGGAAACAGACTGAACTTTTTTTCTTTCCTTTTGATATACTTTTCTTTACTAAACTCTGATTTTAATTCAAATGCAGCATGTTGAGAGATTTGTCTTTCAATGATTTCCTTTTATATACCCAAAGAAAAAAAAACCAATCAATTTAAGATTTTCAAGATTTTGAGATTTTGAGATGAATTTCAGGGGATTTTTTTGAGTTTGAATAGATCACTTACTCTACCACTTAATCCTAATCGTTTTAATTCTTCAATCTCATCATTCGTCATTCTTTGAGCTCCATTACTTTCTTTAATGTTTTCATTGGTGGCTAAAATATCTTCTACATTACCTATCAAGTTTTTTTTAGTATCACGAAAAAGTTTTCAAATCACTGTTCTTCTTTAAGTCATTTCTTTCTTTCTTGATTTTGAACTTTAGATTTAGATTTTTTTTACACTCACAATTTTCGATTTGATATGTATTCTGATCATCAAAAGTTTTCTTTAATTTTCCTTTTTCGATTTCGTATGTTAATCCATATGGTTCATTTAACAATTCATTAGATTCAAAAACACCAAATTTTCCTAAACTTATTGATCTACCAAAAAAAAAAGATCATATTAGGATTCTCTGATTCTTTTAATCTTTTTGAAAATTGTCATGAATCAAACTTAAACGAATTAGGTGTGATGTTTCGTACTGGTTTAATTAAACCTGATGGTAATTGAAGTAATAAATTATCTCCTTTACATATTTTTCTTCCTCTTTTGATTAAATTGGTATCTTCTAGTGGATTTGATTCGGTTTGTTTCATTTTTTTTTTTCAAATGTGATTTAAATTTTTCTTTAAAAAGTTTTGTGCAAAGTTTTTGTCAAGTTTTTTTTTTGGATTTTCAATTTGGATTTTGGATTTTGGATTTGTGTTGATTTTCTGATGTTGATTTTGATTAGACTTTAAGATGAGGTTAAAGCTTCTTTGAGTGTGTTGGTTTGTTGGTAGTTTTTATTGATTTGCTTTTTCTTGAACCTCGAACTTGAAGAACTCCGGTTCGGTTCGGTTCTTTGAATTGAGATCGGGTTAATCGACTTCAATCCGATCCCCGAACGCCCGCCTCGGACCACCTCTCTCGAACGCGGTCCGCACACATTGGCGCACCGCGTAGTGTCACTGTCAGAGTTTTTTTTTTTTTTTTTTTTTCATTGCTTTAAGTGCTTCTCGAGCCTTTCGGCTATCAAGCACTGCATATGTTTTCCAGCACCGGTAAAACCCCTCTGGCTGTGTCAGGGGAAAGGTAGCTGTTGGCTGTTTCATCTATTGTACATGTATTGTTTTTATTGTAAGAGCGGTGCTAAAGGATGGAGTTTAGAAAAGAAATGTTACTCTTCTGGTGTTTGCCTGTTTTCAGGCGTTTTTTCGTTTGTGATTCGTGCCCATACCCAGCGGCTTCTCAGCCTCCAAGTACTATTGCAGTAAGTTGTTATTGCTTTAAAAGCTTTGGGGTTATTGAGTATTGACATCTTGAGTGGAGTTATGTTTTGATTTGTTAATGTTTTCTCGAGTTTTTGGCGGTGTTCATTGAATCTATGACATGTTAGTAAAAAGTGTTCTACACTTTCGATACCTTCTTGGCAATCACAACCAGGGTTCCCTTGTTGTTTGAACTTGTATAGGTATTGATTTAGTGGGACGTGTCCTGACCTAAGCTGCGTAATTGCAGATATTTCGTGTTTGTTGAGTGCTGAGATGCTCTTGAGATGTTTTGATGATTGGGGGTCATGTCCTAACCGTTTTCTGTCTTCTGGAGTAATGAGTGTTGCATTTCTTGTTCGCCATTCTTTAATAGCTGTGATGAAGCTTGATGCTGTCGGAGAGATTTTGAAATTGTTGGGTAGTTTTTTCTTTGCCATCTTGTTGGCAATGTTGTCCACTTTCTCGTTACCATGGACGCCTGAATGACCGGGGCACCATCTTATTGTGATTTGTAAGTTCGGGAATGCCTGATACAGGTAGTTCATTTGTTTGTAGGTGTTTTTTCGGTTGTCGAGGTTTGTGATAGGTAACTTGTTTGATCGTAAGTCCTTGATGACTCCTTGGTTATCTAACAGAATCGACACTCTTCTAGTGTGGGGTGAGGCCGTTCAAAGTGCTAAAATGAGTCCCATCTGGACTCCACGATATTCTCCTTGGAAAATTCTGTGGGTACGTGCAGGTCCTAGATGTGCAGATAAGGCTTTGTCAGTGTTCTTACACCACGCCGCTGCTGCAGTGGTTTTTTTGGGGATCCTTGAGCCGTCCGTAAAGATGACTACGTGTTCAAGGGTTGCTGATAGTTTGTTTGCTTCGGCTTTTGCAATGTGTTCGTTTTCTTGTATTACCGTTGAGTAGTTGTTAGGTCGAGTTAGGGTGTCATTTGGGTCAAGTGGGATCTGTTGAATGAATTCTTCTAACTCCTTGCTGACCGGGTGTTGGAAGAAGCGGTGGTATGGGTTGTGGTGGCTTTTGGGATTCGAGTTCTGGGCCTGCTTCACAAAGTGATAAATTGGGGAGTATGAAGGTTTAGTAAGGGAGGTTGCCATAAAGTTCATCACTTTACTTTGTAGACAAATCTTTGGTGGTGTGTTATTAATGTCATGATGCAGGAATATTGCTGGAGTTGTGTGACATGCTCCTAATGCTGCTCTTGAGCACGTATTATCGATGACTGTGAGTTGGTTGGTGAAGTAGATTGGTGGCTCGAATGGCAGCCATGCTG